GGGGAACCGGTAGAGAGGTTTTTACCTGCAGTTAACACAACAACCAAGGCCTATGGCCTAGTGCAAGTTAGTCTGCAAAGTAAGTAGGCTGTGCTGATTCGTTTGATAGTATTTTCGAGGTTCTAGGGGCGCTGGTTATAGCGATCCTATTAGTGCGAGAGGTGTTGGTTGAGTTGTTCTATTCGAAATACTACTACTAGCTAGGGTTAAATTAATAACTAACGCTCTATTCCCCTAGCGGAAGCGGGTAATAGCTCGTCTTTAATAGTCCCTAACTCTAAAAGGACGTTAAATATAAATAAATAAATAAATAAATATAATCTATAGGCGATACGTAGGGCGTACGTAACCCTAGTACTACTTTTCTATTAGCCGTCTTCTAGCTTTCTAATAACTAACTTCCTTTCGTTAGAGCGGACGCGATAAGTCTATTACTCTCGCCCTACTCTACTAGCTTCGCCTTCCTAGCTATACTACGGGATTCCTATAGGCGGTCTTCGCCCTTATAGTCCTAGATTCCCTATGGGCTTTTTGGCTAACTAAGTTCCTACTAGTTGCTCGAGTCCCTGCGGGTTACGTTCCCGTGTAGGCTTTAATTATACGTGTTATTCTACCCGTGCGGCGGCTGGTGCCTTATAGGAGCTAGGACCGTGTAGTTACTAAGCCCCTACGGTCTCCGAGCCCGTGTAGGCCTTCTGCTTATAAGGTCTTTCTAACCCCGCGGGTTAATTTCCCTTACGGTCTATAACAATTAGATAAATCTTTTAGTAGGTACCTCTATATAGTCTTTATAGAGATATTACGCTATAAACTTTACTACAGCTAGCGGTTACTCGCTGTAACCATCGTACCGAAATAGTCGCTTACAGTGACAGTAGTAGGCAGAGCGACAGCAGTAGCTCGTCTAGCAATACGACAGTAGTAGGCATAGTAGCGACTGCAGCAGGCAAAGCAGCAGCAGTAGGCGCAGTAGCAGAGCGACAGCAGCGATAGCAGTAGGCAAAGCGATAAACAGTCTCTATACTTATAAGACACATAGTTATCCATGTAAATTATCTATAAAATGACCGTAGAGCGCAAATATACAACAAGGACTTATATAATGTAGTATAGGGTTAACTGTTAAGCGCGTCCACCTGACAATTATAAACTAGAAAGCACGATAAAGGAACATAGAAAAAAGTAGCAAAGAGAAAATATATAGTCGGCTTTCTGTGCTTGAGAAAATGCTTTCCTTTTTAGACGGTCTCGTTCGGCTACTGATCCATGGAACGGCAGCTTTGGGATCGCGTGGAGGTGGTAGAAACTCGAGCTTTGGCGCGACTTGGATGATTTTTGCTGTTTGTTGAGCGATCAAGCTCTCCGGAAGAAATGGCATGACGCGCGAAAGGATTTTGTAGCCCAAATTCTCCCAAGCTTCGACTTTTGTCACCAGAGCAGACACATCAATAACCGGTCGCATGCGCGCTGTACGTTCAGCTTGATACTGTCCAAGTATAGCTTCAATGGCGGCCTTGTCAGGCTTTGTTCCTCGAGCATTGTGATCCTTGATGGCTCGGTGGAGAAGGTTGGTAAGCGCGACAACACCTTCCATGCTGGAGTTACCTCCGAATCCCAGGTTGGGAGTCATCTGCGCGACGATGTCAACTTGGCTGAACTGTAAAGTTGTTATTCTTCTTACCTTGTGCATGGCGTCGCCGGCGAGTACAACTCTACCAAAAAACATATGCTTCAACAATCCTTCTTCGATATTGATTAGCTCCCCGCGCACCCGACTCTTCCAGAGCTCCCCAAAAACATGTGTACTCGAGATAGGGCACTCGAAGCATGTTGCAGCGTACTGTTCGGCGTCGGCCTGTGTCCAGCGCGGGCTGGTTGGCCAGTAGTGGCGCTTCGGGTTTCGGAAAGTGACGAACCAGAATGTATACTTCTTCTGGCCTATCACGGCAAACGACTTGCCTGCGCAGTGCGCAATGGAGACATCACAGGTACTCGTACCCGGTAGCGTAGGGCCGAACCCCACCAGAGCGGTCCAATCAGTATGGAAGGCTGTTTTTCTCATGTCAGTTCTGCTTGCTTAGGTACTGTGTTCGTTTATGAACTTATGCCGTTGGAATGGTTGAATGGTTCACTTACACTTTTTCTCTGTGGCTGTGATTAGCCCGGGAATGGCGGCATTTGCGTTCCTCCACATGAAGCTACGTATTAGACTGTGTACTCCGTCGCATCCAATAAGTAGGTCGCCTTCTTCGACGGTACCATCAGCTAGTATCGCCTTTACGTTGTCCTCAGAGTCTATAACGTCTACAACACCAACTCCTGCCCTCACCCTGGATTTATCCGGCAGTTTCTCGTACATGATTTCGAGAAAGCGCCTTCGTTCCAGAACAGGAAAATCGTATCCATGGCTTTTACTTAATTAGCTTCATCGTTTTCTACTTCTTCGGATAAAGGCTTTAACGTACTTCTCCCTGCTTAACTTAAAGAGGTTGCCGTTTCCAATAATACGGCCGTCTGGAAGAAGGTTGATTTTCTTTCCAAGAAGATTGCATTCCTCTTCCACTTCTTCAAGACATCCAAACTGCTGAAGAATTCTACAGCCGTGTGGAAGTACGCCGATACCGGCACCCCTTGCCGGAGCTATTTCTCCTTTTTCAAGAACAACATGATCGATGTTTGCCTTCTGAAGCGCATGGGACGCGGCTAGACCTCCTACGCTTCCACCAACAACAATAACCCGAAAAGGTCGAGAGTTCGCCATGCGTATCGAATGGGAAGAACAAGGAGTTATTGAATGAAATGGCTGTTTGTAGAGAAGTTGTGCTAGAAGCGAATAGTTAAGTAACAAAGAACGACGTTGTTGTAGTAGAATTAAATAAAGCAGAAGGACAAAGAATGTACTTCTTAGAATGCCAGCCTAAGTTAGCGGGATCTTAGAAACGCCTCGCGATTTAGTTCTTAGTGTAGTTTTAGTGCTTACTGCAAGTGCTTACCGTTGTTTTAGCGCTTACTATAGGCGCTTGCAGTAGCTTTAGTGCTCACCATTACTACCAAAACAAATTACTGCTTACTATCAGAGTAGCGAAATAGAGTAATTCTCTTTTACATGGCGACAACGCGGAATGCAGCCTAATCACAATAAGCCTTAGCTGATAAAACGGTAGAGAACTGCTAAGAAAGTAACCAATTACATTCTTATTTTTAGTCAACGTAGTCCCAGCGCGGGCGCGATAGCCGCTGCTTTCCGGTCTTAATAAGGATCTCGGGTTTATAGGTTAATCAAAGACAGAAAGCTCGATCGTTAGATTATATAATTTAATATAACGCTTTAGCACTATTATAATAAAAAATCCCCTCCTACGTAGCCCTATTTATGATCCCGCTAAATATCCATACGTTCTAGTTATAGCTGGGCATAATTTGCTTACATAGACGGAATAGCTTAAGCATAATCTTTCGCTGCAGTAAGCCTATCTTCCTTCAGCATTTCACGCACTTTAACGTTTACTTAATAGACTGGCTTTAGTAGTTCTTAAAGAACTAATTTAGATAGAATTTCGTGTTTCTCCCGCTTAGTATTTTGGTAAAGGAACAATCTTGTTTATAGTCGTAATATAAATGCTTAGTCCTTTCCTTATTAATAGTCTAAGAAGGCCTATTACCTTACGATATATTGTTTTTATTCTTCTACGTTGTAGTATGCATCAAATGCTCACACGAATCCTATACTCAAGGTAGCGCTATATTTTTATACTGTTTAGATGTAGTCACAGAGGATCTTCCCAGGACCGAAAGTCGTTCTATCGTAACAATTCTTGGAAATATTACTAAATATTCACTTTCTTGTGGGCCACCACCTGTTACCACTATCTACCAATTGCATATCAGAATCACTCGCAGATTCCACATGCCTTGCGAGAAACAAATACCTCGTGTCTAGGAGCGCTACTGCCTCAAGACTCAGGTCGTAGATAGGGAAGCATCTCTTCCATTGCGCCATGTAGCAAGTGCACATGCCCCGGCATCGGCATTTCAAGATGATCTGCATCAACAGACACGCATTTGGCCTCCCCAACATACCGATCCCAGCCATTGGGACCTAGGTCTGCAGGGGTTTTGTCAGGCAAACTCCAACCCACCTCGCCCATCCTTGGGTCTTCCATGAATCCAGGAAACGGTTCTGTGGGAATATCCGCTTCAGCCAGCATCTTCCTCAGTTCGTGGTCGCCAGAGCACCGGTGAATTGAGCCTTTCTTGGCCCAGATAATGGCAGTGCGAAGTGGTCGCTCTTGGGGTTTCATAGGTGGTGGGTGGTATGAGGCTACGCAGGCGAAGATTCCGCGCATATGTTGCTGTGTTGAGTTGGATACGTTCCAGCGACCATCCACGTTGGCGATACTCTCGTAGACCCTCCAGCCATATAGAGTACTTTTCTGGAGGCCAACAGGACGAGGACTGCACATGTCGATAAGCAAAAGGCTCTCCACTGTGCGTCCAGCGGCTGCAAGCTGACGGCAAACCTCATACGAGATCATTGCTCCACCAGAAAATCCACCAATCGAGAAAGGTCCCTCCGGTTGAAACTTTATCAATGCTTCAACTATGATTTTCGCAACGCCCGGAAAGCCCACTTCAGTGGTCAGCCTGCTTGGGCAGCGGAGGAAAGGCGAATCAATACCATAGACGGGGATGTTCGAGCTCAATGGGGCCAGGTGTATGTACGTGGCGATACTGCCAGTGCCATCGGCAATGAGGTAGAATGGTCTCTTTCCGCTTGACGGGCGCCCATGTAAAAGTATGGGTCTAGTACTCGGGGCTGGAGAATCATCCTCGGCTGGTGAGGAAACCATTACAGTGTCCTCCTCAACTTCCGAAGATGATGCATTCTTCTTCGACGTGTCATCGGAAATTGCTGCTGTACCATTGATAAATGGTGTGCTTGCACCGTCCGTGGATCTTGGAGTGCTTTCAATCATGGAAAAGTCGGAGCTGGGTTCGGAGTGCGGGGTGGAAGTTTGGGATTTTGCAAACGCATTTCGCAAATTGCCAATCGTGTGGTAGTCCAAGAGAAAAGAAGGAAGCATATCCGTGCCGGTGCTGTTGTTTACATTGGTCGTGATTTCAATGCCCATAATAGAGTCAATGCCTGTAGCGTACCCAAAGTCAGCCAACATGCTTCTAATTATTACTGAGGCATTGCATGATACTGAAGACATACCTAAGTCAACCAATACTGTATCATCAGTAAGGTCAGCAATTTCTGTGCCAGTTCCCTTTGAGATGCTGTCAAGAATGGCTTCAAGAACTTCGTTGTTTGAAGTAGTGTTCTCTTCTCCTGTCGACGCCGCAGTCTCTGCTACTTTCGGTGCATCCTTCTGGAAATTTGAACGACTCTGTGGGCTAGGTCCTAGTCCAATGGGCTCGGGGCTAGGCGTTGGCTTTATTGTATCTTTTCCTTGCACCTGGGAACTGGTTGCTGATTTCCCGAGGAGTTGGTCTAAGATGGCGTTGCTAACTTCATGAAAGCGGAGAGCGGAACATTGCATGACAAGCTTTTCTGTGTCGAAGACGTATACGTCGCAACATGTTGTGGTCTTGTCTCTTTGCGAAATGCGAACATACGTGTAGTACGGCTTTCCTGGTTCCATGTCGACGGTCTGCTCGAGGCTGTCAAAGCTATCCATCATAAAAGTCGTTTTCGCCCCAAGGCGGTCGGTGTTTCCATTCACGAGGAAGCCTGCTAGATGCACAAGGCTCTCGCCCCAGTAAGGTGATGATACAAACTGGGTCCCATGAGGATTATTGCAAAGAACAATCTCTGCAGCGGCTTCCGCGAAGTCGCTTGATATGAACGCTTCTTTGATACATTTGAAAGCGGGGTCGTACTCGACTGTGTTGGCAAAGAGTGAGTAGAGAATCCCAGGTAGCATTCTGTGTCCGTTTCCATCTTTGGCAATCCTGATCAACTCGTTCATCCTACCCTTGATGAAGTAGGAGATCCGGTCCCAGTTAGACTGTAGGTCGTTTGCATCAGTGACAGTCACCAAGCAACTGCCGAGATCGTACGAAGAGCGCTGCGAGGAAGCTTTCCATGAAACATGAAGCCTATTGCTGGATGAGGTGTCGGTGAGGACTGTTGTAAGCAACTCCCCTTCAGAGCCCACGAGGCTCCTCGTCAGTGGCCGCTTGAGGGATACATCCTTGACAGTGAACCTTATGCTCTCAGCGTCTTGCCTTTTGCTGTAATGGAGAGTGTATTTAGCAGCAGCAGCGGCTGCTTCGCAAAATACACTTCCTGGAACCACGGACACTCCTCGGAGCCGATGGCCATCGACGAGAGCCTTGAAACCGGGATTAGCAATCGAAGCTCGCAGCGTTACCGAGAGCTTTGGCGTTGTTGATTCTTGAACAACATGTTGCGCGCAAGTCGATATCTCTCTTGCTGGAGCGAGAGTAGAAACCGAATTAAGAGCTTTGTCTTTTTCGGTGTAGGTGAGCCAAAAGTCCTTCAAATCCCAAGCATATGACGGCAGTGTCAACAGTGTCAATGCATCCGTGAATGGGGCATGTAGCGCAAGCCAGTCAATGGAAACACCGTTGGTATAAGCGCCAGCGAGGCACTTTGAAATAGTCGTCCAAGCATTGGTGTTGGACTCCAAGCTGGACATTATTTTGCTGGAAGACGGAGAGAGAGTGGCCCGAACAAAGGAGCTACAGACTGGACTCGGTCCAATTTCGAGCCAGATAGGGTCGCCAAGCTTGTCTCTGACAGCATTGAGCGCACCTACAAAATTTACCGGGTGCCGAGTCTGGCGACCTAGGTAATGTCCATTAAAGATACCAGGTGCCTCCACAACGGAGCCAAGCAGGGTTGATGCCACGGGGATTTTCGGTGTGGAATATGTAACGCCTCCTGCTAGGGCAATATAGTCGTCTACCATCGGGTCCATCTGGAAAGAGTGAAAGCCGTACGGGACTGAGAGAAGTTTTGAAGGCGATGTCAAAGATTTTTGGAACTCGGCAATATCATCAGCGCTTCCGCTAACAACCGTGGCATCGGGACTGTTTAGACAGGCTACTGCACAGGATAGATGTGGTTTTGTGTCCAAAATATCGTGAACAGCCGCTGCAGACATTTTCGTGGCCAGCATAGCGCAAGCGTTGGCTTCGCATCTCTCTGATAGCAGTCGCGCGCGATGGCCAATGAGGTAGAGCATGTCGGCTAATGAGAGGACGCCGCAAACATGCAGAGCAGCATACTCGCCCAGAGAGTGTCCTATGGCCATTGCTGGTTGAATTCCGCACGATCTCCAGAAGGAAGCGAGGCCAACCTCAAGTGTGACAACGGCTAGTTGAGTTTGTAATGTGTCCTTCGTTGACACATCAGTGTCTTTGTTGGTGATAATGTCGAGGAAAGGCGGGAAACCGTGCTCCTCGCAAATACTCGCACACAAGTCGATTGTCTCGCGGAATGGGCGACACGTAGCATAAAGCTCACTTCCCATGCCGGCATAGTGGGATCCCTGTCCGGTGAAGACAAAGATGATCGATGAGACGGGTGAGAGAGCTGCATCTACTGTGTCTTGTTCGAGTTTGCCAATCAGCTCTCTTGTTGTTGAAGCGGTGCAAGCGAATCGAATGAGATGGTGCATCCTTCTTGCGGTAGTCGTGTATGCAATGTCTTGGATATTGGCATTTTCATTTGCTCGAAGCCATTCGAGGAGATTGCGCTTGTTTGCAAGGTACGACGCTTTGGTTTTGCCGGAGGTCACGATGACATGACTGCTACGAGGGTCTACACCTTGTTTGACAACGACTGAGTAATCTTCGAGCAGCATGCAAGCATTTCCGCCCTATTTAAATCAGTATTAGCTTGATTCAAAACATTTAAATTTCCAGAGACAACGTACCGCTGCATCAAAATTATTGAGAAGAATACGTCTCGGTTTGTGGTCCATAGGTTTAAATTCCTTGGGCTCCGAGGGGATGTCAATGCCAAGTTCGGAAAGAGAAGGATATTTGGGATTTAGCGCGTGGGGCATTCCAGCTTGCGGCGGCATTACATCTTTCTGTATAACGTGTCAACACATTCAATATATTCCTCCCGTGGAATTCACTTACCTGAAACATCAACAAGCATTTCAGCAACGACGCCATGCCGGCGGCCTGTGTAAGTTGTTAAAATTAAAATAGGAGTTCAGTTTAAGAAGGAAGTACTTACCGCTTCACTGTGGCCAACGTTAGCCTTGACGCCGCCAACTGTCAAAGGCCCATGTCCTTGTCGGTGTTTGAAGATGCTCGCAATTGCCCCCATCTCTGCTGGATCACCAACCTGAGTGCCAGTTCCATGCATTTCGACGTACGAAATGTCATGCGGGGAGATTCGAGAACTGTTCAGAACCTTCTGGAACAGCCGCTCCTGCGCACCGGCATCAGAAGTTGTGATGGAGGTGGAATTGCCGGAGTGGTTTCTTCCAGAGCCAGCAACTACTGCTAGAATATTGTCGTTCTGCGCTACCGCATCCTCTAGACGCTTTAGAATAACCGTTCCAGCAAAATCGGCTCGACAATAGCCGTCCGCATCATCACGATAGGTTTTGCAGTTCCCCGTATCGGATAAAACTCCAGACTTGCTAAGACCAGTCCATGAGTGGGGCCATGTATTGATATTGGCCGCACCGACAACAGCCATGTCGATATCCTTGGCACGTAAACTCATAGAAGCGAGGTGTACAGCGGCAACTGATGATGCGCACGCGGAATCAAGCGAATAGGTCGGGCCCTCCCACTTAAATTGGTAGGCAATACGGCCAGCTCCTGTATCCCACGCGTGAGAATCAATTGTCCGGTTCTAGGAAGACAAAAAAAGAAGGGACATTAGACGTTGAAATTTAGAAGACTTACCAAATGCACGCTGAATTCCCTGCAATGTATACGAATCGCAACCGAGTTCGTGGTGAGTTACCATATGCCAGTCATCAGTGGATTGCCCGAAGAAGGCTGCAATTTTTCTCGGGTCCGTCGCTCTGGTTTGCCCGTCCGAGTATCCGGCCATCTCGAGAGCCTCATATGTACTCATCAAGAACTGCCGATGACATGGATCCATCAACAACGCTTCTCTTGGTGATACACGGAAGAACCGAGAATCAAAGTTTCCGGGCTTGTTCATGAAGCAGCCGAATCTGGTGGTTGAAGTGCACGTATCTTTGTGCTCGGCGCAATAGAACTCGTCAATGTCGAAGCGGTCTTTAGGAATCTCCTCGGCAAGGTCCTTTTTCGACATGATGATGTTCCAGAATTCTTCGAGATTGTCGCTGCTTGGGCCTCGTCCCGCCATGCCTACAATGGCAATCCGGCCTGGGCTAGGCATGCATGTTTCTTCCAAACTTTCATCTGTTTGGAAAGAGGCGGTGCTTCCAGCCGCTTTTAGTATGCTCGCTAGATAGGCTGTGTGGCTGCTGGGGCCCATGACTTTCACGTCAAGATGTTGGGAACCCAACCACGAATTGAGTTGGCCAACGACCTTTGTGATATCTAGTGGCACCGAGATAACTTGGAGGGCCATGGCTCTTAGCAGGTTTCCCCAGCTGGCGTAAGTGGCTTTAGGATCGTCCATTCCCCAAAGCCTGAAGTTGGGAAGGACGGGTTTGTCAAGCAAAGCCGAGCACCCAATGATGTAGTCAATGTCCACCTGGGACACTGTAACGCAGTGCTGAAGGGCGAAGATATTCAACTTGTCTTTTGGAAGGGATTTCAAAGCGGGACATTGCTTTATGATGAGCTCTAGGACGGTTGGTGGGCCAATAACGGTACACCATCTGTCGCCCGTTATAGCGACCTTCGCTCTCTTGATAGGCGGGACTCCCTAATGATATTTCATCAGCTTAGCAAGATAGTTTCCCAAGCTTCTACGTACCATGCTTTGTTGAAACTGTTCAAGAACTTTGCGAAGTTCATCTGGAGCGATGCCAATCACAGCGCATCCCCAGCTTCCAGGGCGGTCCTCAATAGCCCTTGATCGTACCGATGTGATGATGCATAGTCTAAAAAATACCCTCGCTACCTCCAGAACAGCAGCGTATAGAGATGCAAAATCTGTAGCGACGGCCACTGCACAGAGATTTGCAAGGCCTCCAGAGATTCCGAGGTTTTCAGGCTTGGGCCCAGTTGCGCTCACAAGTTGCGGCTCTCGTTTAACCCATCTTTTTCTTGTTAGCTATGGTTAACAATCGGACGGGTCAGAACTTACTGTAGTAACATTGCCGCTCTCAAAGCATGTACCAAGATAGCATGCGCCATGCCCACTTCGTCGGCCTCATGACGATATCGATTTGCGAGTTCAAGAAGGCTAGAGCAATCGGCAATGCTGTCTCTCAGAACATGATCTCTTTCTTTGATTTCGTCCTTTGCTGCCTGAAATATGTCTTCCAGGAAGGTTTGGAGCCATGGCATCGATACAGCTTGTCTGTAAAGCTGGTCGATCCCTTCAATCCAGGAATCTGTGTTGTCCCCAACAAAGAGGATTTTCTGCTGAGTAGCCTCCATCTCTTGTAGGAGTAATACCGCCAGTGGACAAGGTTTTCGAAATCAAGCTGCTTCGCGTAAAGCGATGTGTTGGAACTTGAGAACGGGTATGAAGCCGATGTGCAACTTCACCATGTGTAGGTATACATATGATATAGGGTATACGGAATTATCGTCAAAGGAAATATCCGGTCTATACTCCTTGGGACTGAAAATGGTTATCGAAGCTATGGAACCTGAATGGCTGCACTACCATGCGCCACCTCTTTGGTGCTTACATCAATATTTTTCGGCCTAGAGATTTCCCTTAGTGCTCACGCAAAAACACGTATGTGGTTTCGGCGCTTATTAATATTTCCCCTCTTCTTTCTTATCGTTATGTTGGAGACTTTAAACACTCCGAGCAAGGCCTGTAAGCGCTCTTCAAAAAACCGACCTTGGTAAAATAAGCACTAGACTAAGGCTTGCAGTATAATCAACTTTAAGTCAGATTTCGTGCGCTAGTGCTTACACCCCCTAGTAGGGTAGTTGCAGGGGAAAATTTCGACATGACGCGTTGTAAGGAATAACCTCAAATGAAGATAAGCTGAATAGAAGGAGTTAATGACGTACGAGGCATGTAGAAAGTACGTGCTGGGGAGGGATAATGTTCGCTGCTTAGAAGTGTAAGCACCGAACTTCACGATATGCACTTTTCATGTAAGCACTAAACATGCTGTGCGTGGCAAGGAATGGGAGATAGTACAATATAGGACTGTCCAGAATGAAAGTAGGTCTAGTAAAGTTGTGATAGAATTCGTTGCTGTTTGAGTGTTTAGACATCATGTCGTCAACCAGCCATTCACCACACGTCCCAATTGCCATTGTCGGCTTAGCATGTCGCTTCCCCGGCGATGCTTCCTCACCATCGAAGTTCTGGGATCTCTTGAAGAATGGAAAGGGCAAGTATAATCGATGCAAATCACTCTCGAAACTCTACTGACAGTCTTAAAGATGCCTACTCTTCAACAACGGATCGGTACAATACGGATGCATTTTACCATCCCAATGCTAAAGATCGACAAAATGTCTTGCCTACCAAGGGTGGACACTTCCTCAAGCAAGATCCGTATGCGTTTGACCCATCATTTTTCAACATTACGGCCGCGGAAGCCATTGCGCTCGACCCAAAACAGCGCATAGCTCTAGAAGTCGTCTATGAAGCCTTGGAAAATGCTGGCAAGCCTCTCCAAAAGATTGCAGGCACTCAAACAGCGTGCTACATCGGCTCCTCGATGAGCGATTATCGAGATGGTATTGTGCGGGATTTTGGGCATTACCCCAAATATCACATTTTGGGAATCAGCGAGGAGATGATCTCCAATCGCGTCTCTCATTTCCTGGATATCCATGGTCCTAGCGCCACCGTCCACACGGCCTGCTCGTCGAGCCTCGTAGCAACTCACCTTGGTTGTCAAAGCATAAAGTCGGGAGAATCGGAAATGGCCATCGTCGGGGGCGTTGGTATGATCCTCAGCCCAGATGCGAACATGCATCTCCACAACTTGGGCTTTTTAAACCCTGAGGGTCACTCAAGAGCATTCGATGAGAATGCAGGTGGCTATGCCCGCGGTGAAGGCTGTGGAATTCTGGTCTTGAAGCGACTGGACAGAGCCCTTGAAGACGGAGATTCTATTCGAGCTGTTATTCGAGGCTCAGGTGTGAACTCCGATGGTTGGACGCAGGGTGTGACAATGCCTTCAAGCGAAGCACAAGCCGCTTTGATCAAGTATGTGTACGAGTCGAATGGTTTAGATTATGGGTCTACTCAATATGTCGAAGCCCATGTAAGTAAAACTCCAAGATGGTTGACAATTTTGATTGAGCTAATGCGGATATGTCCCAGGGTACCGGCACTAAGGCGGGTGATCCAAAAGAGATCGGAGCAATTCACCGCACCATTGGCCAGGGCACCACCAAGTCTCGCAAGCTGTGGATTGGCAGTGTTAAGCCAAACGTGAGTGAGAAGCCTGTTCCGTCCGAGATCATGCAACTAATTATTAGCAGATTGGCCATCTTGAGGCTGCTGCCGGTGTTGCCGGCATTATCAAGGGTGTGCTTGCCCTGGAAAATGGACTAATTCCTCCAAACATCTACTTTTCGAAGGCAAATCCTGCCATTCCTCTACAAGAATGGAACATGGCGGTACCTACAAAGCTAACGCCCTGGCCTGCTACCCAGACAGTGCGACGCATGAGCGTCAGTGGGTTCGGCATGGGCGGTACGAACGGACACGTCATCCTGGAGTCATTCAAACCCAGTCAAAGACATCTTACCAACGGCAATAGTACTGCAAACGACAAACTCGTCAATGGCGATGGTACTGCTCTACATAGCGCCCATCATCCAGGGAAGAGATTGTTTGTCCTTAGCAGTCAGGATCAGGCTGGTTTCAAGCGCGTGGGCAAGGCACTTGCGGAGCACCTAGAGAGTCATGGCCCTGCTGCATCGACCCCGGACTATCTCGCCAACCTTGCATACACGCTTGCAATTGCAAGATCCGGCTTATCTTGGAGGGCCAGTTTCCTAGCTGAAAATGCGGCGGAGGTGCGGGAGAAGTTAACAACGGATCCGGGAGAGAACGCCTCTCGCATGTCAACCAGCCAACCACGCATTGGCTTTGTCTTCACTGGGCAAGGCGCTCAATGGGCGCGGATGGGCCTCGAGCTACTAGAGCACCCCGTGTTCAAGGGTTCTGTGGCAAAGTCTGCCGAGATTTTGAAAACCCTCGGATGCGACTGGGACCCAATCGCGGAGCTGGCCAAGGACAAAGACGAGTCGCGACTTGGAATTCCCGCGATTTCACAGCCAATTTGCTCAGTCTTGCAGATTGCCCTGGTCGATGAACTGAGTTCGTGGGGTATAACTCCATTGAAGGTTGTTGGTCATTCAAGTGGAGAAATCGCTGCAGCTTATGCCACCGGAGCTTTATCCCACCACGACGCTATAGCAGTGGCCTATTTCAGGGGCAAAACATCTGCCGGGCTCAAGCACCTCAAAGGCGGCATGATGGCTGTTGGGTCTTCCCCAGAAGATGCCCAAAACCTAATCGTCGAGGCTAAGCTCTCCGGTGGCGCCGTGACTGTCGCTTGTGTCAATTCACCTTCGAGTGTCACCCTTTCCGGCGATGTTGCTGCACTTGAAGAGCTAAAGATTTTCTTAGAAAAGCGAGGTGTGTTTGCTCGACGACTCAAGGTTGATGTCGCCTATCATTCGACCCATATGAGCTCTGCCGTGGGCGAATATTCATCCTCAATCGCAGACATCGAGCCTGCGCAATCAGTCGAGGGTCAACCCGTAATGGTATCGAGCGTCACGAGCAGCGAAGTGGATTCCGAGCTTTTAGGTCCCTACTACTGGATTCGAAACTTAGTTTCCCCCGTTCTGTTCGCGGACGCCGTTAAAGAACTGGTCGTGCCATCCGACGGTGATGGAGGGAATACGGTCGACCTTCTGGTTGAGATTGGCCCTCACAGCGCACTGGGTGGGCCGATCGAGCAGATTCTTTCTCATCATGGTATCAAAAATGTTGGCTACAGTTCAGTGCTTACTCGCGGTGAGAACGCACTCGATTGTAGTCTCAAATTTGCTGGAGATTTGTTCCTTCAGGGTGTACAGTTCAACGTGCAAGAAGCGAACGGCGATTTGCACTGCAGCCTTCTGACGAATCTCCCTCCGTATCAATGGTGAGTCTTATTGCCTCGATATCATGAAATGTAGGCTAACAGCAAATTTTGCGACGTAGGAACCACTCGAAAACTTTCCGTGCCGACTCTCGCATTCATAGGGAGCTCATAGCACAGAAGTTTCCCACAAGAAGTCTCATCGGTGCGCAACTCCCTACGCTGGCCGAAAACCAATATGAATGGCGAAGCTTTATAAGACTCTCAGACGAACCTTGGCTCCGCGGCCACACTGCTGGCAGCACAGTTTTGTTTCCAGGAGCCGGGATTGTGAGCATGGTCTTAGAAGCCGCCCAACAGTTGGCAGATTCAGGAAAGACAGTCCGTGCCTTCAGATTACGCGATGTTAATCTCTTTGCTGCCATGGCTCTTCCAGAAGACCAGGCTACTGAGGTTATCATTCACTTGCGACCACATCTCATCGCCACCACTGGGTCAACGCCGGCGAGCTGGTGGGAGTTCACTGTCTCATCTTGTGTTGGCACAGACCAACTGCGGGACAATGCACGAGGGTTGGTAACGATCGACTACGACGATAACCGTAGCCTGCAAATGATTGCTGAGGACGCCATGATCGTTGCCGCGCAGATTGAAGACTACCATCGCATTCACCATGAGTGTCCGGAGGTTTATTCCAAAGAGCGATATTATCAACAGTTTGTCAAGGTCTCCTGGAACTATGGAGAGTTGTTCCAAGGCGTGGAGAGTTGCCGTCCAGGCTATGGCAAGACTGTCTTCGATATCCGACTTGTCGATATTGGAGAGACATTCAGTAAGGACCAGCTGGATCGACCGTTCCTCATCAATGCTGCTTCTCTCGATGCAATTTTTCAGGGTTCGCTCGGGGCTACATACAACAACGGCACCTTTGAGTTCGACAAGCCTTTTATGCCGACATCAATCGGCGAGTTAGAGATATCTGCTAGTATTCCGGCTGATGCAGACTACATCATGCCAGGTCTTTGTCGAGCAGAAAGGTACGGCTTCAACGAGTTATCCGCAGATATAGCCGTCTTCGACAAGAACCTTTCCACCGTCTTCATGACAGTTAAAGATTTCCGAACCTCAGAATTAGACATGGATTCTGGGAAGCCCGACGGTGACAGCATCGAAGTGGATCGGGCTGATATAACATCCGAAGTCACATGGAACCATGCCCTTGGTCTACTTAGACCTGATGAAATCGACCAGGCATTGAGCGCATTTGCAGCTCAGGATAGATTTACTGAGGTGAGTTTGGCTTTGAAGCTTCCCATTAGAAACTAAATTGGGATTCAGCTAACCCGTATTGTAGCTTGTTCGCATGATACTTCACAACAACCCGGCGGCAACCGTCGTCGAGTTGATCTCAGAGACAGGTGATCGTACAAATGCAACCATGTCAAGCCTATCTGGAAGCGTTGTTCCTCAGAGCCGGGTCCGTTATGCTGTTGCAAAAGCTGACGATGGGGGCAATACTCGGATTTTGTCCTTTGGCGATGACGATACTCTGGTGCCAACTGACAAAGCTTCCATGGACTTGTTAATCATTTCGCATGATGTTTCAGACACAGACGATCTCGAGAGACTTGTTAACCTTGCAAGTCAGCAACTGGTCAAACCTGAAGCCACTATTGTCGTGGCTGCATCTAATGAAGCTGCAGCTTCAAAGTTGGCGAGCATGGGTTTCGAAATCATCCCAAGCATTGACGGCAGTAAAACACTCGCATATAGCACTCACAGAGGTTTGCAATCTGGGATTGTCACGAATGGCTCGCCAAAACACGAGATATCCATTTTCGAGCCGTCCACAGCTGGAGTCGACACTCAGAAACTCTCCTCTACGCTCCAGGATATCCTACAGAGCCAAGGCTACTCTGTCCTTATAAACTCTTGGGACGATGACTTTAATGCTCTCAGCATTAAGGATAAGACGTGCATATCTTTGCTGGAGCTTGAGAAGCCACTGTTGGATAACCTCTCGGAGCGCGATTTCAAGAGCATTCGAACAGTGGTGTTGAGCTGTGAGAGGCTCCTGTGGATCACATCTGGCGACAATCCAGCTCTCGGAATGGTAGACGGCTTCTTGCGATGTATGAAGAGCGAGATGGCAGGTACAAAGTTCCAAGTCTTGCACCTTAGTTCAACAGGGTTGCAGCACGGTCCCTCACTTGCGACCCGGATCCTCGAGTCGGACAGCACCGACAGTGAGTATCGAGAAGTAGACGGTCGCCTTCAAGTTGCTCGCATTTTCAAAAGTTTCCAGCAAAACGAAAGTGTCCGCCACCATCTGGAAGACTCTACTCGCATTGAGACTGTAGGTGACAATGGTGAAGCGCTGCGGCTCACTATTGGCAAGCCAGGTCTTTTGGACACTTTGAGATTTGTCCCGGATGAAAGGCTGCTACCTCCACTCGAAGAACACGAAGTCGATATCCAAGTCAAGGCTACGGGCCTAAAGTAAGTACTTTGACACATGGATCGTCTAGTTGACAAACTAATTTTGATGGCCTGTAGCTTTAAGGATATTATGGCTTCTATGGGTCTAATTCCCCAGCAGGGACTTGGCCTAGAAGCCAGTGGTACCGTAATACGAGTTGGCACCAAGGCTACCAGTTTCAAGCCTGGTGATCGTGTTTGTACCATGCAGCCTCTGCAACTCGGATGCCACGCAACCAAGATCCGAGTGGACTATCGAGGCCTAGCTAAGATCCCAGACTCTATGTCTTTCGAAGAGGCCGCATCGGTTCCTACTGTGCACTCGACTGCGTATTACGCGTTCGTCCGTGCGGCGAAGCTTCGCAAAGGCCAGTCGGTGTTGATTCATGCTGCAGCGGGAGGCGTGGGGCAAGCGGCAATACAGTAAGTATTTCTATGCTATCAGGGCATACTGATTTTAAATACTGATAATTTGCCAATTTAGGTTGGCCAAATATCTCGAGCTCATCATCTATGTCACCGTGGGCACAGATGACAAGCGTAGGCTTATAACCGAACAGTACGGTATCCCTGATGAACACATCTTTAACTCGCGCGATGCTAGTTTCGTCAAGGTAAGATATTCCATAACTGCCTTCGTCTTTCTTTAGCCTTTTTTGTGGTGCGTACTGACCGCATCCTACTCAACAGGGTATCAATCGGGTAACGGGTGGCCGAGGCGTCGACTGCATTCTCAACTCATTGTCTGGCGAGTTGTTAAGAGCTTCCTGGGGATGCCTCGCATCTTTCGGAACATTTGTTGAGATTGGTCTTCGTGACATTGCCAACAACATGCGTCTCGATATGCGACCATTCCGGAAAAGCACTTCGTTCGCCTTCGTCAATAATCTCACTCTTTATGACGAAGATCCGGAAGAATTCTACAAACTATTCCATCAGTGTTTCGCACTGATTGAGAAGGGCATTCTCCGACCTCCGACTTCCGTCGTCTCGTACCCAATTGGTCAGGTTGGGGAAGCATTCCGAACCATGCAACAAGGCAAGCATCGCGGAAAGTTGGTACTCTCCTTCCCAGACGATGCCAACGCTCCTGTCCTACGCAAAGCCAAAGACTCTTTAAAGCTTGACCCTGAATCCACATATCTTTTTGTTGGCGGCTTGGGTGGCTTGGGTCGTAGTCTCGCGAAAGAGTTTCTGGCATCTGGAGCTCGAAACATCGCGTTTCTCTCACGATCTGGCAATACCACGCCACAGGCGAAAGCTGTCGTGGATGAGCTCGCGGCTGGCGGGGCACAGGTCAGAGCCTATCGTGGCGATATATCCAATTCCGCCTCCTTCCTCGCTGCTATGGACCAGTGCGCACAGGACCTGCCACCGATCAAGGGCGTTATCCAGATGGCCATGGTACTCCGAGACATTGTTTTCGAGAAGATGTCGTATAAAGAGTGGAAACTTCCCGTCGGTCCGAAGGTCCAGGGAACATGGAACCTTCATAAATACTTCGGCCACGAGCGACCGCTGGATTTCATGGTCATCTGTTCGTCAACTTCTGGAATCTTTGGGTACCCTAGTCAGGCCCAATATTCCGCTGGAAACACATACCAGGATGCCCTTGCTCACTATCGCCGCTCTCAGGGCCTCAAGGCCATCTCCGTAAACCTTGGTATCATGCGCGACGTTGGTGTACTTGCGGAGACAGGCACCAGTGGTAACATCAAACTCTGGGAAGAGGTGTTGGGCATCCGCGAACCTGCATTCCACGCCCTCATGAAGAGTTTAATCAACCAGCAGTACCGGGGTTCTCAAGAACATTGCCCTGTACAGGTTTGCACCGGATTGGGTACCGCGGACATCATGGCTACTCACGGTCTTGCTCAGCCCGACTACTTCAGCGACCCACGCTTTGGACCTCTGGCTGTCACTACCGTGGCTGTCTCTGCCTCGACAGAGAGCCAAGGCTCTGCTGTATCGCTTGCTGCCAGAATTTCCAAGGCCTCCAGCAAGGAAGAGGCAACAGAAATCATTACGGGGGCTTTAGTTCACAAGACAGCGGACATCCTCCAGATGCCTTCATCAGAGGTTGACCCTAGTCGGCCGTTGTATCGGTACGGCGTTGATTCGCTCGTGGCACTGGAGGTAAGAAACTGGATCACAAGAGAGCTGAAGGCGAACATGGCTTTGTTGGAAATTCTTGCAGCTGTGCCCATTGAGAGCTTTGCCGAAAAGATCACGGAGAAGAGCAAGCTGGTGACTGCAGCAGGGTCGTGAGCTTAGTGACAGTTGCGACAATTATTCACAGTAGAAGTTTATTGAACGTATTGTAGCCGTACGGGAAAGCGTTTGAGTTTTGTGAATTTGGGTAGGTAGCTTGTAGCTTAACATCATTATTATATAAAGCTAATTTCAGGTACCAATCATGGTTTCATGTTCTCTGTGCTACTAGGTGCTTCTACAAATCTCTACTGCAGGCAAACTACAAACAGCAAACAGCCAACACGTACTTTCTTTCACGCACTTTTTTATTTTATTTAGCAGTCACGGCCTTCTGCAAGGCTAAAGGCAGTGCTCTCACGTCTGTTAGATATATTAAATCAATTCGATTTCCTCGTTCCGAGGTCAAACAGGTTATGAGCTGCGTGGCGCAGTGAATAGTACAATTCGGTGTCGCGGGTCGCCGTCAGGGTCCACGCCAACAAAACTCTGCTCACAACCCCGCTCTCTCTCACCCCAGCACAACCCACAATGGAGAATATCTTTGCAGATCAAATTAATGGAAATTCCTATAAAGGTCGCAATCTTTCTCATAACCAGCGAGTTTGGATCATTTCCGCAAGCGAACAGGGCACCAGCCAGCATGAGATCGCACAGGTCACCGGCCTACCTCGGTCGACCGTAGCAGGAACAATTCAACGCTTTCACAAGACACAACGCATTGATCTAGAGCCCCGGCCAGGACCTAAAAAGAAGCTTAGTTTTCGTACCCAGCGGAAAATAGTTCGTTATATCAACAGATTTCTAAAGGCAACCTATAAACACGTTATAAAAGAGCTACAGTTAAATTATAGTAAATCTATATTATACCGGGTTTTAAAAGAATAGAATATAATAAAATGGCGTGCTAAGAAAAGACCGTTTATTTCTAGAGAGGTTGCTAGAATAAGGTACCGCATGGCCAAGAAATATAGAAAAAAAAGTAAGAAATATTGGTATAAATATTTCTTCTGCGATGAGTGCTCGGTTAAGTAAGGCACTAGCTAGAGACCGGAGTAGACTTTTCGTAAGCCAGGCTAGGAAAAGTATCTTCTAAAGAATATCCACTCTTATCCTCTTAGAAAACATGCTCGCTGCATAGTCTAGGCCGGTTTCTCAGTTAGATATAGCCGGTCTAAATACATTCCACTAGAGAGAGATCCCGAGTTAAAAAAGAACGGTATTTCTTCAAGGAGTTATATTAAAGTCCTTAAAGAAGCTATCCTAATAAATCTCGAGCCAGACATGTTATTTATACAAGATAATTCTTTAATCTATACAGCTAAAAGGGTGAAGGTATGGCTGGCTAATACCGGCATTACCTAGTTCGAGCTGCTACTATATTCACCAGATCTTAACCCGCAGGAAAACCTTTGGTTCCCACTAAAAGCGAAGCTAAATGAGCTGAGACCTGATCTACTGGCTAGGAAAGGTGACCCGGAAGCAATTGAAGCTGAGATAGCCGAGTGGTTGCCTCGTGCTTAGGAGCATGTCCAGAGGCCGACTGTGAAGAAGCTCGCTCGGTCTATAAAGGCTAGATAGGAAGCTGTGTACAGGGCTAAGGGCTATCAGATAAAATATTAATAAGAATTAACGAAGGAATCGAATTCTTAATAAATTAAGTGATTTGCAGCTGCGTGGGTTGATTCGTTGTGTGTGAGAAGGTGATGGTCGCCGGTCGCAATCGGTGTTGCAGAGACCCTGACGGCGACCCGCGACACCGAATTGTAATTATATCCTTAGTTTTCTACATTCTACCACTAATAGTCCCCTACACCCACTGAAATAATTTCTAACAAGATAAGACATATTAATTAGTTACACGTATACCTATTTCACTTGTTACTACTATCCTTATACCATTATCTAAGCTCTCTAAAGATACTGTTATTTTGCAGTGAAGACCGAGACGTTGAGAATCGGATACTGTTAAAGCTTACCTTACTCATGCGTGGGGTATTCTGAGTATGCCTAGACAACAGTCTGTAGTCATTATATTCTATTTTTATCTTGCATTACGCGGTTTAAAGCGTGATCGGGTTAGTGCTTATAGCTATACACCCGAATAAGAAATTGTTGTACGCGAGAATAACTTTACATAAAAGATCGCCTTGATAGAGACATAGGCTTTAGAACCTATACGGAATAGTGCTTACAGGAATAAATAAGCTTACTAGTACTTACGGGGTAGGATGAAGCGAGGTAGGAAAGTGGTTAATCGATGTCAGGCTATTGGAAAATGATTCTGTCTCCACTTTTAAGGAGGGACCTTTTCTACTTATTAGCACTAGCTTCAGGTGTCTTCATAATACTATCTGTTACCCTCTAGTTACCCTCTAGTACGTTCTATAAACGGGTACCTTGATGCCCTGCATTTTTATTTACCAAAACCTCGCTGCCAGTCCATCTCCTTCATTTCGATTCAGCTGCGCTTAAGTCTTCTTAGGCAAGGTTTATTTCATGATTCCAAATACTCTAATATTATATTTATAAACACCAACCTGAATTTGAAAGGGGAGACGCTGGAATATCAAGTGGTTGTTCCCGCCACTTCTAGTATTTGAGAAATCAATCAAGCATTTCTTAGTCTTATCCTTCTAAGGGAAATGTCCAACGAAATAAACGCCTCCGTTACATCGCTTCCCAATTTCTATAGGAACTCTGCATTTGTGTGACCCTGAGCCGAGCCTTGAAATGGATAAAGCGCATGCATGTCGAAGCCATTCATCGGCATATGTCCGACCGCCGGTGTGTACACATGACTATGATGGCAGCAGCACCTCCGCTTCGTTGATGATGGCAACGCTATATATGGATGCGATACATGCTGAGGGGTGTTAAAAGGCGAGCTGAAGTTGACTGCGGGCGCTCCACATGATTGTTCAGAATGGTCATACAAGGCACGACTGCAATCTTCTGACGATCCAATCCTGGATGATGCAGGTAAAGGTGATCTGTTGTAAAAACTGTGTATGCGTTGGTGCTGGCTGGCGGGTTGGACTTGGGAGTGGTACGAGGTGGGGTTGGAGCCGGGCGTACATACGCACGGAGTCCGTGATGCCGAGAGTTGATGGGTAAAATGTTGCAAATCGTGGTCCAATGGCACAAACTGCTGCTGGAGAGCCTTGGGCGCGTGACCATTACAACTGTTGTGCGTTGTGTGCTGCTGGCCACCGGCGTGGAATTGACATGAATTGATACCAGAGATAGATGCTTGCGCATAATGAGGTTGTGCAGTTTGGAACGGGGATGTGGACTGTTGTAAGGCCATGTCGCATTCATCGCTTGTTGGTGGGAAGAACTGGTGTGGTGCCGTATGCACGAAATTGTCGTAACAGTTGTGCACTGGCTGCTGCTGGCTTCCGGTGTTGATGGTGTGAAAGAGACCTGGCATTGTTCCAGAATTTGTCGCGTGCGTACACTGAGGCTGTGGGGTCGAAAGTGGAGGAGTAGGAGGTTGAATGTGTATATCACAGTCATCGCTGAACATTGGGTATTGCTGCTGCTGTGCCTCGGCAGTGGATATGTCGAAGAGGCTTTGTGTTTCCTGATGTTGATTGTCTGTCTGAGAAAATTCTGAACCAGACCAAGAAGTGGGTAGCTCTTCGTATAATGTCTCAGGCGTTGGTAGGCTTGTTTGGTTTCGATCGTCCACTCGTTCCAATCGCTGCTTCTGCTTCATACCTATCGAAGGACCGTTCGATTAACTTCTTGAAGAGAGCTCACGTTCAACTCACGCCCAACACAATGGGCGAATAACTGAGACTCACTTACGATAATTGCGCTGAGCAATCCTAGTCTGAATCCGACGACGCTCTTCGAAATCCGTTATCTTGGTCCAATCTTCGTCAGGGTTTGCACAAACGCTAAAGGCGCTACTGGCAGTTTGTGATGTCTGCATTTGGCTCGTGGTAGGAGTGACATGATAGATCGGATGCATTTTAGAAAGGTTGGGTTTCACTGAGCGGCGGCATGAGACTAGAGTGGGAATTGGAAGGAAAACTTGGTAAATGGCAAGGAAGGTACATATGGACAGAGAAGGTATTCAGGCATAAGCCATGGAAGTGTCTAGACAATTAGCTCTGACATCAGCTCGTCTACCATATCTCGATCGGAATGACGCTCTTGCCGGAAGGTAACCCTTTATGGCACTAGAGGTATTCACTATCTAATTGTTCTTTACTCTTATCACATGATTTATATCCTATTAGGAGCTGTAGAAACGGAGCCTCTTCTTTGTGGGTTCTATGGTTTTTTAACCAGGGCCTGATGATATGTCCATTACTTGACTGCCGCTAAAGCACGTCTACATCCATATAACTTTGAAAGGGAAGGCGGAAGGTCAAATCTTCAGGCCTATTACACGGGGGTGGGGCTGAGTCCCTTATCATGTAAGATCAGCTCTAGAGATCAGTTAAGCAGAGAGGGGACATTAAGTCACTTACGCAATGATCTACAAGTTTTGACCCCACGGAACTATGCGGCAAAGCGCCTCATGCAGTCTTGCGTAAGCAGCCTCATAAAAGTACAATATACTCCCGTAGAAGCCACACGATAATCTAGTGCTTACAAAGTACCTAATTCGGTACTACCAGCGTCCGCCAACGTCCGGGACCCCTTGGAAAGTGTCCGAATCAAAAGCTCTCTTCGAGCTTGATTAGGTGGCCTCTCCGCTGACAGATTTGTAGCGATTTTTCCCATAGTGCCTTTTTAGCTTCAAGTAAATTAACTATTACCGCTAGCTTTGAAGTTTGTTCACAAATATCATCTATGTAATGTTTTCTTAAGCAAAAATATGCGCAAAAGTTTCGAATTTGTAAGTAGCTGTGGGTGCGCTTACTGAATGCTCAAGCACGTTCATGTGTGCCTAACGCTAGCTGCTGCATGTCAGCATTACCTGCAGCACCTGAAACACTCAATTCGTAAGCAGAAACGAAATTTTGGGGGTTATCGTCGTAGTACTCCTTATCGCTTCACCCCGTTTCTCACATGGAACTTGACTGCATGAGTGATTGGTGCTAGAACCCCCCCACATAAATGATAGAGTCAAGAATTATACTAGCTGAGTGGCAGTTGTTGCAGTGAGTGATAAGACATAAGTAGCCATTGGAACGCATTTCTCCGCCAAGTTATTAGGGCGTCTTGAGCCATGCCTGTTTCACATGAAGTCAGCGATGAATTGATGATCTACATAGTCTCACTGCCTGGCCCGTAGTCGAAGAATCGGCGACTTTTTTTTTTTTTTTTAGCGTAAATAGTGTGATTACTTGACGTCACGGAACTTCGTGTAGTTTTGTAGTGGTCCGAGGATAACGACCCTTTAGCTGAGAAAGTCATCTGCTTACTGCGCTAAAGGTTCGTTTGAATCTTGATGTACCGTGATAAACCGCGCCTTACTTTGTTAAGTAATCTTACTTTGTTAAGTGACGCTAGCCGATCAAGGCTCCATACTAGCTTACTAGAGCCTTGTTAATGTTACTGATAGTATTCGGGGAAGAACTTAAGGCTAATGTTAGTAAGATTAAATGGCGCGCCGTAACATTTTTATTTATGCTTGGGTAACTGATATTTATTTTCGTTGGTTAGAGATGAGTGAGATAAGGATTAAGCAAACAATGTCATCACTAAGTATACTCGCTCCATAGGCAAGTTTGTCGTTTACTTCCTAAACAAATACCTAATTCTTGTAAACCAACCGTGCACGGAATGAGAGCTCTAAGGTGCATTGTTTCCAACGTCGAAAGCATGTTAGCATGAGAAAGCTGTAGCTTACACAAGATCTAACCATCAAAATGTCCGGAGCGGCGGAGGCATGTCTTCGGGAATTTCTTGTAGTTGAAATTACCTAGGTTCCATAGAGAACTGTCACCCTAAAATTCATTGGGCCCGGGGCTAAACTAGCGCGTGACTAGCCAAGCACCAGGCACCAGGATCTAGCGGCCTTTAAAAGGAACGCCGTCCGCTTTCTCTCTTCTCGCATTTTTAGGATTGACCCCGAATATGCCAGAGCTTCCTTACGATATCATCGTCTGCATTATTGCAGAGCTTAAACCACTTCTCAAAGACAAGAAGCTTTCTCCATACATCGGAATATCCCGGGAATGGAACAATGCGATCGAACGAGAAACTTTCCAGACGATTGTAGTCTATTCGACTGAGCTACACCTGCGTCTTAGACCCAGTTCGACCACTTTTGAGCGCTTCAAGCAAATGATGCAGCGCAACAATGGTCGCCGTCGCGCAAACATCAAACGACTTACCTTCGTTGCCGGCATCCACAGTTCACTCGATTCGGATGAAGCCCAAACTGAGCTTGGCCAGACAGCAAACAACGAAGCTTTCACAAGATCTCTTAGTGAATTTTGCATGTTCTTAGAAGGCTGGGATGTTTGTCGTAAGTATCGGGAATTGGAGATTGCTCACTTGGCTATAAATAGCCCTTATCCACCAGAAAGCTTCTACATGAGCGGTCGGGACCGGAAAAGACTCGAATCTAGAGACAAGCCCTACTTGCGTTACAATGGTAGCTCTTTACCTTTGATACGCTACTTCGACAAGTTGCAAATGAGAGGAGGCTCTCGCATCTGGCCGCCATCCTTAGTACAGATAGCGGCATCTCTGGATGGGCTTGTAAACACCGATCTCGACCTTCGGGACCTTGTTAATGCAGACTCACAACTCCACCTCAGATATCGTCAAGGTAATGCAGATTCTGCAGTTTTAGTAGAACGCGCTAACATCCTCATAGCTCTGGGTGAGTGTATAAGCCAGTTACCTGCCTCTTGTCGCACTTTCCGTGCGAGAATTTTTCAGTATCCGTACGGATTCGAGGCAGAGCCTGAAGTGGTGGCCCCAGCACTAGATCAGCTGTGCATCGGGCTGAGAGATCTGTCTATGCGGCTACGTCACCTCTCCCTCGAAGGTATCTGCGTATCGCCCGCGCTTTTCTGGCCGGGCAAGGACGAAAGCGGCGCAAATACTGCAGCACTCTTCTGGCCAAACCTTGAAACGGTCAAGGTCGAGTTTGAGCGATTTACATCTTTTGGTGGGTTGTTTCTTGGCCTTATAAAGCGGATGGCTCACTAACCGATGGCACAAAAAGGCCAGTGGCTCTTGGACCTAGATCCCGAGTTGATATGGACAGGTGATCCATCTCGCACCGTTCCCAAGCCTGAAATAATCGGCCCCATCTTCGCGGCTGCAGGGCGCGCTGCACAATGCATGCCAGCCTTGACTAGAATGGAAGTGAAAATGCGCTCTATACCATTTGTGTTCGAGCCCCATCTTCTTTTCTGGCCTGACGAACGAAATGGCTCTATTTCTACAGTGCGTTGGACGTGCCAACTCGAGCCCGAAGTGTTCGAGGATGAGGACGAATACTACGAAGACGAAGATGAAGACGAAATGGATGAATGGGGCTATTTCGAGCCTAGCGAAGACGTCGCGGTGGAATGGTCCAGGGCCAGGGAAAGTTTTGAGCCAAGCAAAGAAGTTATGGAGGTTTGTAAAGAGGTGGGTGAGGCATGGGGTGTTACCATTAACGAACTCAAGAAAAAAGACCGCTGGTTTATTGCTGAGGCTGTTGTGCCGTGGCGAGTGGAGGATTCAGACCAGCGTTTTTCCATGGCCTAGAAGAAAAACAACACCCCGTGAATCGGACGCTTCGTTATTCGCGTAATTGTATACAGTAACAATGTTGAGCCTGGATGTAGTTGATGCTGCTAATGGTCCAGTAACGTCAAAGCGTGCTAAAGTAGTATTTACAAAGCTCGTTGCGAATTCGCAATGTTTTTGGAGTAGATTGTAAAAAGTAATGAAACAAGATAAACGGTTTATAGCATCATGTTCTTAGGATTAAGACTTTTTAGACTCTCAGAATATCTGACCATGGCTGACCGTTCTTATCACGGAGCTCTTCTCTCCATGTTGTTTTCGGCTTTTATCCTGTTACCCCGCAATGTCCGATAAGCGATGACGTGAATAGCCTCCGTCTTTACATACAAAGCATGCTACCAATCACTCTTCGTGGTTTAGCCACGTTCTCTTCCTCATCCGCAAAATTTTCATTCAATCTATCCAAGATAGATGCACTGCAAGAAACCTTCCACTAACAACCACTTCAGTCGAGACTTCAAAAGCAAAATGGTTCTCAAGCTCTACGGCTCTGCTATGTCCACGTCTCGTGTCCTGGTTACGATCCTGGAGAAAGAGCTACCATACGAGCTTATCTTCATTGACATTGCCAAAGGCGAGCAGCACAGCGAGGCGTACAAGAAGCTGCAGCCGTTTGGAAAGGTTCCTGCGTTGGACGATGATGGGTTTTTGATGTTTGAAAGCAGGGCCATTTGCAAGTACCTTGCAAGGTAAGATGGGTGTGAAAGCGAAGAGAAAACTGCACTGACTGCTAATGCTTTTTGTCAAAGAAAGTACCCGTCTGGAACAAAGCTGATCCCGGAAGGTGACGAAAATGCCTACGCCCGTTTCGAACAAGCTTGCTCTGTAGAACAAAGCTATTTCGGTGCTGCTGCTGAGACTATAGGGACCGAGCTCGTGATCAAACAGTGCGTAAATCCATGCCTTTCGCGGACCTACTATTGTTTTCCTTGCACATTAGCTAATCACTCATTGTGCAGAGCAAAAGGGCTTGGTCCCCCTGATGAAGCAAGGGTAGCACAGGCCGAAAAGGACCTTGATGCAGTTCTCGCGTATTACGACAAGCTTTTGGCCAAACAGAAGTATCTTGCTGGGGACGAACTGACTTTGGCTGACTTATTTCACTTGCCTAATGGAGCGGCTTTGAAGGCAGGAAAGTGGAGAGAGGTATTCAAAAAATACCCGAACGTAGACAAGTGGTTCAAGGGATTGCAGGAGAGAGAATCTTGGGTGAAAGCTGCTGCAGAGGCCCGAACAGTACCGTAAGATGCAGTATTTACTTCTGTTCAATGCACTCTCTCTTTGATGGACTCTGTTTGATGCTGTCCTATGGGCATATTCAAAAATTCAGATCTTACAGGTAGAACAGTATCTAAATTTCAAAGAGCTACCCGTTCGTCTTGCTCTAAGTTTCCTTTTAAGTCTTAGCTCCAAAAAATAAAAATAAAAAAAAAGAGATACCTATTCATGACGCATAACGTTTTCAACATCAAAAACGTGTAAGGGAAAGAAAGGAATGGAAACTACAAGGTGCGAGGCAAATTGACATGATTTAATTGTTACAAGGGCCATTAAAAGCCCATGATATTCGAAAAGTCAATCTGAAAATCAACAGTCCCAGCATCCTCCCTCAGCTTCTGGAAGTTATAATCATACCTAAGTTCATAAACCCTACTCTCCTCCCGCATCTTCCTCCTCAGCCTCTCCGGCAAGCTCGGAGGCAGCGTCTCCAGCGCCTCAAAGCTAACAGCTCTTACATACGTATCCGGGCCACAATCCGGGGGCAGGCGCACGACCGTGCCCTCGACGCCGCCGCTCATGATCTTCTCGCAGTTACTGCCCTCGTCGGGGCGCATGCATACGGCTTTGAGCGACTGGATGGAGAAGTCGGAGGGGGCGGTGTTGGGGCAGTCGAAGAGCGCGAGGTGCGACCCGTCGTTAGGGTCGAAGGACTGCACGTCGTTTTCAGGGCCATGCATGAGAATGGAGCCGAAGACTTGTTGGCTCTCGTTGGGGTCGCTGTCTTCGGCGTCTGCGGAGATGGAGGTGCTGTGTGTTTTGTTGGTTTCGGAGCGGCGCGTTGTGCTCTTGGTGTTTGGTCCGCACTTACGAGGAATCGCCTACGTTGACGGCGCTGGGAAGCAGATTTTCTTGGGGGGTGGAAAGGTGAGTATTGTGTGTTTCCTTTGTCGCTGATAATGGTTCGTCATTTCCGGTTGCTTGAGCAGAAGTATCAACGCTCTCTCTAGACTCTACGAGAGCAGAGCATAATGCCAAAAAGAAGAACAGGAATGATAGAATAGAGCCATGTTTAAATGACGACATATTGCGAAAGTGACGAGGGATGTGCGGTGTATTGTGGAAAAGACAGACCGTAGACAGACTTAAATAGTCTGTCGGCAGCCCACTTGAAGTCTCCACTATAGCTACTTCCATCTTGACAAACTCCGAGCAAAGCAGGCAGAAGCCACGCGAGAGGGCTTAATCTCGTGAGTTGAGGCGCGCTCGCACGACGACCGTGCGCTGTTGCCTTGCCGTGCGTGGTAGCGGCAAGACGGTGTCGACTTAGCGGCGGCGCCAAACAAACTAGCAGCATCACTACTGTCACTAGATAGAATCCTTACCGACGGTGCGACGGTTGGCCCGGCGTGCGTTACTTCGTAAAGGCGTTGGTGTCTCGGCCCGCTTGTCGGCGACATCCGAAAAGACTGGGAATCCAATTTCCACATACAAGACCGATTGCGTTCAAAGAAGAATTGGTTCAGGGGGGCTTGTCTATCTCGCTTTGCTTTCAATGTTAATGTTAAGTTGGCTTATCGTTTTATGTCTCTCCAGTAGCTGGCGTGACAGGTACTTGTCATGAAAGTGTTCGGGCCGTTGCTCCAGCCAACCAGCATGTTTCAATGTCACGCCTCATAAGGAATACCTGGTATCTATTTTTCAATGTGAGGCGCCCAAATATCTTTTCTCATATACGTTTCTTCACGAAAATTCTGTGCAGCTCCAAGCATTGAAAACTCAAATATCCATACTCCAATTGATATATATATATATGTCTGTGGTATCCCCAAAAGTAAAAGAAAAGCGCAGCGCAACGGCGCTACAAGAAAAGTATGGAAGGCGCAATTGATTCGCCTACCATAACTGTAGATAGCCAAGCGCACGCCGGTACTTGGGAATCTTGTAGTATTCATCAAGATGAGTGAGCTCATCAATTCCCAGCGGGCGCCTGCCCGTTTCATTATCCGCGGTCTTCGGTTTCGGCGACGGGTTGCGGTAGATGAGTTTATAGGCAGCCGTGAAGACGACAATGATGAGGATGCCAAGCATGTATTGGAAGAAGTTCTCGACGGTCGTTGGGCTCCCCTGTGGTAGTATGGTTAGCGTTGCCTCTTTGCATTTTGGAAAGTAGAGGCATGCACATACCGGTGGCTTGATGGCTCTCACAAAGCAGCAGACGAGGAGGAGCATGCAAACGGTCATGAGCCACGCCGGTGCAAGAGGCCACCACGTCGACTTCCAGGCATAGGGCTCGGAGAACAGCCCGTCGTTCTGTGCCTTGATGGATGCGCGGAACCGCCATGATGTGTAGGCAATGATCATCCAGTTGATAAAGTACGCGGAGCTGGTGATGGCAATCAACCATGTCAGGGTTTCTGAGCCACTCGCTGTAAATCAATCGGGTCAGCCATTGACATATCCATGATTGAGCAAGGAAACATCAAGTAGCTTCGGACTTACCACTTAGGTTCGCGTAGGTAAGCGCTATGGCTATCGCCGTCGTGAAAATAAGTGCCCTCCTTGGACGGCCTTGGCTATCAACCTGGGCCATATATTCCGGGATCACCTTTTGATGGGCCATAGTCCTTAGGACCCGGGAAGCAATATACACTGCCTCAGCACCGTTCCCCATAATACTGACCATCATGCCCGCGTTTAATATGTGGGAGACTTGGGGTACGCCGGCATCCTTTGCCGCAATGATGAACGGGGATGCTGTTACACCCGATCCGCCCAGCAACCGATCATCCGAGGATGGGATAAGGAATGTGACCAACAAGACAGTCGATAGAAAGACGAAGTTGACCCGGAATGGAACCAGTTTCGTCGCATGTGCCATCGAGTATCGTGGACTCTCGGCTTCGCCACCCATAATGCCAATAAAGACCTGATCGCCGACGGCCCAGACGGCAAGGAGTGCGCATTCCGCGAAACCCTGTTGCTGTCTGAGTAAGGAGGTCCAACACGAGGTGAATGCCGACTTACCGAGAAACCGTTCTTGAATACCGGCAAGTCTTTCCAGTACGCGCCGTCATGAACCATTCCTTTAGGGCCCGCTCCACAGCAAAGCACTATGCCCAAGATAATGATAAAGAGGAGAAGGGTTATCTTGAGTATAGATGTGAAGTACTCAAACCAAGCGAACACCGTGTTCGGCATAATGAATATCGCCACCATGACGACTAGGAAAATCGTTACTGGAGGCCGAGTGTGTGTGTCAGCATCCAATTTGGGCAATGAAACTTGGGATTGGTAGCTTACGTGGTACAGCTTCGTGGAGGGAATATTCAGCCCAATATTGGATCAGGATGTTGAAAAAGGCTGCTTCAGAAGCAACAATTGCAGTCCAACCTAGTTTCATCGTGAGAAAGAACCCCTTTCTAACGAGAAGAAGGGCCTTACCAATCCATTCGGCAAGTCCGGCGCCAAACGCGAGAGACGGGTCGACCCAGCGGCCGGCGTAATCGATGTAGTTGCCAGAAGTCGGAAAGGCAATTGTCATCTCAGATAGGGTTTGGAGAACAGCCCAGACACAAGTGCACACGAGAATGTATGCGATGATCATGTTCCCGGGACCTCCACTCGATAGTGATTGGCCGAGTCCGATGAAGATACCACTGCCGATATTGGAACCCAGAGAGATGACCTGAGCGGGGAGACAAGTTAGAAAACCGTTTTCGTCGACGATGGACTTGCCTTACATGGATCTGGCGTGGTGTGAAGGAACGATGGAACTGTCCATGCTCATCGTCGTTTATTACTTCGGCGTGGGCTTGTTGGATACTGGTGGTTGGAGCAAGGTCATTCTCCAAGTCCTTTTTCTTCTCGTAGTCATATGCTGAAGACATGGTGAAGGGCAGAAGTGTTTGAGTTTTGGAAACTCGGGGAGGGAGTGTCGAGTTTTGAGGTGTCTCTGAGAAAGCGGGACGAATAAAGCTTGAGGTTTAGGGGCTCGGGCCATGGGACGTGTGTAAGCCCTGGCGTTGGGTTGGAGCCGGAAGGACTGCCGGCGGGAAAATCGCATCCGAGCCCCGGGTAGTGCTGGGTTTGGTGCGATGAAACTAGATAAAGCATTCGAAAGGAGTCGTGGTAGATAAGCTGTCCACTGCGACACGCATACCACTCCAACCTTCATCCCGTACATATTCATATTTCGTGGTAGTCCAAATTGCATTCTCTGGTCCAACAGCCGGGTCGTGTTCCGGGCGAAAGCGTAAGAATGAAACAGTCCCTCTCTTGCCCACAGGTCAGCAGCACCCATGTTCTCCACTCGAGATCAAGATCAGCGCGGCCAATGACGTTGGGGCTGGAGAGGCGCGCCTAGCTGGGTATCGGTGGGCGGCTGGGCGCGTGAACGTCTGGGGGTAACGGGGGTAACATATCTTTTGCCTATCCAGAAAGATTGTAGGCGCGGTGATAGGATGCGCGACGGTCCAGCCGTTGGCGTCCGAGCGCCGTTACCCCGCATTTTCGGCCCACGCTTGACGGCGAAAACGAGATAAGGCGAAGAGAAGAGAACCAACTGCCGCCAATGTCTCCTACCTACCCGACCAGCAGAAGAAACCAGAATGCCTCCTCCCCAGCAGCAGTCGCGTCGCAAATCCGAGTCGGGAAACGCCCGCGGCCGCGTCGCAAAGCGTTCCTGTAACGCGTGAGTGTCGTGGCCCTAACGCAACGCCTATCAACCTGCTAACACGCGCCCGTTCCAGTTGCTCGCGATGCCGCAAACAGAAGATCAAGTGCTCCGGAACCCAGCCCTGCGAGGCTTGCAGCAAGCGCGATTTGTTCTGCGAGTTTGATGAGCGCGAGCAGAAAATCCTGGTGTCAAGAGGGTAAGGCTTGGGTTTTTCTTTTCTTTCTTTATGCCCACGCTAACTGGCCAGGTACATCATCGACCTGGAGCGGAAGCTGGCTCGTCGGGAGCGTGCCGATAATACCGATTGTAGCACGCCCAGCTCAGCCGGCAGCGCCACCCACCACGCTGACAGGACCACGGATGGCCGTCCGTCGCCAGACAGAACCGTGCCAGACGAGCCTCACGTGCACATGGCCGATCATGATGATGTCTCGGTTCGAGACGAAGGATCGGCATCAGGTCTTGCGCCTGATGCGAGGAGGTGGAGCGCCCAAAGCTCTCGCCCAATGACACGCTTGGACCCCGTAGCGTCGAACCTCACCAATCCACTCTCTACGGGCCCGTCTACCTTTATGGGAGCTGGCAATGGAAGGGTTTGTAAGTGTGTCATCCATACCACCTTTTGCTTGAGTCTAACGAGCGTGCAGTCTATCTTGGGACGTCGTCGAATTGGTCATTTACTCGGCGGGCTTTGAGTATGACGCATGAACACATCCATCAAACACCGATCCCCACAGCATCTCTCCTTTTCGACGGCTCTGCGTACGATCTGCAGTGGGACGGTCACCGGACCACATCAGGCCCGGACACTCCAGCACTGCCGACGCTCGACCACACTATCTACTTGATCAATGCAGTCAAGTTTCACTGCGGCCAAATGTTCCATCTATTCGACGAGGAGTCCTTCATGGCACGTGTCTATGACTTTTACTTGGACCCCAGCCCCTATGTTGCGGCAGTGGATCCGTGGTATGTTCATTTCCTAGTTATTCTCGCTTTCGGAAAAGCATTTGTTGGGAAGAGGAATCCAGACAAGAGGCCTCCTGGCACCGACTTCTTTGTCAAAGCTCTCCAGCTGCTGCCAGAGATGAGTGTGCTTGGGAGGGAGCCTTTGATGTCGACGGAGATACTGTGTTGCATTGCCTTGTATTTTCAATGCTTGGACTTCCGACACGCAGCACATAACTATGTGAGAGCATCGTGGCCCGCACTTCGAGCGAAGCTGACGTATATCGCAGATCGGACAGGCCATGAGGATGGCGCTGGGCCAGGGAATGCACACTGACATGCCTGTGCAGCATCTGGGCCACACGCAAGTCGAAAGATGTCGCAGGGCTTGGTGGACGGTATACGTGCTGGACCGTGAAATGACATCTTTAATGGGTCTTCCCCAGTCAATAAATGATGATGACCTGCATCCTGACCTGCCGACCTTCTCCGGGTCGGTCCAGCGAACAGCCGCCCTGGGCATGCAGATCAAACTGTCCCGTGTTATAGCCAGTATCAACAGGGGTAAGTGAACGCTTATCTTCGTCCATTTCTTTAGCTAATCGTCATTGTTTGCTAGGAGTTTATGGTTTCGATGGGAAATTGAACAGCAAGTTTCTGCTTAGCACGAAAGCGGCGCTCGCGGACATTGCAGATCTAGCCGACGAGCTTCGCAATTCTTTCCCTTTGCATTTGGACAATCCCATCAGTGGAGTGTCAAGAACATCTGCTTATCTCCATTTGCTCTATCACCAAGTAAGGCTCAGTTCTTATCACCCCCTCCTCTTTCCTGATCTTCGATGTGCTAACACTGCGTCCAGTGCGTTGTCCTCGCGACCCGACCACTGTTGTTTTGCTTCTTGAAGATACGGCTCGAATCTCCGAATTCTTCTCTGGACCTACAAAACACTTCGCAGTCAGTCTGGAATCTGACAAAAATGTGCGTCGAATCGGCGCAACAAATGGTCAACGTGTTGCACTGCGTACGAGCGCAAGGGCTTCTCGGTAAGTGACCTCATTCTTCCCTCTCTGGACATGACCAACGGGCTTACGCGGGCTATTTTTGGTTCTGTGCAGAGACATTTCTTCCCTTCGACCTCGAGTCCCTCTCCGTATCAACGGTAGCTCTTCAGCTCGCGCGAGCAGTCGACTCGCGACTATCAGAAAACTACACTCTGTGGCTGCACCAAGCATGGAGCATCTTCGAAGAAATGGTCACGGACGGGAACGTGGTAGCCGAGTTCCAAAAAGCCGAGCTGCAGCAGCTGGACGAGATGCTGTGCCTGCTCCCGCAACAGCCACAGTCGCGATGCCTGTCCCGCTCCCCGCCGTTCAGCGCCCAGCAGGGCGGCGGTGCTCTCGATCGCCCGCCGTCCCAGATGCCGCCTACTGCTGCTTCTATGCCGCCGACTGCTGCTCAGACCGTGGATAACGGCCTCTTGCCGTCGCCGATATCTGGGATTTTGGAGGGCTTTAGCTTTGATGGTGGCCTGACGACGGCGCAGATCATGGACACGGCCAATTCGATCGAAAGCGGCGATACGGAGTGGCTGTCTCATACCATCCTGGAGCACAGCATCTGGTAGGCCACGGAATCAGTCTTTCAGCAGCAGTGCAGGTTTTGCCAGGCCGGTTGCCGAGGATCAAGATGCGGGAGGAGCCCGGAAGCCACGGAAAGCAATAATGCGGGAAAGCTGAGCCGAGCCGAGCCTCATACACAAACACACAACATCGCGAGACAACTTCAAGAGGCTTAAAAGCCGAATGCAAAAAACCGCATTTCTGGATCTAGCTACCTATCAAGTCTACAACAAACAAGCCCCGGAATTACCACCACGCAACCCCAAATGATGCCTCGCGCTCTTTAAAGCTTCGGCTCCGGCGGCGGCCGAATCTCCGCAAACTCCTTCGACTCGCCAAGGCGCCAGCTGACGTCGCCGCCCCAATTCTGGCCCTTGTCCTTCCCGGCCTGCGGCTCCTTCCAGCGCCAGCGCGCGACGGGCTGCTGGCCGTCAGGCGCCTGCAGCAGGTCCTTGACCCAGCCGCCAACAATGGGGAACATTTTGAAGCCGTGGCCCGAGTCGGCCGAGAGGATGACGACCGACGACGCCGTGTGCGGCACGTAGTCGATGATGAAGTCGGAGTCGCTCGAGTCGGCGAACCAGCAGAGGCTCTTTTGCACGAGCGGGCGGTTGGCCAGATACGGCAGCGTGTGCGCCAGCAGCTTGCGCACCTGCGCCTCGTCGTGCGCCGGCATGAAGGCGCTCTCGCGCAGGCCCGGCGGCAGCGACACGCCCGTCGCGGGGTCCGTGTTGATGAAGCCGCCGCCCATGGGGCACAGCTTGAGCAGGTTCGTCTTGGGGTCGGGCTCGAAGAGGAAGCCGAGGTCGCGCGCGTAGGTGACGGGAATGCCGCGGAGGGCAGAGGTCTCCTCGTCCGTGAGGCGCACGTGCGCCACGCTCCACGATTTCGCGACGACCTGCTGCCCGACGGCGGGGACGAGGCGCGCCGCCGCGGCGCCCGCGGCCACGATGACCAGCTTGGCGGCGTGGAAGCGGCCGGCGCGGGTGCGCACGCCCGTGCTCCGCCGCCCCTGCGGCGTGTCCTCGTAGACAATCTCCTTGATGGCGCCGTGGAGCTCGCCGAGGAAGAAGCGCACGCCGCGGGCGCGGGTCTCGCGATAGACGGCCTTGAGGGCGTCGCCGGAGTGGGCGTAGCCGTCGAAGCGGTTGAGGTAGCCGTGCCAGCCGGACAGGGGGGCAGCGTTGTCGTACTGCCAGAAGAGGTCGCGGATGGCGGGTGCGTCGTCGATGGGGACGACGTGTTTGCGCAGGGTAGGGTGGCGCTCGGCCGAGGCGCGGAAGCGGTTCAGCGTCTCTTGGGCTTTGGGCGGCGCGGCGCCCGAGACGCAGTGCAGGAAGCCGGTGCGGTGGAAGTGCGGGGCGAAGAGGGGGGATTGCCAGGCTTGGATTGCTTTCTTTGGGGCGCGTGGGCGCGTGTCAGCAGGGAGGAAACAAAGTTGTTCAAACTGGATGCGTGCGTACGATAGTCAAGTCGGTATAAAACGGGTCCTCATACTCGGCGCGCACAATCTTGTTGAGGTCGTTTGCGGCCGAGCGAGCAGGCGGGACAGTGCTGTCCTGCTCGAAGACGGCGATGTTGGTGTAGCCGGCATCGGCGAGGTGGAGGGCGGTGGAGAGGCCGAAGGCGCCAGCGCCGACGATGGCGATGGGGTCGTCGCGCTGGAGGTTGGGCGGCATGCTGGGTGAGTGGATGAGTGAGTGGGTGCGTGAGGGAGGGCGTATGTATATGTCCACCCATCCATCAACCCACCGCACCCGTCTATCTATCTATCTCAACGACGCGTCCTCGCGCGTCGCGGCAAGGCGACCGAGGCAGTCCGACTCCGACTGCCAGACGGCAGGAAGCACAGCAGCGGGAGGCGTACCGGCGGTGGCGCGGCGACAGCGCGGCTTATCTCCAGCCCCCAGCCATGTATGTATGGCGACGCACGGCACGCACGGCGAGGCATGCCGGCCTGCCTGCCCCGGCCTGCCCCAGCCGCCCCAGCTAGCTCCCCGCGTTTTGCCTTGTTTGTGGCGCTCGGCCCTAGGCTGTCAGTGTCGGGCGGGGCTGCCGATCGCTTGCTATCTCGACTGCAGTGGTGGCACCAGCGGGTCGCTGCCTTGAGCGGTAGGGGTGCCGATGGTGGGGCGTTGGCGTTGATGGTGTCGGATGGGCGTGCGTGCGGGGTTGTGTGGGTTGTGCGCATTCTCGACTTGACACTGACACTGACACAGACAGGACAGGGCACGCTTCCGCCTCAGACTCAACCTCAGACTCAATCAATCGCTTACTCCTTCGGTAGAGCGCAAAAGCACAAACAAGACAAGACAGGACAAGACAGGACCCGAGGACAGACATGACAGCGTTTTCGCATTCTCTACACGCGCGCTACCAGTGATACTGATACTAACTAACTACATTCTAAAGCCCAACCCTCTGAAAAAAAGCACCCATTCATTCATTCAGTCTATCCACCCCTCAATTCCTCATTCAGTGATTACTCGGGTACTTGAACGTCGTCTGCGGGAAAAACTCCTCCTTGATCATGCGCGGGCTCGTGAAGCGGCGCAGGATATCCGAGCTGCCTGCCTTGTCGTTGGTGCCGCTTGCGCGCGCGCCGCCAAACGACTGCTGCCCGATGAGGGCGGCCGTGGTCTTGCAGTCTTTTTGCACGAAAACAGTCAGCTTCAAGTCCAAAACAACACGGCGGTCTTGTCGGGTTTGATGGGTTGCTTGAGGAAGTAGGGAAAGGACTTACTGATGTAAAAGTTGCCCGCCGAGTACCGCAGCGCGTTCTCGGCCTCGCGGATAACGGCGCGGTTCTCGGCAAACACGGCGCCCGTAAGCGCGAGGCCGCCGCCGTTCTGGTCTACGCTCTTGAGGATCTTGCTCCAGTCGCCGTCGGGGTAGACATGCACAACCAGCACGGGGCCGAAGATCTCGTCGTTGAAGAGCTTGTGCTCGGGCGACGTGGCCTGGTAGGCGGTGGGGTGGACGTAGAAGCCGACGCTCTCGTCGTAGGTGCCGCCCGCGATGAGCTTGAGGCCGGGGTCCTTGTTCGCGGCGTCGATGACGGACTTGATCTTGTCGAAGGAGCGGCGGTGGATGACGGGGCCGACAAAGGCCTCGAAGTCCTTGTCCGGGTTGCCGACCGTGATCTCCTTGATGCCGGCCTTGAGCTTGGTCAGGAACTCATTTGCGCGCGACTCGGGGACGTAGACGCGCGACGTGGCGGAGCACTTTTGGCCCTGGTACTCGTAGGCGCCGCGGATGGTGTGGTTGACGGCGCTGGGGATGTCGGCCGACGAGTGGATGAGGTGGAAGTTCTTGCCGCTGGTCTCGCCGACGACGCGCGGGAACTCGCGGTAGGTTTTGTTGCCGATGCCCTGGCCGATGCGGGCGTAGATGGTGCGGAAGACGTCGGAGGAGCCGATGAAGTTGAGCCCCGCAAAGTCGCGGTGGGCGAGCACCGTGTCGGTGATCTGCTGCGCGTCGCCGGGGACGAACTGGATGACGTCGGGGGGCAGGCCGGCCTCGAGGAGGATCTTGTAGACGAGGGTGCTGGCGTAGATGTTGTACTGCGACGGCTTCCACAGCACGACGTTGCCCATGAGCGCGGGCCCGGAGATGAGGCTGCCGCCCAGAGCGGTGAAGTTGAAGGGCGAGACGGCGTAGACGAAGCCCTCGAGCGGGCGGTAGTCCATGCGGCTCCACATGCCGTTGGTGCCGCGCGTGGGCTGGCGCTCGAGCAGCTCGGCGGCGAAGTTGCAGTTGAGGCGGAAGAAGTCGGCCAGCTCGGCCGCGGCGTCAATCTCGCCCTGCCACGCGTTCTTGCCCTGGCCCAGCATCGTCGCCGCGATCAGCTCGTACCGGTACTTTGTCGTGACGAGCTCGGCCGCCTTTTGGAAGATGGCCGCGCGGTCGACAAACGGCGTCTCTTCCCAGCTCTTCTTTGCCTTCAGCGCCGACTCGATGGCCGCCGACACTTGCTCTTTCGAGGCCAACGGGTAGTTTGTGAAGGTGGTGGCGTGCTCCGAGGGCAGGACTTGGTCTTCGGATTTCGACGTGGCTTGGACCTTGCCGTTGTAGAAGATTTCGCTGCGCACCGGGAGCTGCGAGCGGAGCTTCTTGAGAGCTTCCTCCAGCTTGCGGCGCTCGGGAGAGCCTCTCTCGTAGGTAGGCTGATGCGACGCATTATCAGTGAGCTGAACCTCTTGCCATTGGAGCTGTAGGGGCTTACGTTGGGCTCATTCCTGGCGTCTGGTAGCCTGAATGGCACCGTGGCGTTTGTGCGGAGCTGCTGTGTGGTGATTGCTGGGGGAACGGCGCGCAGGCTTCTCACGGAAGGCCGCACAGGGCGAACCATGTTTGCTGTCAATGCTCTGGTGGCGGCCATGGTTTCTGCAGGAGAAAGAAGAGGAGGCGGAGGAGGAAAGAAAGAAAGATGCGACGAGCAAGCTCTCATTGTCGCAAAGCTGCATTATTTTATCTGACGCAGGTAGCTACCCGAAGCGGTAATGATTTGCGCCATGTTGGGTGCGCCGGGAGTGTTGCCGAATCAACGTCCATGTCGATCGTCGTCGGGAATTCATCCGGTCCCCGCGCTGATGACACACTTCAACGCCCGCGCAAGGCGGCACAATGTTGCAGGTCTATCTGCAAGGCCCGGGAGCCATGTCGGGAAGCCGTAGATAGGACGCGGATCACCCAAATCCCGGCCGAGTCCCAATCCGGCATCACTCTTAGCTAACACTCTCCTCTAATCAGTCAAGTTACATTATACTACCTACGTAGTCTATCTACCTTCTCGTGTCATTTACATGCGTCTCAGTCTCCATGAGCCGAGCGACCGTGACAGCCTCTCGCAGCGCCCGCCCCACGTGGCCGCGAACGGCATTCTCCTCCATGACCATGAGCCCGGCAATGGTGCATCCCTCGGGCGACGTGCCCTGGTCCTTGAGAATGCCTGGATGGATGCCGCTCTGGAGGAGCGAGGCCGTGCCCTGCATGGCCTGGTAGATGGTCGTCTGGGCCATTGCGCGGGGCACGCCCACCGCCACGCCGGCATCGATCAAGGCGTCGCAGATGACGGCGAAGAAGGCCGGCGTGGATCCCGCGAGCGCCGTGTTGGCGTTCATCAGCTTGGGATCGATGCGGATGGTTTTGCCGACGCGCTGGAAGATGGCCTCGGCGAGCTGCACGTGTTCGTCTGGCAGCGCGGGCTCCGAGATTTCAATGGCCGTGAGCGACTGCGCCACGAGCCCCGCGATGTTGGGCAGCGTGCGCAACACCCAAGCGCGGCCGTCCTGGTTGCTGGCCGTGGTTTCGCTGCCGTACAGCGTGGTCTCGAGCTTTTGGCGCGTCCATCCGGCGACGACGCTGATCAGCAGCTTGTTCGCCAGGGCGTCGCGGACGTTGGGCGCGGTCAAGACTGCCTCGATGTCGGACGGATCCGCGCCCAGGACGACGACATGGGCTTCTTGCAAGGCCTTGACGTTGTCGCCTCTGGAGACGGTTAGGCGCTGCAGGTTTTTGGAAAAGCGCTCCTTCAGGGCCTGCTCCGATCTCTCGCTTCGCACGCAAGCGACGAATTTAGCAAAGAGTAATGAATCAGCCTCATTGGAGGACGGGTTGATCAGATTCTCGAGAATAGCGGTTCCCAGGTTGCCTGTGGACGGGCCGTCAGTATGCGCGTGTAAGCGTGCAAAATGCGGCTAAAACATACCGCAGCCCAGGATGCAGAAAGTCTTGTTTCTGGCCTCTGCCATATTGAGGATAGACGGATGCGGGGTAAGTTTGCCGTGATGGTGCTGGGAGATTGCCCGAAAGGAATTGACGGATGGTTGGTTCAGAGGAAGGCGGCCCGGCTGCAGAGTCCCGGATCAGCCAAACAAATAAACAATTGATCGTTAGTAATCGAAATGACGTCGTGGCATTAGATAGAACGGAAGAGCTTCCGAGCTGATAAGCGTTCAGCCAACGGCTCTCTTCCCGTGCATGATGCGGGGTTTTGCGGGGAAAAAAGCCAACCGGCTCTGCTCTCCGCGCGGGGCTCACGAAAACACATAGCATTTGCGGGGTTAATGCGGGTAGATGCCGAGAAGCCCGATTGCCCATCCATTTGACGCCATAACCTAATAACACCTTATGTAAAAAGGCCCTGACTAATCATATCTTCATTCCCACCTCGTGCCAAACCACCGCGACGGCGACAAGGCCTGCCGCAACCGCCGCCCCACCTCGGCCTTCAACGCCACGTACTCGTCCATTGTGCGCGACGCAGCGTCGCGGTTCTCCGACGCCCGCCGCGTCAGATAGGCCAGGCACTCGCCCATGCTGCCCCACGTCGAGCACTTGTAGACGTGGGGTTCTGCATCTCCGCTGCCACCGCGCTTCAGCTGCAGCAGCCCGAAGCTGACCTCGTCCGACATGCCCTGCAGCTGCGCGAAGCCGACAGGCACCGTCGGCAGGCCCGCGCGCACCCGCTGCTGGTGCAGCTCGTGCGCCGCGAGCACGCTGGCCTTGTTGTGCCCGGCCAGCACGAGGTTGACCGACGGGAAGGGGCGGCCGGCCTTGCCTGGGGTGCCGAACTCGCCGATTTCCTGCCGCAGCGCGCCCTGCGCGATCGAGTTGTACGCGTCGTCCGTGTCCTGCTTGGTGTCGTGGATGAGGGAGCGCTTCTCTGACGACAGGTACGCGCCGCGCACCAGCTTGAGGCCGAGCGTGAAGCCCTCGTCGCTGGCCATGGCGAGGTGCTTGCCCAGCGTCGTCGGCGTGCTCTTCAGGTACGCTTGGTACGTGTTGTAGATGAGGGCGTAGCCGTGCGTGTTGTACTTGCGCATGAGGTGCATGCCGACGCGCATGATGCCCCATTGGAAGTGCTGCGACTCGGCGTCGATGAGGATGCGCACGCCGCGCTCTTTGCACTTGGTGCAGATTTCCTCGAGCGCGTCCATCATTTGCTGGTTGGGGAGCTCGCCGGCTGAGAGGGCTTCGGTCACTAGAGGTCCGGCTCCGGTCAACCTGGGCTGGGCGTTAGCATATCTGTTGTTAGTTCGATTTTAGGGGTCTGAGATTGCACTTACTTGACTGCCAACTGATCGCCCTCCTCCAGTATCTCCACTGTCCGTAGCGTGCCCTCATGCCACGCTTCAATGTTCGCGCACTTGGTCGTCTTCCCGTCTTCCGGGAGCGCAACGCCCAGTGAATGCTGCTGCTTCGTGCGATGGTCAAACACCGTCTCCTTTGCGTAGGTGAGGATGGTGCCGCGGAAGCCCATGTCCCGGAGCTGCCGCGTGGTGGACAGCGTCTCAGCCTCGGTCTCGCCGGCGCAGAACTGCTTGTAGAACGTCTTTTTGAGTATGTAATGAAGGACTTTGTTGCGGTCGACGTCCAGGAGGAAGCTCCTCTTGGGCTTGCAGAGTGCCGACAGAACAGAAAGAGAGGGAGCAAGCAGTAGCGGTCTCGAGGATATCGAGTTGATGAAGACGGATCTTAGGAGCACGCTGGTTGGGAGAGCCGACAGAGGCGATGGAGTGTCGTCCTTTGTTCGGGTTTCCCTCGAGGTTGGACCGCTCCTCTCCTTCCTCATAATCCTACTAATGCTTGGAGCAAAAGTAGACTCATAGCGGCGGTTCTTGATCCTCAATGCTTTCGTGGGGATCATTTGGGGCTGGAAGAAGCTTTGCGTTTCCCAAAGCTTGTGTGTGTGTGGTGCGAAGATGGTTGAGCACTTCTGAGTTGGAGAGACTTGCAACAATAAGGTAGTAGAGCCTTTTGAACTACTTCTATGGCTGAAGGCTTAATAGTCTCTCTTGTCGTGGCCTATCTCGAGCGCTTAACACCCATCGGTTGCCCATCCGATGGCGCTTTTACCCGTTCCAGATAAGGCGTAGGAACGCCTTCCGAGGAGCATCGTCGACGCAGCTGCGGAGCTGTGCGACGGTTAACCAAGCAAAGTTAAAGAATCCGAGAGGCGATATCCACTTTATACTGGCTTCTGCCGCTTTAGGTATGCCCGTGCCGTCTATGTTCGAAGTTGGACGCTTTGGGATGGCGTGGCTAAGTCTTGGCCATTGCACATGGTGGCTTTCGATTGGAGGATGATCCAGTTCCTTGCCCGGTTGACTTACCGGCCCGACGCTTTGGCTTCCGCCTCGCAACCACTGTGAGACGTGAGCGTTGTCAGTGGCAATGATAAGGATTCTGAGCCTCGTGAGCTGAGGCTGTGGCGATAAGTACGAGTTATCGCTGCCATGCAATCGGCTTGTCTACATATAACCCGCATGTCCACATTTTCGTCCTTATCTTGTTACCTTCGTGTCGCTCGCGGCGTGTTTCTATCAGCATTATTGCTCAAGGGCATTACTACCGATCCACCACCAGGCATCTGCAGGGTATACCGATTGTACCCGCAGTTTATTTCCATTTTGAATCTCGTGGCTTCCTTTTGGGAGGACCATAATGCTAGCCGTACTGTAGAAGTCTGCTGTCGTCCATCTCTTTCATTTAAGTGAGGTTAACAGAAACGTCTACTTCTTCCGTAACGATTTAATCATAATTATATCGCTGCCTTGGATTTTAAATATAGTTTATAACATTTTTTCCTGGACATAAGTGGCTGATGTTATCTAGTCCGCTTTCGGTAATCCTTCGTATCGGTACATCCTCCAATCATGCATGGAAACACAAATAGGCTAACGATGTTTAGTCAGCTGGTTAGTATCTTCCCTCTCTCCACAGAGCCCGGATATTTTGCTCGCCCTCTATTCACCCTTAACTATATATTGCGGAGAGTCTATAATACCTATAGGGTGCTCTTGAGGTAGTTAGTGTAGGCTATCGTGCAACAGCTAATAGGTATTAGATAACATTGAAAAGGTACAAGGATACGAAGTACAATGATAACTTAAGATATACGGGTATATAAATATATAGAAATACTAGAGAATACTATATGGATACGACAATAAAAGAATTCAAAGGGGATAAGAACATTCACGATTATGTAAAGATAAGAGCAGAAAGTAAACCACATGTCAATGCAGGTGTAACGTCACGACTCACGAGGGGTGGACAACCGCAAACTATTCAGAGTCCTCTACAAATCCTCAGTTTCCTCTACACTAGGTTTTTAATAGCCTTTCTATATCTTTCGCTTATGTAGAAAATCCATCAAAAACATGCCCGCAACGGCAAGTGCTCCAAATACTATTAGGACTTGATACCCAAACTTGTAATGAGGCGCGTCTTGCGTAGGGAAGAGGACGACTGCGTACATTAAGTAAGAATAGGCTATTAATTCCGCACATTGTGCTGACGTACCTGGAACCCATGCTCCAAATGCATAAGTGAAGATGTTTCCGGTCGCAACAAGCAACTGTCGAAGATTTGCATTGTCCTGCATAGCTTCGTGTCCCCATGACTTAATACCAATGGTCAGCGGAATGGATTCAATCGTCTTTTATTGTCCGGGACCAAGTACTTACTATAACAATAGGTTGTGATGCTTGGCCGACATACGATAGATAGAATCCTGCAAGTAGCGGCGCTTTCGGGACGTTCCAGATGGATAAAATGATGTTGGATACCAAAACAACGGCTTGGATAATCGTGACCAGAGTGAGGCGGTAACCAGTGTAATCCGACAGTGCACCAAATGCCACTGCAGAAACAAGACTTACGGCGCTACCAGCTGTTGGAAGTGTGTTGATCCGAACCACACTGTATCCTTCCGCTTTTAGCCATAAATTAAAGTAGTTTCTGCCAGAGCCGGCTTCAGCTACCATCCTGTGTACGAATTAGCAATTGAAAGATTTTGTTGTCGTATCGTAACCTACAAGGCAAAATAAACGTCCATATTTGCCAATCTACAAAGACTTTCTTGATTTCATTCCACGTAAGCTTGCGCGGAGCCGCTCTTCCAATCTTTCCAACTCTTTCAACGCCATACGCACGATCCTGTTTCTTCTTGTCAGTCAGAGGAGACAAAATACAACCAACACACAACTTACCTCAGCGCTGAAGTAGAAAGCTCTCGTGTTGTTCGGCAAATCTGGCAGTGCGAAATATCCCCACAGCGCAATAGGGATAGATATGATGCCGTCGAAAATGAACAGCCACCTCCACCCGGCAAGCCCCGAAACTCCATTGAGACCCGTGTACAAAGCGGCTTGGAGATACCCACTGAACATGCTCGCGATCGCGCTTGATTGCTCGAACAACGCCATTCGTTTTGCGAGCTCCTTCTTGCCGTACCAGCTCCCGAGGATAGCGGCGTAGCCCGGGAAAGCGCAAGACTCCAACAATCCGACGAAGAAGCGAAGCGCGTATAGCTGGGCGGAGTTAGTGTTTGTTGTTGAAAGTGCCGTTCGGACGTACTGTGTTGATGTTTTTGGCGCTGGCCATGACCATGACTAGAATGGACCATGCGAGCTCGCATGATGGAATCCAGATGGAGGGTCGCACGTATTTTAGCTGCATCATTTGGGAGGGCACTGTTCCTATGATGATGCCGATGTTGAAGAACGTGTTTAGGTAGTTTCTTTCGTTTCCGTATAGTTGAAGCTGGATAAAACTTTCAGTGAAAGGTGACGCTAATAATAGAGTCTACACTTACATCTTCTTGCATCCCACTGACGAAGGCATTGCCTTCTCAAGTGTTAGCTCGTTACGTGCTCTGATTTCGGAAAAGGATAACTACTGTAGTTTTCTTGGTCGAGGTACTTGATGAAGTAGCCGAGGAGAATATATGAACTGTTCGCGTTAGATGTTTCCAAATAAAACCTGTATACTAGCTTTAGACCTACAAGAGAAAGCCGTCAAGCCTTCGCAAATATCTGCGATCTCGAGCATTTTTCGTTTCCGTCACGGGCGGAGTTTCGGTGTCCGAGTGAGAGCCCGGTTCGACATCTACTGTGTTGACCGTTTCAAGAGCAGGATTCTTCACCGCGCCTGTCATGGTTGACGACGTTGTACTACCGCAACAAGATAGAAAACAACAGTATAGGTGGTTGTTTGCTGCTTTATCTGGGTTATCTAGAGTCTCGTTTGAGCACGTCATTGGAAGGATAGATTCGCGAAGTATGTCGAATGCCGAGAGCGGGGAAATTGCACCATCACCACATGCTATGCAATGTGCTGTTTTAACTTGGAATTTCATTCGGTGCTCCAATAAAGGCGCATAGTCGAAGGTATTGAGCGACAGAATAATTGTATAATGTGGATGTTGTTAACCGCACATAGAATCTCCCTTGTAATGACGAGTTAAGTTGAACCGATGTCGCAATCTCGATTAACCAACGGAATATTTTAGAGGAAAGAATAAGTAGCTGAAACTTTTCATGCAGGAGCCAGTATCTCGTGGTCCCTGTGCTCAGATATGGCAGCCGAAACGGCAACACGTGAACTCAAGTTGCAACTCCGATCCGAAACCTCGATTGACTACGATACAGAAGAGGTTAGCAAAGCGCTCCGCTCGTGCTAGATGATGCTAATAAGCACAGTATAAATACAAGGATTACTTGCCACACCACAAGTCTGGCCTGCAGCCACCGCTCCAGGAGTTCGACCATGTTGACGTTGGAAACCGCGCGGATCCCTCAAAACGAAACCTACTAGAAGCTCCCGGAGCCTCTATCCATGAGATTACCCCAGCAATAGGGACGGAAATCAAAGGCTTGCAACTAAGCAAGTTAACTCTCAGCCAACTCGATGAGCTTGCATTACTTGCTGCCGAGCGAGGAGTTGTTGTTTTCAAGAACCAAGACTTTGCGGACATCGGACCGGAACGTCAAAAGGAGTACGGCAAACATTTCGGCCCGCTGCATGTCCACCAAATGGGTGGGCAGGTAAAGGATTATCCGGAACTTTTGCCTGTTTACCGGGATTTTGTGTGAGTAACCGACAGCCGGCTTGCTCTATGATACTGATTAAGAATAGAGCGGGTGCAGTTGACAACGAAATCAAAGACAACACAACAAGTGTAAAATGGCACAGTGACATGAGCTACGAAATGTAAGACACTCACACTTGCCGCAAGCTGTTTGCTAACAACTAAAGCAATGGCATGGGAACGACCACATTCCTGGTCTTGAGTACGCCACCATCTGGCGGAGATACGTTGTATCTGTCAACAACTGCGGCTTACAACGCGCTGTCTGAGACTTACCGGAAGAGACTTCACGGCTTGCTTGCAGTGCATTCTGGCCATTCGCAAGCTGCTGTGCACGAGTATCGAGAAAGATATATCAGGGATCCAATTGAGACGGTGCATCCTGTGGTGCGCACGCATCCTGTATGTCTGCTACACTGTAGTTCTTGGAAAAGGAACTGACATCTTCAGGTCACTGGAGCAAACTCACTCTACGTGAATCGACTTTATACCAAGAAGATTGTCGGCATGAAGCAAGAAGAAAGTGGTAATTACTTCTATTCTGGGCCATGAAAGCTAAGACTCATTAAAGCACAGCTGCCGTTCTGAACTTCTTATACGACCATATTGAAAAAGGTCAAGACTGGCACATTCGCGTACATTGGACGCCCGGAACCGTGGTTGTGTACGACAATCGCGTCACCCAACAGTGAGCAAGACTCTAGTATTAACAACAGCGGACTTACTGACGGAAATAGTTCTGCCTTGAGAGATTTCAGAGTTGAGGGGAACGTAAGGAGGCATATGCTGCGGATTACGCCACAGGCAGAAAGATCGTTTTTTGCCCCGAACGCCGAGGAGAAATAATTTTAACTTTGTTCTTTCCATATGATGCATGGAAGACCTTGGTTGTTTCTAAAGGTGTCAATATTTTCTTTATAGCTGCGTCAGCGCTACACAAAAGGCAACCCGCCATGATGATAAAGCTAGTCGGGTGCAGAGCATAGCAAAAAAAAAAAAAAAAAAAAAAAAAAAAAAAAAAAAAAAAAAAAAAAAAAAAAACGCAAAATTAGAGGAAGTAATCCTTGCAGGTATGAAAGAAGCAAGATCAAGGACACAGGAGGCCAATCCATTCTTATAATAAAGTATGAAGCGAAATGAGCTGAAGCCAATTTTTTCATGTGAGAAAGTAAGAAGCAACACTAAGTGGAGGCATTCCGCAGACACGGAAAAAGCAGAAACAAAGACACAAAGAGTCAATTCAGCCTTATGGAAAAACAACAAGCAAACTATAAGAAGCTAATCTGTCCTTATGAAGACGCAAGAAGCAAAACCATAACGAGCTAATCTGCTTTTATGAAAACGCGAGAAACAAGAGCATAAGAAGTCAGTTCGTCTATATAAGGAAGCAAGAAGCAAAAGTACAAAAAACCAATTCGTCATTATGAAACCCCAAGAAGCAAACCCATAAGGAGTTTATTCGCCCTTGTTCGAGAACAAGAAGCAAAACTAGGTGGAGGCATCCCACAGATACGAAAAAAGAAGAAATAAAGGCATAATGAGCCAATTCGGACTTACGGAAAAGCAGCAAGCAATACTATAAAAATCCAATCCGTCCTTACGAATGCGCAAGAAGCAAGAACATATGAAGCCAATTCGTCCATGTGAGAAAGCAAGAGTAAAATTAGCTGGAGTCATCTCCGCAGATGTGAAAAAAGCAAAAGCAAAGGTATAGGGAATTAGTTCGTCCTTATGAAAAAAGCAAGAAACAAAAGCAAAGTACTAATCCGTCACCGCCTGCGCCAAGTACCTCCGCCTCTGAAGAAAAGAAACAAACAAGAAGCAAAGGAAGAATCATAACCAAAGAAAGCAATCCGTCTCCGCCTGCAACAAGTACCATCAGACGCTCTCAGACCCCCTCAGGCAGGCTGGCATGAGTGGGCTTCACCGGGCTAAGGGTTGGTGGGCGTGAGGATGGTGAGCGTGATGGCGGGGATACCGCCATGAGAGACAGGAGGCGGGGCGGTCGGTATACCAGGGACTTTGGAATCCTTCTCGACCTTAACATGCTTGTCGCACACCCATTTCGCATATCCCTCGCCCCAGAATGTCATTTCGCCAATAGGAGGATCGACAAGATCCTGAGGCAAACGCTTAAAATTCTGACGAATGTTTTCCTTAATGCCGTGGTTCCAGGGTGAAACACCAGCTCCGTAAACCTGATCTTGCCATTTTCGCTGCGGAACCTAAGCCGGACTCCGTCCATTTCCGGCTTTCTGGTGTTGTAGAGGGTTATATTGATCCATATGTAGCCGTTGACGGCAACTTCGCGGAGAGCCAAGATGACAGTGAAAGAGATGAGTGAGAGGTAGACGATGTGATAAACTGTAACGGTACCGTTCATAAAAAAGATGTAGTACCAGTTCAGAACCGTGATGACTAGCTGGAGCGGTAACATGACTATCGCGGAGAGGTATGCCTTTTGGGTTTTCAAGTATACCGGGGGCATAAACCAATAGTCGTGATGGCTAAAGAGTGGCAAACACTTGTTGAGTATTTTGTCGTGGTGCATGAGATCTGACTGTTGGATATTGCAAATGCTGCAATAGCGTTCGCGTCCCGTTACTCTGTCAACTTGTCTGACTAGGCTGTCAAATGCCGAAAGCTCTTTCTTGTCTTCGTACAGGAAATTGAGGTTGCCGAGTATGAGGATCGAGAACCATATGCCTATCCAAGAGGCCCAGATGAAGTGGGGCAGTATGAGAAGTAAGAGCCCTTTCATTATGCCGTCGTGTAGACAGAGGAGCTGAGGGTCGGAGCTGAAGCACGGTCCAAGGCATGTTTTCCAACCCCAAAGAAAAGAGAGGTAGTAGTGAAAGCCGAAGAACTGCGTATATATGATGATAATAGTGCAAATAGCGACGGCCTCAAATCTGTATTTGCCCGTGAAGGAAATGAACGGGGGCAGGTAGGAGAGGATGGTGTAGAAGGCGGCGAAGATATCCTTAGCAACGAACCATCCAATGAAGAGGCTGAGGATTACGAGATGAAAGAAGGCGGCTACCTGGCCGAGAAACGAGAAAGAAGGCATGGTTGACACTAGAAAAAGAAGTGTGCCTGTCAGAAGAAGTCGGTGGAAGGTGAGGGGAGGAAGAAAGTACTTATAAACGCAGAGCGAGAGAAGTGAATAGAAAGTACCAGGCCAAATAGAAAAGAAAGACACGAGCCTGAAGTGAAAGTGAAGTGAAGTCGTAGTGAAAGCGTGAAAGGTGCTTAGTCATTTGTAGGTGGACCGATCAGGAAAGCACGTATGTTGGGAACGCGCGCGCGCAACAAGCGCACGGCTTGTAGTAAGAGCATTGTGATTTTAGCTCTCTGAGATATAGACAATTACCTGCCGCGCCAGAGGATGTCTTCAATTGCCTAACTAGAAACCTAGCGACATGACGTGCCTAGGGAGTGCCACGCGCCACACCCGGCTTGCTGCCTTGCGCTACGCCAGAAACGCCGCTGCTGCCTCACCCCTGGGCCACACCCCCACCAAATCCTCCACAAATCCACCATGGTGTCGAACAACACAAACAGCATATATAGAACTTCTTCATCTCGTCTCTCCCTTGCCTCACCACCACCACAGCCCTCTCCCCCCAAGCAATCACAATGACAGGACGCGGCTTCCCCTATCCACCACAACGCCGTCAGCTCCGCCCCAACCGTCCCCCACGCCCCTACGACGCCGACGTCGAGCACCGCTTCCCTCTCGCAATCTACGCCTCGCACCACGGCGGCCCATGGAACGGCTTCTGGCTCTCGGTGCGCGAGCGCGCCATGCTCGCAGCCATGGACCGGCTGACCGACAAGCCGGACTGGCGGCGCAAGGTCTTCGACGAGGACATTGTGCAGCGCTGGCGGAGCGAGGTCGTCGCTCCCCAGGATCTGCGCCCAGACCACCACGCCCGGAGCCAGGGCTTCACGCCCGAGATGTTTGACTACTGCATCCGTGAGCTGAGGGACAAGGCGCGTGACTTCGTCGACGAGGGCATCGTCCTGCTGTACGATGTCGACGCGGGCGTGGCCAAGTCCGACTCCCTTGTCTCAGAGGAGCTGAAGCAAGACCTCCGCGCCGCGGTCAGGCCACTCGAGGACGTCCCCGACAAATACAAGGACTGGCACCCCGGCTCCGACAACCGCGTTCTTGACCTTGTGCACCCCTCCCTCTTCCCCCTCATCTACGACTGCACCCACATCCTCCCTGAAAAGAGCGTCACGCTCGAGAATTGCCTGCGCCTCTGCGGCTCCGGCGAGCCCGCTGAGTTCAAACCCATCAAGGAAACTAACGAGTTCTACTCCTGGGAATATCAGTGGCTCCCTGCTGAATTAGCTTTCACTGATGATGAAGTCGGCGTCAAGTTCACCAGCTACATCAACAACCTGCATCCGTGCAGGCACGAGAAGCTGTACGCCGCCATCGAGCGCATCGCGGCGAAGGCGGTCCCGCTCTGGTCGGTGACGCTCGGCTCATTCTACTCCCCACGCAACCGGGTTCCCGTCAACGAGACAATCTACGAGTACGACTACCCAGGGCAGAACAAGTCGGACCAGCCACAAGACCAGTCATCAGGGCCACCACTAGCTCCACTATGGTCGCCCGCGCTCGGCGCTTTTAATTCCACGCCTGTCCAGGTTCCCGTCGACCCGGCGGGAGGGGGGGAGCACGATGAAGGGAGCGTAAACCTGGAGCAAGAACCGGAGCCCGAATCTACAGAAGAGCGCCTCCAGCGGATACAAGAAGAACAAATAGCCGAGTACGATCGCATCCAGCGGTCAAGACGGCTCGTCCTGCCACAGCCCCAAGATTATGAGCCCAGAGACAAGCCGCCGTTCTTCAATCTCAGACAAAAGTTTATCGAAAAGGGCCTGCAGGTCATAGTTAAGCTCGCCAACATCCACCTGACACCGGAGAAGCCGAAATATGAAGGCGGGTCCTGGCATGTTGAGGAGATGCTCAACGAGCACATTTGTGCGACGGCGCTCTACTACTACGACTGTGAGAACGTCACGGACAGCTACCTCTCATTCAGACAAAAGATTGACACGTCGGACGAAGACGGTTTAGCCGAGCAGAACGACTACGAAGGCGTCGAGATCATGTTCGATATTAAACAGGACGAACCTGGTATTCAGGACGTTGGCAGTATAAAGACCCAGGAAGGTCGGATGCTGGCTTTCCCGAATGTGTTTCAGCATCGGGTGGCGCCATTCAAGCTGAATGACCCAACCAGGCCCGGCCATCGCAAGATCATCGCTCTCTTTTTGGTGGATCCGTATTGCCGTATCATCTCCACGGCGAGAGTGCCGCCGCAGCAAAAGGACTGGTGGGCGGACGTGGTGCGGAAGGAGGGCGCCGTGCCAAAACTGCCGGCCGAGTTGCTCGAGTACGTTGTCGAGGACGTGGAGTGGCCGATGAGTCTGGAGGAAGCGAAAGAGCATAGGTTAAAGTTGATGCAGGAGCGGACCGCGTTTGCGGGGACCGTCGACGATGTGTTCGAAGAGGATACCTTCAACTTCTGCGAGCATTGACAGAGGACATGATGTATTGGTCGAGAAGTTTGGTTGTACGTGGTACAGGCGATAGATGTGTAGGAAACTTTTAAGGCGTGAGATCGCGGTATCCTAACCAAGGTATGGCTCCTTGTCGCGCAACAAATTGTTACTCTCACCTCACGCGACGATGTTTTGTTCCTTGCCGGCGACCCAGCCCTCTATGTTCTCCCTGAGGATGCGCTGGTAATTGGCCATGGTCTTTTCCCCGAACCAAGCCACGTGCGGACTGACAGTGATATTTAGACCCTGCGCCTCGGATCCCAGCAAAGGGCTCGAGGCGTATCTTCCGGCCTCGCCAGGCTCCTTGAGGAAGACATCCGCTGCTGCTCCCGCGATCTGCTCTGTCTTCAGCGCAGTCAGCAGAGCCGCTTCGTCCACAATACCGCCGCGGGACACGTTGATGAGAAGAGCGTCGGGGCGCATGGCCTTGAATTCAGGATCGGACATGAGGTTGACGGTTTCGGGGGTACGAGGACAACAAAGAACGAGGACGGTGGCTTTTTGGAGAACGTCGGCGAACGAAACACGATCCTCCGTGGCTGCCTCCTCCCCCTTGCGACCGGCAACAATGACTTTCATGCCCAGAGCGCCGGCGAGCAGAGCAATGCGTTTCCCTAAGCCAGACGTGTCAGCGTGAGCCCTCGAGAGTATCCCAAAACAGATGCGGCAAAGTACCGATGGCCCCGTATCCCACAATTCCCAGGATCTCGTCCTCGCAGTTCAGCGGTGCGTCGCCGCGCACACGCATGTACTGCGCCAGCGTTGCCCTCTCCTTCCACTCTGTGCCGCTGCCCAGTGTGCCCATGGTGCGCTCGTGCATGATGACGGTGCGCCGCCGTGCGGCAAAGTACATGCCTATGACGTGCTCGGCGACGGTGTGGACGTTGGCGTGAGGGCAGTTGGTGACCCTGATGCCGCGGCGGCGGCACGTCTCCAGGTCGACCGAGTCGTAGCCGGAGCCCATGACAGCAATCAGCTGCAGGTGCGGGGTGATTTCCTCGGAGAGGGCGACGGAATCGAGGGGATGGACGACGTTGATGATGATGGTGGCATCGCGGATACGGTCATGCAGGTCTTCGCGCGACGTGCGCAGGTAGCTGGTCAGCGTGTGCGTGTGCGGCTCGGGCAGCTTGAATTCGGGCAGGGGCGAGTGGATGGCCTCGAGGGCGACGATTGTATGGTGGACCATTTTTGTGATGCAAGCTGAGGTACTCGTAGGCGCAGTAGCGCCCAAAGAATCAAATACGACCCCTCGTCATCGGCAGGGCGTTGAGTCGCGTCGGCACGTGACTAGGGCGCGGGCAGCGGCGCGACAGCCGGCGCAAGACAAAGCGCGGCCATGTTTTGATGCGCAGAGATGGACCTTGGGGCGAAGGCGGGAGCGTGTCGAGCGGGCGTCTCTCTGGTGGCGGAAGAGAGTAGGTAAGGTAAGGTAGGTAGTCGTTGCGGGGAGTCGCCACCACGGCCACATGCATCTCAACCTGCACCCCGGCAAAAACTTTGGCCGACGCTGCTCACTGCCCAGGGACCTACAACGGATCATCCCGCTTCTTCTCCGCGGGGTAAAAGGCCGAAACATCCTACATCATTTTATATCATCTCCAACCCGTCCAGATGCATAGACAAGGATGGACGGGACCACCACCCAGTTTGTTATCCGCTTCCCCGCTGCCGCTGCTGTTGCCGCTGCAATATCAGAAACTTAATTATATGCACGCTCTAATTCGCTCTCAAGCCCGTGTGACGACTAAACCTATATACATGTTGCTGGGGAAAGATGCCATTTCTCTGCCACTGCACATGCTCAGTAATCGCATGCGTCTACTCTGCATCGAGATAGTCTTGCGAAGCAGAGTATGCTCAAAAGCTGGGCCCCTCCTGCCTGAATTTCTGTCGTGCCATCAACTCTACGTCGCCCAAAATGTCGTTACCCGTGTCGCTCTTGTTCTCTGTACTGTTTTTGGCCGTGGCTATTTTCGCCTGGTCCGCTATATACCGACTGTACTTCCACCCTCTGGCTTCTGTGCCTGGTGACAAGCTTGCGGGCCTGACGAGATGGTACGAATTCTTCTGGGACGGCCTCATGGGTGGTCAATACATGTTTAAAATCCGCGACATGCACGAGAGATACGGTACTTTTGCTCCCAGTTTCCGGCTTTTCAATCTCTGGTGCTAATCAGTGCCCGTTGTCACAGGCCCGATTGTGCGAATCAACCCTGGCGAAGTCCATATCAACGATCATCTGTACTGGGAAGTTCTCTTCTCGAACACTCTCAAACTCGACAAAGACCCGACTTACTATGGTCTCGATGCCGGAAACTGCACCGCGTGTACGTTGCCCTTACAGCAGCTTATAGAAACACTGAATACTCAGGACTTACAGTTTCGACGGTGGCGCACGATGTCCACCGCCGCCGCCGCGGAGCCTTTTCCAAGTTCTTCAGCGCTGGAAATGTAGCAAAGCTGGAGCCGCAAGTGCAACAAAAGCTGAACCAGCTCCTGGGCCGTATTGAAGAGCTCGGCAAAGCTGGTCAGGTTGTCGACCTGTCCAATGCATTCCGCAGCTTGTCAATGGACGTCATATCCATCTTTACCGAACCGCAGCCTAGGGACAACCTCTCTGCTCCAGACTTTTCAAAGCCGTTGCATGATTGCTTAAGAGTTCTATCAGGCACCTTTATTTGGCAGAGGATGGTGCCTGCCCTTCAAACTCTAGACGCAATCCCTCGTTTTGTTTGGACGTTTATCAACCCGAGTGTCAACGTTCTATATGACAAACGCGATGTATGGGAAATTCCTCAGGACAATTTACCAAATTAAAGATCTGACGCCGCCACAGAGTCTCAAGACGCAGGCCCGAGCGGTAATAGCCTCAGGCGGAAAGCCTGAAACGGACAGGCCGCCCACAGTGTTCGAAGCTGTAAGTGCGGTGGACAAGCTCTTTCTCGCGCCTCTTTTTGACAAGAGAGTAGATCTACAACTCGAGCTTGCTGGGTGTCGAGGACAAGACTCCAGAAAGGTTAGCGTGGGAGGCTGAGACTGTGAGACTTACCGTGCCCAAAGCCTAATGAAACGTGCTAAAGGACGTTACAGATCCTCGGAGCCGGTACTGAAACAACGGGGATGACCCTTTGCACTCTGGTCTATCATCTACAGACCAATCCTAAAATTCTCGAGCGGCTCAAGGAAGAATTGATGTCATGCTCCAGCTTGCCAAGAGAGGCGATGGTAGACTTCCGGACCCTGAACGGGCTACCGTACCTCCAAGCCGTCATCTGGGAAAGTCTGCGAGTCGGTTGCCCCGTTTCGGGCCGCCTTGTCCGCACCAATTCAAGGCATCCAATGACTTATACGACGCCCGGACCAGACGCCAAGACATATGTATTTCCGCCCGGCACCGTGTTGTCGATGACCATGCGTGATCTGCACGAGAACAGGTCCGTCTTTCCCAAACCGAAGGATTTCCAGCCCGAGCGCTGGCTCGACAGCTCCGACCCCACGAGCACCAGCACTGCCGAACAGCGCAAGTTGATGGACCGGTATTTCGTGCCGTTCAGCAAGGGGACGCGCAGCTGCGTGGGGATGGAGCTGGCGAAGCAGGAGTTGACGCTGACGGTGGGCAATCTGTTCCGACGGTTCGACCTGGAGCTGTTCGAGACGACGCGGAGGGACATCGAGGCGGCGCGCGACTATTTCTCGCCGTTCGGGCCCAGCGATAGCGAGGGCGTGCGGGTGAAGGTGAAGCTTTGAGATGCTCGTCTCGGGGGCTGGAGGGGCCGGCAAAAGCCGGGGTTGGCCCGGCCGGGTCAATGCCGGGCACATGCCTCATTTATTTTTACCGAGCCAAGAGCCTTTCCCTGGGCGTCATGCCACAAAAACTTTTAGCAAGGCCCACCCTTGCCCCTTTGTTAGCATCCTGCACCAATTGAATGCCTGCGCTCCCGATCCTGCCACCCTGCGCCATGCGAACCTAGGCTGTGAGAGATCGTTTGTGAGTTGTGACGTGCCTATGGAAAGGGCGGTGTCTTCAATGGAGCATCAATCGGATAGGCTGGCCACCCATCCGGGTGGTTGATGGCTTCCTCACACGTCTTGTACAGTAGCTCGTACGGCTTTTTCTTTTTCTGAACGATGCTCGCCAAGTTTCAGCGACATCAAGATCCCCGGAGAAGTTCCAATCGCACCAAAGTGGATACCCGCACCGAGCCGTTTGCGCGTGCGTGCGTGTAAGTGTGCTTGCATTGGCTTGGTTTTAGCTGCACAGCCGCCCGGCTGCCTTCCGAAACCCAAAACAACTCCATCGGTCTCGCCGAGTACCCTGTGGACACCCCTTGGCCGTAGCGCCCACAAATATAAGCATGCCTACTTACAGCGCCGGCGCCTAGCTAGCTGTTTCCGTCCCAAATCTACCGCGATCTTCGCCATGCTCATATACATTCCCCAGTCGCGCGCCGAATGGGGCTTCTTCCTCACTGCTTTTGTACAGGCTTTGGTCGTCGTCGGCCTCGGAATGTTAGTCGGACATCCGTGTCAGTCGTTTGCGCGCGCTCGCTGACGCAGAAAAACAGATTTATTCATATCCGATGGCAGCAATGGGCTAATCCCAACTTCATCCAACTCCAAATCTCGTACACTGCACCCGTGTATCTCTCTCTTTTCATGTTTGGTTGCCTCTACCAATGGTTGCTTGCTTTTGATGCTATCCGTTCAAAGCACAACATCCAGCTTTTCGCGATATGTGTCTGCAATGCTTGTCTACTTATCTTCACGGGACTGTTGTACAAGGAGATGCGCTGGGTGGTTCCCCACGCAACTGAACAGCGTGACATGTATAACAAACCACTTGTCAAACTGGACCAGGATATCTGGGTTGAAATTGGACCTTGTTTGCTGGTCTGCACGATCATCACAGGGATCTGCACTCTCGCAATGTGGGGGTTTACATACAGACTCCACAAAGAGTTTGCTTGGGCAATATACAAGCATGTCAGCGCTGACTTACATATGAGGAGCCGGTTCTTGACATACCAGGTAAGTTTGCGTGGCTCAGTTGTGACTATTCATTCTGATTTGGAAGCAACAGATTTATTTGGTCCTACTCAAGCTTGTTTTGTACTTCTTCTTGAGCTTTGTAATTTCATACAACCTGATTGATGTCCATTTCAGCCAGCCAGAGTATTCATTGACGATGGTCCTAATTCCTACCTCCCTACTCGTCTTGGGGTTTTCGGTGTACTACACAAGAATCGAGAACAAGCTTGGCATGACCGTCACAATGGTAAGTCAGGTAGACTGTTGTCTTGGACCAACGTTAATTCTAATCTGAACAGGTGTTCCAGCTAGCTGGCGTAGCCTATCTCTTAAGCAGAATTATCTTGCTAAATGGAAACTCCCAAAGGGCGACAAGCAAAGGGAAAGATCTGATGCTGCTCTTTGCGGGTGTAGGCATGATCTTCCTGATCTTCACGTTCATTGAGGCATGCCAATGCTTATACAACTTTAACAAGGGACTGAAGCCGATTTTGCTGAACCGTAAACCCCAGGCGCTCAGACGACAATCTTACACTTTCCAAAGGCTTTCCCTGCAACCCCCGTCTCCGATTAACACACCCTCTCAGGCTTACCTACTATCTCCGCGGCGTTTGTCTCTCGACTGAGAACTTCATCTATATGGAACCAGGGTGCTGGCTATTTTGGTTGCATATACATGAAGACTTTTCGGAACTACGCGAGGAAGAATGTTTTGGGCTACGCTGTCATGAGGCCGGTCTCCGAGTTACCTCCTGGAAACCGCATGGACCGAGCACTCGGTCCCTACCTGAACATACTGGAGCGAGCTGGCTGGAACTTGAATGGCTGGACCCCTGGAGACTCAACTCGTCAAACGAAGGAATGGAAGGACGGGCAAATAAAACTCCGTCATCTTCTCTGGCAACACTAACGCCTTAGATGTTGCGAGGATTGAAGCCATCGGTTTTGTTGGATAGTCACATCCTCGCCTGGAATTTGGTCCATCGAATAGTCAACTGAAACCGGCGAACGTTTCACGGATAGTAAAGCCGTTTTCTGGAACAGCGCTTTACCACCGTCACGTCAAAAAAGAAGAAAAGAAACTGTGTTTCCTACGCCGGATAAACAAAGGAATGTGAAAGCAAGGGAGGCACAAGCTCCTCACTCAAGGTCAATCGCACCTCAGACAAGGCTGGATCAGTCCAGAGCTTTGCCAACGGTATTCCGACAGAAACGGTCCTGTGCTTCAGCGTTATCACGGGATTGGACAAAATCAAAGAAAATACTTTACTTATTTTAACCTACGTTTCCAAAATCTGGCTGGACCACCAAGACGGGGGTTTTAATCAATAGCGCACGAGAATCTGTTTGCAGATTGGGCAGTAGAGATTTAAGAATCGAAGGACCTAGGGAGAGGCGACAGGGTTGTTTGCTGCATTTTTCTGCATGTGCGCGTGCGTAGACGGATGGTCAAAAACCTTTCCATGGCTTAGGCGGACGATGAGTGATCTTATCTTAACCTGAGGAGCCGAAAAAAACGGTGTGTGAGGCCGGGGCTCTATTTTCCTGTCGCACGAAAGAACGCGGTCCCAGACCCGAAGAAAAAATTGTTGGCACGGTCTGAACTAGGCAATAGTTTCAGACTGATCTGTTGTGTTTGATATGGAATGGTGGGCACGTCTTGAGTAGCTTGGCGATTTCTATAGCTGCAACGGAACTAATGGTTATTTTTAGACAAAGGACAAAGGACTAAAATCAGAAAGCGTAAAGTATGATAGCAACTCCAAACAATGGGCCATATGCTGGTAGCACACGCGTTGTAAAGAGCCAAGTTGTTCTCCCTTGTCGAACAATTACATTGTTCGGCGCATGAGCCTGCTTTATATAATCAAGACAGCCTCAAGTGCACATCTCGCAAAATTATCGTCACAGCAGCCATGGATACCGCAGTTTCAGTCCAAGCAACCAACAATCCCCCACACCGGCATGTGTTCACAGCCGCGCTCATATTCGAAATCGGCTTCGGCCTTATAGCCATATGCCTGACCCTGTCCTTCATCGGCTGGGTCACTATCAAGATCTGCACGATCCGCGCAAAGCGCAAGAAGCTGTCAGATCCTGAAGCGGCGACAGCCGCGGGAAAGCCGCGGAGCCGCGGGGGTGAATCCTCTGTTGATGATGATGATGATGATGACTTTGTGTTCCACTCGCCTTCGCCAACACCGAAGCTCAGCAGGTCTGCGACTTGGGTCAGGCTGGGTAAGGAGGAGATTCCATCGCTGCTGGAACTGAATGAGCTTAAGCGGAGTAATACGGTGAAGCTGAAGCCGGCTCGCCCGGTTCAGCATCCTCCTCTGCCGAGAAGAAACTCGAATTAACGAGCATGATGCTTGAGTGCATCATTGCAGAAACTAGATGTTAGGAAGCAGCCTCGGGACATGGATACGGGAGCTGCATCAGCTCCCGTATCCATCGGGAGACATAATTGGTAATGAATTGATATTGATTTGACACAGAAGAAATGTAAATGATGGATGGACGTCAAAATAGACTGTCAGCAATACCTTGCTGAGCTTCCAACCGGCTTCCAACCGGCGCAACTGCTAAAATGATATCAGAGACCCTCGGGTGGGTACCTAATCCAAGTAGCACGTAATACCTAGCGGCAGTCGCGTGCCCGCGCTGCTTGCTTTTATGTAGTACATACAAGAGGCATGTCAGCTGCTGACGGCTTCCATTTACAGAGCTCAGAAGTGCGTTGCAACGTCATCCCTGCTGGATATTGTTATTGTTATTGCTGTACCTCCGAAAAAGATGCGGACGACGCTGTTGACCCTGGGAGTCTCGGCCGGCCTGTCGCTAGCGACCGGCACGACCCCACACGCTCAAGCGCCTTTGCACGTGCCGCGCAACGCCAACCTTACGTCAAACACCACCTCCGCTTCCCGTCCAAACGTCGTCTTCATCCTCACCGACGACCAGGACCTCCACCTAGACTCGCTCGACTACCAACCGCTGCTCAAGAAACACATCCGCGACCATGGCACCTTTTTCGCTCGCCACTTTTGCACTATCGCCATCTGCTGCCCTTCGCGAGTAAGCTTGTGGACCGGCAAAGCCGCGCACAACACAAATGTCACCGATGTCAGCCCTCCGTACGGCGGATATCCAAAGTTCATCAGCCAGGGCCTCAACGACGATTACTTGCCTGTCTGGTTGCAGGATGCGGGCTACAAAACTTACTACACAGGCAAGCTGTTCAATGCGCACACAGTCGAAAACTACAACAAGCCCTACCCCAGAGGGTTCAATGGGTCGGTATGTCAATGCTTTGTTCCAATGCTTGGGCATTCGCTTACTCTTACAACCCAGGACTTTCTCATCGATCCTTTCACCTACCAGTACCTGAACAGCAGCTTCCAGCGCAACCAGGATCCTCCGGTGAACCACCCAAATGAATACGCGACAGACTTGCTGGCAGAGAAGGCTTATGGATTCCTTGACGATGCTGTGCAAGCAGACAGGCCCTTCTTCTTGACCATTGCTCCTGTAGCGCCTCATGCCAACGTGGCGAAGGGCAGCGACGGCAAAAACAAATTCACGGAGCCCATTCCTGCAAAAAGACACGAGCACCTGTTCAAGGACGTGAAGGTGCCGCGCACCCCGAACTTCAATCCTGAAAACCCATCCGGAGTAAGCTGGATCAAAGCGCTGCCGCGCCAGAGCCAGGAAAATGTAGATTACAACGACCACTTCTATCGACAACGCCTCAGGTCTCTGCAAGCTGTTGACGAGATTATCGAAGGAGTGGTGGAACGGCTGGATAGGTACGGGATCCTGGACAACACGTACATCATCTTCACCACCGACAACGGGTTCCATGTTGGTCAGCATCGGATGCAACCTGGCAAGGAGTGCGGCTACGAAGAAGACATTAACATCCCGCTCATCATCCGCGGGCCTGGAGTGCCCAAGAATGCGACGACGGACATCGTAACGTCGCACACTGACCTGGCACCGACGTTCCTTGACTTGATCGGCGTTGCTCCGAGAAAGGAGTTTGATGGCCTTGCAATCCCAGTGACAGGAAAGGGCATTGCGGAAGCAAAGAACTCCCGTCATGAGCACGTTAATGTGGAATTTTGGGGAATTGTGATTGAGGAAGGTGACTACGGAAGTATGGCTCCGGAACTCCTTGAATGTCCAAACGCTTCGTACTGACCTATGTGTTGCAGACAATCGACTGCCGAATAACACCTACAAGGCACTTCGCATAGTCGGGAAGGATTACAACCTGTACTATTCTGTCTGGTGCAACAACGAGCACGAACTCTACGATCTCAACGTAAGTTTTACGTGATTGTTCAGATGTTTTTGCTGGCCGATAGATAAGAAAGTTGCCCGAGATCTTGTGCTGACTTTCTGGCAGAATGACCCGTACCAGATACATAACTTGTACGACTCTCCTGCCTCTAGCTCCCACGGCACCAACACCACTTTTCTCGGCCTCTCCCACAGCAGCAACACTACTCTTCTCGGCCTTCCAGTCACCAAAGCGATAGCCCGCCTAGACTCACTCTTATTCGTGCTCAAATCCTGCAAGAGCGAAACATGCATTCGCCCTTGGGAGGCACTGCATCCTGACGGAAACGTCCAGAATCTCCACGACGCGCTGTCGCCGCGCTTTGACAAATTTTATGAGGTCGAGCAAGAGCGGGTCTCGTTTTCGCGCTGCGAGCTGGGCTATATTATCGATGCTGAAGGACCGCAGTTTGAGAAAGACGGCTTGTTCTTCCGCGAGGGAAATAGGTGGTCGGATTGGGTTTGAGTGTGGTTACTGTCGGTTGACGGCTGACGGTTATCGCAAGGTGGGGCCGCTGGACATGTCGCAATCCCGCGCTTGTCTTGCTTCATTGGTGCCTGCACCGTAAGCGGCAGCTCACCCACGCCGCCGTGGAAATTTGAACAAAACCTTTTTATGACTGCATGATTTTGCCTTTCCATGTTGTGTTGTCGCTCGCTGGACTTGTTTTGCTTCGCTCTGTTTCAGCGTATCCCTCGCACGTGATAGCTCGTCATTCAGTAGATCATGTCTTCTTCCTCTTCTTCGTTGTTAGCTTCGTCGTCTGCTTCCGCAAAGTCTTCGGTGGCGGAAGACCCTGGCGAACGTACCCCGCTACTGTACAACTCGGGCAGCAAAGTGCCGACAGTGGGAATCGAGCAGACCCAGGATGATGATGAAGAAGCAGGAACCGTACCCACCGACACGACGCAAACTACGCAATCGACCAAATCGGTAGCCAGCATAATCGCGGTGCTGGTGATAGGTATGCATGCTGTTATTTGCAACCCGGCTGTAAATGTTTGGGTGATGACTGACAAAGTCTTGGCTTTTATCAGGAGTGTTTATATCGTCCGCCGATTCATCCATTGCGTTGGCAACGCACGGAACCATTGCGTCGGAATTCAAGGATCTGGCCTACTCGAGCTGGATTTATACCAGTTTTGGACTGGCTGCTGCAGCGTCGCAGCCTTTGGTATGTTAGCTTGCCTGCGTTTGAGTCTACTGTGTCTGGTTGTGCCTTTGGTGAAGGATCGTGCACTGACAAAGGGCGATGTAGCTTGCAAAGTTGAGCGATATCTACGGCCGAAAGACTGTGCTGCAGGTCTCTAATGCGCTATTTGCTCTGGGCTGGTGAGTGCATCCAAGTCTGTAGACACGTGCGTATGTAGCTAACATGTTTACAGCACAGGCGTGTAAGTTTGACGTTGCGATCGTTCTGGTGGGGATGCTAATGGCATGGCTTCAGTGGCATTGGATCGACCTTCCTTCAGGTTATTATCGGTCGTATCGTCTCGGGTATCGGCGGTGCGGCAATGACGAATCTGGTCTTCATCTCCATAGCAGGTTGGTGCTACTCTTGCTTTCCTTAGGGTACATGCTGACATTCCCCACAGACTTTGTCCCTGTACGTGAGGCTGCGGCTTGGAGAGGCTACGTTAATGTCGTTTCCACCGCCGGCAGAAGCTTGGGCGGACCTCTTGGGGGTTATCTCGCGGATGTCGTTGGCTGGCGCTGGCAAGTATTCAGCTCCCTTTGTATCACTTACATCTAACAAACAAACCAGGTCTTTCATCGGCCAAGCTCCAACCATAGTGATCGCCATGATACTCATCTGGGGAATACACCCTTCAGACCATACCGCCGCCGATGCAGCCGCCACTGAAGTCACCAACGACCGGGAAAAGCAGTCCAAGCTGTCTCGCGTCGATTTCCTTGGTTCCGCGCTCTTGGCCATCACCATCCTGGCCTTCATGCTGCCGCTCGAGATCGGTGGCCAGAGTGTCCCGTGGAACCACCCGTTCATCTGGGCGCTTTTGGGCGTGTTTGTGCTCTGTGCGGTCCTACTCGTGCTGGTGGAAGAGTACTGGGCGAAAGAACCTGTCTTCCCGATCGGCCTCATGCGCAATGGTGATGTGGTGGCTTGCTATCTTGTAACGATGCTGCAACTGGCCGGCCAAATGGGGGTGAGGTTTGCCTTGATGATGTTGCAAAGTCCAACTGCAGAACCTTGTCCGCTGACGATGAGTTTAGTTCATGTTCAGCGTTCCGCTGTACTTTCAGATCACCGCCCGAGCCTCGGCAAAAGTCGCGGGTGCGCACCTCTTCCCTGCTGTTGCAGGAAACGCAGTCGGAGGCCTCATGACCGGGTACTTGGTCAAGCGGTAGGTGTCTGCTATATCTCCGATCAGCTCATTCGCCCCGGTCTAACAACTCCATCAGCTCCGGCCGCTACAAGTTCTTGATCACCCTCGCCACAGTCGTTGCCGCAATTAGCTACCTCCTCGTCCTGCTTCGCTGGCGCGGCCACACCAACCTCCTAGAATCGCTGTACATTATTCCAGGGTAAGCTCGCCCCATCCAACCCCTTAGCCGCCTTGAACAGCACTTCCGCCATTCAATCCATGCTGCAAACCCCATCCACTCATCCATTCTCTCATTTACTTACGCACCCTCGTGTGTTTTTAGCGGCTTCGGCACCGCCATCGCGCAATCCGCCGTCTTTGTCGCCGTGTCCGCCGCCATCGACCCCGCGCACATGGCCGTCGTGACCAGCGGGCTTTACCTCTTTGGGAGCATCGGCGTCGTCGTAGGCATGACGGGCGCGAGCGCGGTCCTGCAAAGCGTGCTGCGCAGGGCCTTAGAAGACAAATTCGCGAGCTTGCCTGACGGAAAGAAGTTTATTGAACGCGTCTTGTCGGATCTGGCGTTCGTGGACGGGCTTGTTGGGTGGGAGAGGGAGGCGGTTGTGGGAGCGTATTTGAGGGGGCTTGACTGGGTTTATGGTGAGTGATTGGTTTTCCTTTCTGCGTGGTTCTGGTGAGAAGTCGGCTGATTTGTTTGTGGTTAGGTTTGTCGCTGTTGTTTGCGTTGATTTCTATGGTGGCTTCGCTTTTCATTAAGGAACGGAAACTTTGAAGCACGAGCGCTTCCTTATCAGCATGCCGGACATCCGACGACCCAATGGTTTGGCATCAAAAATTCATCTTGAAACAAGTACTAGCATCATTATAGAAGCTGTCAACACTCTTTCCGGCCACTCGGTGTTCTGTGCGATCTCCAGTGGTTGATGCCCCCAAACCCCACTCCATCAATTTAACCTTGAGTCGTCTGACCCGCCTCCACCTGCGCTACGTACGTTGCGACGCTTTTACCACCTCATAATCCTTTCAATTAGATATTGGAGTCAGTTAGATCTTGGTTCTTCCGGATCTCCCCACCAAAAGTGGGTCCTCTGTCCTTATTATAGCGATGGCAACACAACAACCAAAGCCGTACCAGCATGTTTATAGCCACAAGGGCAGCTTTGGATGAAATAGCGCTTACTTGTGGTATTTATGTTTGTACCTTCACTATACAGCTGAAGAGGAGATCAGATGTTCACCATATCAGACTTAGACCTGCCGATCCGAACAAGCACATGCCATCGGAGATATCGGCAATCGCGAGAAACTGCCTATTTCATTCATCCGTCCATGCAACATCCATTACCGTCAAGAAAGATCCATCTTCCAGCGAGATGGGATACAATACAATCAATTTTCATGGAATACTCGTTACCTAGCTACAAGCCGGAGTCCTATATATGGGTAAAAAGGCCTTAGAACGCACGCATACTATAAAAACCTTGACTGGGGTTTGGTTCCGCCCCGTACATGCGTAGGTATCTCGTGGGGTGGTGAATCTCGCTTGAGGGTAACGGGCTTTAGCTTTGACCACCCGTTCCAAAGTCATCGTCCTATTTAGGCCTGGACGCCCCCTTTTCCACTCGGACGACATTCGGCTGGCTCCACAAAACAATCCTTACTATTATACAAGACCCCTTACATACCTCATTCTTCCTTTGACCGACTAAGCCCTTAAAAAAATGCTAACCTGAGTAGCCTTGGCGGTCGTGAGACCAGCGCATGACTGGTGTGCAAAGCCCACGATTAAGCTTTTTCTATCACTCCAAAATATGAGATGGTACGGATTATGTTTGTACTGCCAGGCATTCATGTTTCGTTATAGAAGCTTACTTTAACCCCAAACCTACTGGCAATTAGGTTCTTCTCGAAATACCCATTGGGTACCTATTTAATCTTTCGAGCAATAGAGCATCAAACAAGCATCTCCACCACAAGCGGGCATGTAAATGCCGACTGCCGAACGTGTGTTCACTTTCGGTTGCTAGCGTGAAACATTTGAATGGGTAAAAGGTATCTCTATTACATTTCCGACTGGCGGAAAAGGAGAAAATAACTGCTTATGGGCTTCCTCCGCTGCCAAGACACTTTGAAAAGGTAGCAGTCGGGACTGAAAAGGTTGTTGTGATGTGGAGGATTGAGCACAGCCATTGTGGCGGAGTCAGCACGACCCACTTTATACGAGCTGTCAGGCCTTCAATCATTACTTACAGTGCGTGCACCACGTGCAATACCCAGACACAAAGAAAGAAGCTCTACCGCGGGGCTCCATAGTTCTTTAGCAGAGAGCATGCGCCGATACGAGGAGATGTTTGAGGTTTGTTGGGGGCCATCAAGGGGTAGATTTCATTCAAAATTCATATAACCACCAAGAAGGAACACCACAACACCAGCTACCAGTAACGCTCATTCCATTCGAATTTTTCGAACCCACGCTCTTTAGAATGCTTATTGCTCAGCTGCTCTCACTTTCCGCTCTTGCGGTAGCGCTTCCTGCCGGCCAGGCAGCTTCGTCGACATGCACCGACCAACGGAAGAGGTTAGAATGGCGCCAACTTAATGATGGAGATAGGGCTTCTTTCGTGCAATCCGTTCAATGTTTGACCACGAAGCCGTCTCGTCTTGATCTCAACACGACTTTGTATGACGATTTTGCCCACGTCCACCAAGCTCTTGACAAGAAGAGTATGTATATAACAGCTCCAGCTCAACACAATCCGGGATAAGGTACTTATGGACTGCAGTTAACCTTGTGGGAAGCTTCCTCCCGTGGCACCGTTACTTTGTCCATGTCTATGAAAAGGCCCTTCAAGACTGTGGATACAACGGCACTGCCACGTAAGTTCATCCGTTTTTCGACGCTGGTAAATTTACTAGCAATGCAACGCAAAGCTAACCCACGAATTCAGGTACTGGGACTGGACTCTAGACGCCGAGGATCCCGTTAACTCGAAGATCTGGGACGCAGAGAGTGGCCTGGGAGGCAATGGCAATTCCGACAAGGCCGAAAAGCATGGAGACAACACTTACAACTGCGTGACCGACGGACCGTTCGCCGACCTCAAGCCGGCTTACCACAACGACGACGAGGAGTCGCACTGCCTGTCCCGCGAGTTTAACAGCGGATCCGAGAAGCCCGGCGACATGTTCAAGGAGGAGTACAGCAAGATGTCGCTCAAGAGGATTCAAGGCCGTTTCGACTACCAGAATTTCCGAGTCCAGCTCGAGGAGGGGCCCCACCTCGCCATCAACACCGGCGTGGGCGGCGACATGGCGACCCCCACTGCGCCCAATGGTTTGTTACACCGTCTCTAATGGTAAATTTCCGGCAAACAAATGCTGACGAACGCCTAGATCCGCTTTTCTTCCTCCACCACGCCCAGATTGATCGCCTGTGGTGGGAGTGGCAGCAGAAGCTCCCCTCGCAGCGCAACAAGGAGTACAGCGGCATCAAAACGCAGGATGACGACTCTTCGCAAGTCTCCCTTGATGATACACTGGAGATGCTGGGATTGGCGGATGATGTCAAGGTCAAGGATGTTATGACTACGGATACCGACCTGCTTTGCTACAAGTACTAGTGGCTGGTTCTAATGTTTGAGGCCCTGGTGGTCGTGGGAGATACCCGAGGCTGAAGGTTTGGCCGCTCTTGATTAGTTTTTCTTTCGGCTTTGCCGATTGCTGTTGCAGGCTTGACGTAGCTTATTCACTCGCTCAATTAATCCGCTTCGCAGCTCTGCGCATACATTCCAGCCAGTTAAAATAGCGTGAATGGGCAGTAGGGCGGCACGGAAGCCCGAGGCAGTTTGCCGCTAATACTCCCGTGAACTATGTATAGAGCTATGATGGTGTATATTTTATACCTATAGCGCTTATATTATCGTCTACGGGGAGTGCTGCAGTAGGGGGTTATAGGTAGAGGCGGGATTCGAAGTACTAAATCTCTATAGAAGGGTATAAAGCCGTTTAGGGGGTTGCAGATGTATTTTCTACGTGCGTCTATAGCTTCTGTTAGTGCTTGCAGTGCGGGATACGGTAAAGGGTTGTGGATACATAGGAGCACGAAGTAGTTATACTTTGTAGGGGGAAGAGGATAAGAGTTATGGGACGCGGAGAACTCTTTTCTTAACAGCACGACGTATTTTCTAAGCAGGCATTATATTCAGTTCTATAGCCATTTGACTATGTTCTATACGTCACGTATTTAGCATTTGCTATGGGAAAGACTGCTTCTTTACTTAAATATATCTAATGCGGACATGGTAGTGCGAAGTGGATCTTATGATTATGCATTTACGTTCTTTTATAGTATGTAATATAACTTTTATACGCTCGCTACTGAACGTCTTTGGTATATTCCGCAATCTTTGCATGCGTAAGCAGAAGTCCGTCATCACTGTCTGTAATATGCACTATGTAGGGATACATTCACATTTGCGCGTTAGTACCGCACACTTCTCATAATGTCACTGGTCTTTGTTTTATAAGCCCGTTGGTATAGCTTCGCATTGCTATACTGTATGCTCTTATAAAGTGTCTAATCCCTCTGTAATCACCCGCGAAACAATCCTACTTTAAAGACGCATGCTCCCGTATCTCCCCACTATGGCAACTAAGATTTTCCCTTTCAAATCAAAATGACAAGTTAAGAATCAGTCGTACATGGGCAAACGGAACACTTCATTATTCTAAGAATAGCAAGCCGATGGACAGCGAAGCCGATGAGAGTTCATTATTAATTAAACAAAGAGTACCGCGAAAACACGATCCTAAGCTTAGTGAACTAAACCAACACCAGACTACCTATTAACAACATCAAAAACCAACACTCAAGAACACTAATCTTTAGCGAAAGCCGTCTTGCCACAGAAGTCCGCCATAAACTCCTGGAAACTGTGGACCACCTCGTGCTTCTCAGAGGAGCACTCGTGGACTATGCAAGGCGAGATGGTATAGCCGAAATAGTCGTACGTCTTTGATTTCCAGTCCTTTTCGCATATTTCCGCGCGAGTGCTGTCCCAGAAGGGGTAATCGTAGTGCGAGTCAATACACCTCTGGAAGCAAGGGTGCAGGTCGGAGCGCTCCGGCTTCGCATCCGCTTTTGCGTATGCTTCTGCCTTGGTTGCAAAGCTGGCCATGGTGATGGTGCCGAGAAAGAGCTGGAGAAGACGCATTGTATGTGTGTGTGCGTGTGAGTTTTGTTTGTGTGTGTGTATGTAAAGTCTGTTTCATTGTTAGCACTCACTGCACTGCAGGAAACTAGGCGTGGATAAGTCCATACCGAAAGTGTGAGTTTTAAGAGCTTGGCCTTTTGGGATTTCGAGACTGAAAGTGGAGATTAGAGTGCTTGGTTTGCTTTTACATGCTGCGGAAAGGGCGAAGAGCTATATACTTGCGTTTTTGCACACTGATGGTACCGAAAAGTGCGATGCCATGGTTCGCGACCGCACCTCGACGTTTTGGCCAGGCAGAAGCCTATCGCTGAGTTGCGACTAACAAGCGTAAAATAGTCGAAACTCTAATTCAAGACGTAAGTCCCAAATTTCCTCTACGGGCAATAGACGAAAAGAAAATGTATTCAGTCAAAACGTCAACTAAATCAAGCACTGACGTCGTTGGAGCCCGTCTACTTCAAACCACCCACAAAGAACCGCGGCACCCATTTTCACAAAGCCAGATCTACACACAAACACATACGCTGTTCAACGGCCCCGGCCAGAACCCCCACTCCCGCAATACCAAGCAATTTCGCTGAAGCACCCTTAGGTATACTACATATAGATACGTAAGTACACGATGAATATACGCTGCCTAGCAACGTATATATAGTAGGAAGCATCTTCACTACCCCCGAACGGCTTTATACCCTTATATAGAGTCTTATTTACTTCGAATACTACTACATTTATATCCTTACGTAACAAGCCTTCTTAAAGCCCTACGCGCACGATATATATATCTACCTGTTATATAGTCGCAACCCACTAGACCTCTTCACACCTACGCGTAGAGATTCTCTATATTATAGCTATATTATTTTCTATCTCCTCGAACCGGCACTATACATTTACCCCTAGTACAGTAGCGGTAGATACGTAATACAACCTATTATAGAGTGCTAAGTAGCTTTCCATACTTCCGTAAAGATATAAACCTTTATATCTATTTCTATCCATATCCCTATACATTCGCTCTCTTTATAGTTTATACATGCGAATCTACACGCTCTACGTATATAGGAAGCCCTACCGCATCCTTATACATCCTCCTCATCCCCACGCTGTACAACTTATTATGTACACCATTACAGAGGCTATACACACGTCACGCGCACCACCGCAACGAGCTGAGTAGCTTCAAGCCCCTATATAGAGGCTTCTACCACGAAGCCGACACTCTACCATATACCCACAATCACTCAACATTTTAACGTATTCACCTCACTCCCCACAGCCGCATCCACCGCTACCGGCAAGCTATTGTCGGCGCTTTGCCCCGCGCTGGCAATAAGGGAAGGCGCGAAGCTCTACCGTCTACGTCATTCTCTTTCACCATCAGTCATCTTTCACTTTCACAACCCCCTCGTGCCTTCCTTCTCTTCTGCCTAGCACCTTCCGTTCGCTTCTCTCGCTTAGCGAGTTCATTCACCATCTGCAACTATATAAGTACCTCCTCCCCCCACCTCCCACCGACTTCTTCTGATCGGCCGGCACACTTCTTTTCCAGTGCACTACCACCATCACCACTACTATTACCACTACCGCCACCACCATGCCTCCCTCGCGTGCCGCCCAAGTGGCCGCTGGCGTCCACGTCATCCTCTCCGTCCTCATCATTGGATGGGGCCTCATGATGAAGGCGGTTTCCGCTATCGGCGCCGTCATCACCACCATCTGCGAAGTGCCGGGCGTCCGGTCCTTCAGCTCCTCCGTCCTCGGCGTCCTCGCTCCCTGCCTCACCGTTGCGCAGCTCATCGGTACGGGTTGCTTCTTGAGCTTCCGATGGGGATGGGAGAGGTATCTCCACCCATGCCTTTTCGGTGCCGACCTCTTCGCCTTCTGTCCTCCCTACGGCCGGACCCATGGGCTGCTCCTTCTCATCCTGCCCAGCGTCACTGGCTTCTTGTGGGCTGTCTCCTGGCTGTACGTCCTGGTCGTTGGCAACTGGAGCGCCCCTCGACACAAGGAGCCGTCGGCGAAGGACAACGTCATCCGGCAGGTCGATGGACGGACCGGCATCACACGGTTTTGCGACATTTGCAAAATCGAGCAGCCGGACCGTACCCACCACGACCCGAAGCCGAAAAAATGCTTGCCGTTGTTTGACCACCAGTGTTACTGGTTTCCGGCACCAGTATACCTAAAGACCCAGAAGGCCTACCTCTGGGCACTCACCCTGCTGCCGGTCCAGCTGACCATCACCATCTTCTTCGGTTACTGGCTCTTCTTCACACACCGCAGGGAGCACTTCAAGCCCCTCGAGATCACCTACTTCGTAACCAGCACAATCACCTTCATCATGTGTCTGGTCGAAGTGTTCTTCAATGCCTATATGTGGACCAACCTCATCGGCCACAATGTCAGGATGACGGAGCTCCGTCATGGTGCTCGGCTCACGATCCGCAGCACCGACGGCACGAAGAAGGCCGAGCAGGCGGCAGCGCCCAAGGTCTACCCATGGGACCGCGGCGTCTGGGAGAACTTCCAGCAGAACTTCGGGTCATTCCCGGAGTGCTTCAACATCTTCCGCGAGCCTCCCATTAGCCAGAAGACCCGGGATGGCACTGGCTACGCGGCCACGGTCTTCGAGAAGCAGGCCCAGCTCGAGCTGGACGCCATGGGCCTTGGCGCCGCCCCGCCCGCCGCTCCGCCTGCCCCTCCCGCTCCGCCCGCTCCACCTGCTCCGCCCGCCCACGCCCACACTGTGCGCCGCCGCGGCGACCGCTCGACCACCTCGGGCTACGAGCTCGAGCCGCCGGGGGTCGACAGGACCCGCACCCGCCGCTTCTCTTGAAGGGTAAATGGTGGTACTTGTCGTTGGCGGCGAAGGATTTGCTTTTTTTTTCTTTCTCTTTCTTTCTTTCTTTCTTCTCTGGTACATGTTGCTAGCGGCGAAGGAATGGTTTCTTTGGTTGTGCTTTTTTGCTTTTTCATAGGGACGACTTGAATCTCCCTCTAATTTTGCTTTTGCTTTTGCTTTGCTTTTGCTTTGCTTTGCCCGCACCCAACCGGATTCATCACTACGGCGGGTTGCCTTTCGTGTTGCGCTGACGCAGCCGTAGATAGCTGAAGACGATTTCTTTTCTCTCCACTGCTGCTTCCTCATGGTGTTTATGGTGGCTGTTGGCATGCTATGCCGTCCTGTTCCTGACAGTATACAGTTCTCCGCTACCGAGCACGACGGATGCATCACAGCACGTCCACGGCGAGGCTCCCTCAGACCACACAAAGACACTCCATCATACACAGCGCCACGAGAGCCACAAACACTGCCAGAGCCCGTATATACACGCAGAAAGTACCAGCACAGCCCCCTCAACGGCTTTCTCCTAGCACAGAGACCTACACCGCACGCCACCCTTACCCAGTCACGCTGGCCACGACACAACACCACGCCTACAGACCCCGCACACGCCACATAGCTACGCAGCGCTACCTACGTACGCCCGCCACAAGCAGCCCCATCCGCGCGCAAGCCAATACGACCAAACCACACAAACGCCTTCACACGCCCACCTGCATGCACCTCCGCACAACATACCACGCCATCATAGACCCCAAATAGACGCGGAAACCAGGACGGCACGCCCTCTGCTCCCTAGGCCCAGCAGAGGCGCCCCCCGAAACCGGCAGTATGAGCTGCAGAGAGCTTTGGATGCGGTTGCTGCGGCTCTGCACCATGTACTGCATAGGTGTGTGAAGGTATGGCATCCCTGTGCTTGGAGGTAGCTAGGTACGTATGTAATTGTAATGTTAAGAACCTGCATTTGCGGCTTTGCATTGCTACTATCTAAACATTTACAGGTGCCCAGCTCTTCCATAACCACTCGTATAACAACCCTAGCCCAAAGAAGAATCCATACATGCCCCTCCACTTCGCCAAACATGCATAATCCCTAAGAACAAATAAGATAAGACAGGGCCCAGACCCACGCAAATGCATGAATTACTCTTTCACAACACAAAGAAACAAACGAGCAAACGCTACCAAACCGCCTTTGCACCGCCTATAACAAAGACACTTAATCAGGACCGAAGACTTTGCGTCCACAGAAGGCAAACATGAAGTCCTGGAAGGACTTGACAGCTTCCTTCTTGCCCAGGCACTGGTGCACAGAGCATGGCGAAACGGTATAGCCTAGCCACTTATACGTCTGCGACTTCCAGTCGTTTGCACAGAAATCTTTCCTTCCGCTCGTCCAAAAGGGGTAGTCGTAGTGTGCGTCTATGCATTCTACGAGGCATGGGGCCAAGTCGCCACGGTTTGGGGTCGCGTCATTTGGTGGTAGCTTAAACGCCGCAGCCATTCCGAAGCCGCCGACGAGGAGGGTGAGGAGACGCATTGTGTGTGTGTTTGCGTGTGTGTAAAGTCTATTCAATTATTAGCACTCACTGCACAGCCCACACCCAGGCACAAGGAAATCCTCACCAAAAGCGTAAGTCTCAAGAGTCCGGGGCTTAGATCTCGAAATTCTGAAGGCCGAGAGTGCAGACAAGCGTGCTAGATCTACTTGCACACACTGCAGAGCGGGCGCAGTATTATATACTACTTATTTCTACGAGCTGGCGGTACCAAAGGCGCGCAAGACCGTGGTTCGGGGCCGGCATATCTGCGTTTTGACTGCGCTGAAGCCTGTCGCTGCGGAGCGGACAGCCAGCGGACGGCGGTTGGAACTTGGATCTACAAAACCGTGAGCTCTGGGCTCTGGCTTCAGGCGATACACGGATTGGAAGGACTGGGTGGCAGGTTCTCGTATGTATTAGCCGCTAAGACAACTCTCTTGAACCACGGTACCCATACACACACGCAACCCACCACACCCCCCTCTCCTCCCTCCGCCCACAGCAGCAGCACGTCCGCAACCGCCAGCATGGCCACAGAAAGCTTCGGATGCGGTTACTGCGGCCGTGTGACCGGGTTGTATGATTATGCAGAGGTACACCGTCCTCACGGTCGTAGCCAGTTAGATACACGTATAGTAGACTTTGTCACGAGGGTGGAAAGGGGTTTTTGCGCATGTGTGTACGATGCAGAGCTGGGTATATCATCCATGCATTCATCATATATACGTACAGATACACTACATCGCCCCCTCATCCCAACCCCGTCTCCAGTCCCATGTCCACCACCACCACCACCACCACCACATTATATCCATAATCTATAATTCACCTCTCGCCACTCCACTACAACCCCCTACGCCAGCTCATAAGCCTGGCCCCTCCCATGCCCATGCCCATGTTCAAACCCCGGACTCGGCAGCTCCTGCACCCCAGCCCCGGAATTACTGCTATCAAGCTCGCCCACGGCGGGCGCCATCTCGCCGACCTTACGATCCTGCATCGCCCACGACCCAGGCTGCTGTGCCTCGTATGGCGGCGCCGTCGGGCCATCGACGTCGATGAGCGCGGGCGAAGGCTCCGACGTCGGCACCGCGGTATGGCGGCGCTGCTGCTTCTTGCGGCGCAGGAAGAACAGTGCAAGCAGCAGCAGCAGGATCGCGGCGCCCAGGCCGACACCGATGCCGATGCCAATCTTCGCGCCGGTCGAGAGGCCCGAGTCGCTCGCCGAATCCTTGTCCCCGCCGCCCGCGCTGTCCGTGCCGCTCGCGTCGCCGGCTAGCGGCTTCAGCACGCTGCTCCACGTTGCGTTCCAGACGGGGCTGATCGCGGCCGTCAGGCTCGTGCTGTCTGCGTCGATGACGTGCACGTCCGTCGAGTCGATTGCGCCGGGGCCCGGCGCCTGCGCCAGCCAGAGATACTTGGAGTCGAAGTTCTGGGCGAGGAAGGCGCCCTGGAGGAAGGCGCGGCCGAGGATCGTGCTCGGCGCGCTGTCGCTCTGCGAGGGGTCGTAGGGCCGGCAGGGGAAGTAGGGCGTCGGCGACGGGGTCAGCGGCGCCGAGAGCGTCAGGTTCAGCAGCGCAAAGGGGATGTCGATGTTTTGCGTCGTGCCGGACTTGCCGGCCGTGTGGAAGCTGAAGGACAGGTAGTGCGGCGAGTTGATAATCTTGGTGTAGGCCGCGTCCGTCGTGTCCCACAGGTAGAGGTCGAAGTCGGCGTCGTACTGCACGGGCAGGTAGGCGGCGATGGCGTCGCACGTCGCGCCGGGGAGGTACATGTACGGGACGCCGGGGTCGGGGCGGGTGGACAGGGGCAGGCTGGCGGCATTGGTGCCGTTGGTCTTGAGCAGACCGGTGGTGCGCTTGGCCGACGTGTTGATGAAGGCGGAACCGCCCTCGGCGACGCCCAGCTCCACGTCGGCGAGGTACAGGTACGAGTTGTCGTCGGTGGCGATGGGCGTGCCGATGCAGCGCGTGCGGTCGTAGCCCCCGAGGTAGAGGCTGCCCGAGATGTTCTGGGACACGGAGCCCACGTGCAGACTGTAGCTGGTGGAGGCGACGGCGTCTTGTAGCACTGCATCGGCAAGCGTCGTATTCATCTCCAATTGGCTGCCGTTGGCAGACTTGTATCCGAACGTGTCTTGCATGCCGTTGAGCGACCACTATAGCACTGGTGGTCAGCAAGAGAAGCCGCATGCGAATGGGCACCTCCCAAACTCACATAGCCGACGTCGAGCGTGTACGACGTGCCGCCCGGGTACTTGACGGTGAGATTGTCGGACACGGCACTGACGTGGTTGTCCAAGAACTTGTAGCGGCGGCCCTCGTTGGCCTGCAGTACGAAGCGCTCGGCGATGTAGCGCATGTTGCCCTCCAAGCCCATGACGTCGGTCATGTACTTGCCGGCCTCGTCGGTCAGGGCCGTAGGCTCAAAGGACGCGCTGTTCTTCCAGGCAGAGAGGCTCTGGGCGCCCGAGCCCTCCCACATGCCCGGCGTGGGCAGCGGGCAGCTGGCGCTCGAGGCCTGGCATGCCGATGCGTTGATGATGAGGGATGTCTCGAGGAGTGACGGATGGAATGTCACGTGCTGAGAGGTTGTGAGTCGTTATTCGGGTGGAGAGAGATAGTGATCAAGCTACCTGGTCGGGAAAGTCGATGCTAAAGTCTGGGGAAGAAGGAGGGTCAGCGTGGGGTAACAGCGGCGCCTGGGGCGGAGAATTTGGAACTTACGGATGGCATTCCACGGACCGTCAGGGCCGACTGGGCGGGGCGTGTCAGTCAACGGTCAAACGGTAGAGAGATGTAACCCGTACCTGTCTCGTTGTACCAGAGCGGCCAGGGCTCGGGAGTGGCGGCGCGAGCCGCGGGAAGCAGAGCCGAAGCGATGATGAGAGCGCTACCGAGTGAGTCGCGCATTTTGGCAGCGGATGCGGAGCATTACGAGCGGAAAAGAAGGAGGGCGGGAAGGGAAAAGGATATATACTGAGCATTTGTCAGGCGGCAGCTAGAGTAGGCTGAGGGCTGAGGCGCAAGCGGAGGGATGGGCTAGAGACAAGGGGCAATCAAAACAGCCAGTCAAACGGCAAAAGCAACGCCAAACTAACGACGCCATCTCGGCCCCCACCGCCCTGCATCTCATCTCCACGACGCGACCAAAGGGAACGGCACGCCCAAAATAGCCACCACTCGACTCGCACCCCTGCGCCACCCAAACCTTAACCGCTGGCCGGCCTGACGGTTGACGTCTTGTTTCGCACCTGTCGCCTTCACCGCTCACGCTGCGCCTCGCCTCGCGCGAAGGAGGAAAAAACTCTGGAATGATCCTTCGGCCAGCGCGCCGGGATGAAGATCAGGCACCACCGCTCCGTCGGATCAAGTTTCCATTGCCACGGCGTCACAACGACCGGGGAGTGGTCGAGACTTTTTTTTTTTTGCTCTTTGGTGACGTGGTGGGGCCGGTGGACGGACGATGCCGACGGGAATGCGCGAGACGGAAAACGGGGCGAGAGCGAGAGCGAGATGCGAGATGCGAGATCCGGGATGCTGGTGTGGGGTTGGAGGATGGAGGATTGCCTCTCCGGGTGGCTGCGGCGCGGCGTGGGGCATCGTGAGCTTGATTTCTCTCGCTCTTTATCCTCACCTTTAAGCCAGCCCATCCACCATGTCATCCACCGCTCACACCCACACCCTCACCACCTTCCGCTACGATCCCGCCACCCAAACCTACCCCACGCGCTCCGCCGACCGCGCACTCGGCCACAATGAAGTCCTGATCAAGACGACGCACGCCGGCATCTGCTACACCGACGTGCACGCCAAGCCCAAGGGCTGCGGCCTGGGGCACGAGGGCGTCGGGCGCGTCGTGCGCGTCGGCGCGGGTGTCAGGGAGATCGGGATTGGAGATCGCGTCGGCTGGGGGTCTGTCTCGCTCGCGTGTCCTACTTGTCAGCGAACCGTTCGCTAACCATGGTCCTGCAGATGGTTACACCATGTCCGTCAACCTCACCCCAACTCCTCACCACCCTCTCGCTAACACACACCTTCAGTCCTGCGGCCACTGCGTCGTCTGCCTCGATGGATACCGTCAATACTGCGCCGACGCGCGCGGATTCGCCTTTGGTGAGCTGGACCAGGGCGCCTTTGGCGACTACGCCATCTGGGACGAGACGTTTGTGTACCCGATCCCGGATGAGATATCATCTGCGGCCGCTGCACCGCTCATGTGCGCCGGCGCGTCCACGTACGAGGCCCTCATGGCAGCCGACACCAAGCCGAGCGACCGCGTCGGCGTCGTCGGTCTCGGCGGGCTCGGTCACATGGCCGTCTTGTTCGCGCGCGCCATGGGGTGCGATGTGACGGTGTTTTCGCGCAGTGGGGAAAAGAGACAAGACGCCCTGGCTCTTGGCGCCGACGAGTTTGTTGCCCCGCAGAAAGCTTCGTCGGGCCCCGTGGAGCGCGCCAATGTCAACGTGCTCCTCCTCTGCGCAAACGCCGTCCCCGACCTCGAGGGTTACCTTCCCCGCCTCGCACGCATGGCGCGCATCGTGGTCATGACGATCCAGGCCGAACCACTCAGCGTGCCATACATGCCGTTTGTGCTGCCGGGGCACCGTCTCATCGCCTCGACCGAGGCATCGCGCCGCAACCATATCGACATGCTGCGCTTCGTGGCGCGCCACAACATCCAGCCATGGGTGCAGACGTTTCCGCTGACGGAGCAGGGCGTTGCGGACGCGTTTGCGACGCTGGAGAGGGGGGAGATGAGGTTCCGGGGCGTGCTTGCGGCGGAGGGCGCTGAGGAAGAAGAGAGAGAGAGAAAGCGAGAGCAGCGAGATTGAGAGGGCAGGTGACGGTGACGGCGGCGCGACCGTCACGGCGTGAGCAGCAACCAACTGCGCCGCATGCCCGTGACTCAGGGGCGCAGAGCCGAGCAGATCCATGCCAGCAAATCCCTACCGCGCAGACGACGTGCGATCGTCTCGACAGTGGAGAAGACGCAAAATAACCTACCGGACGCGGGGTCTCGCCTGCGGCCTCCTGCTCAATTACGTAGACAATCCGACCTCCCCAGGGTCCGTCCGACACCGCAGCGCACATACACAAACACACACCACCCAGTGCACACATACAGCCCCCCTGCTGTTGTTGTAGCTAGTCGAGACACTCGGACCGCTGGGCCGCGACGGCCGCTGCAGCATTGCCCATGCACCACCATGACACCCGCGACTGCAGTCATTTCCGCGCCGCGCCGATCCGGCTGGCGGCGGGCTGCCTGCCTGTCTCGTTCGCCGAGGTGCATCGAGATCGAGAGACGACACCGCTTGTTGGTCTGGTCGGCGAGGCGGACGGTCTGGGTAGGTGAACCGTGGCCGGGACATGCAGGTGCTGTGTCAAGATGGTCTGGAGATGGGGAGACAGACGGGCAGGCAGACAGTTGTGGACAGTACGTAAATGTCGAGGGGGTATCAAACGCGTTCGTCGTGCATTACTATAGGTATGTAGGGGATATCTGGACGCCGCAATCGCCTTCGCCGTCGCTGTCGCCATTGCCATTGCCATGGCCGCTGCCGCCGTCCGCAGACTGGTTTTTGAAAGAAGAACAAAAGAAACCAAAAGCCGCAGCGCAGCCATCCATCGCATCCATGAGTAGTCCATCCATCGTCGTGTCCATAAAAAAAAAAGAGGGAAAAGAGAGCGCCGCGCCAAGAGCAGGAACCAAACCAACGCAGCAAGCAGACAAGCAAGCAAGCAAGCATACTCACATGCCACCACCACCACCACTGCTCCCAGTGCTAGCGCTCCCATTCCTTGTCGACTGCACCAGCTCCGTCTTCGAGTCCGAATCCATCATGCTCTCCACCGTCACGCTCCACTCCTTGCGACAGCTGATCTCAATGCCACCCGCATCAGCACCAGCAGCACCAGCAGCAGGCTTGCCGCCCTCCCCCCTCACAACCGCCAGCTCCTCGCCCTCCTCATCGCTATCAGCCGTGCACGTGGCGCCGCCCTTCAGAGCCCCCGTATAGCAGCCCCCAGCGGGCGCAATGCCAACCGCGCTCTCCTCGTCATCAAGCCTGCGCTTCATCTCCTTGACGCCGCCACTGGTAATGCCAAAAAAGCGGCTCGCGCGGCTCTGGCGCTTGGTGCGCGAGGCGGAGATGCCGCCGCCGATGGTCGTCGTGCCGATGGTGTTGCTCCCACTGCGCGCGCCCGACGTCATGTCCTTGACGAAGGGCGCGATCAGGGGTTTTAGGCTGGGGAGACAGGCGCAGATGAGGGCCACGTTGACTTCGATGCTCGACCAGGCGGCGGCGCCGGAGTTGTCGAAGGTGGGGTCTGTGGAGTTCGAGATTATGATCAGGAAGTGCAGGCGGATTATGCTGGCTATGCAGGCGCTGTGGTGGTGTCAGTTTGTGTGTTTGCTTGGTTCGAAATGGGGGAAGGGGAGTTGGGGTTTTGGGGAGAGCTTACAAGAACCCCGTCCCAAACACGACAATCAGCAGACGTTTCTTATTCGGCGCCAACTGCAACCCCGCCACGCGCTTAATCGGCAGCAAAAAAATCGCCATATCCGTCAAGATATTAAACGCGGCATTGGTCAACCACAGCGCCTCCTCGTTAACACAGTACCCGGCCACGCTATCATCCCAGAATTTCTTAACAGGCATGCAGATCAGGATGTCCGCCAGCACGGTGTAGATGCCTATCGAGACGACCAGCCCCATCAGGATCCAGCTCGCGAGCCGCATCCCGAAGTCTGCGGAAGTGAAGATCCGGAAACATTGCAGGAGGAGGGACAGTTTCGTGAATGTTAGCGAAAGGTAGTATGCCGGGAGGCTGGCGTAGAAGTATTGCATGGTGCCGGTGAGGTAGGCGCGCGAGAGCTCGGACGTGTGGTGACCCATGCCGTAGTGGACTTCTGTGTGGGGGGTTAGTCTTTTGCCTCGGTTTGCTTTTTGGGGTTTTGGTGCGGTTGGGGAGGGGGGGAGTGGTGTTGGTGGTGGTATATGGGCTGGGGGGGGTGGTATTTGGGAAGACGTACGCCCGCAAATAGTCACGGTCAAGGCGACATTGCACAGGTGCGCGACGACGACGAGCCAGTCGTCGGGCCCCGCGTTGCGCAGGATGCGGTAGCGCGTGAAGAGGCGCATGGCCACGACGAGCGAGGACAGGATGATGAAGCAGAGGGTGAGGCCGAGGGCGGCCTGGCCTTTGGGCGTCATTGTCGCTTGGGTGTGTGTTTGTTTGTGGTGGGTTGTTGTTGTTGTTGTTGTTGTTGTTGTTGGTTTTGTAATTGTTTTGGTTGTAGTTGTGGTTGTTTGTGGTTGTGGTGGCCCCGGGGGTCGATGCTTAGGAGGGCATCAATGTGGTGGGCGGAGGGCGAACGAGTGTCTTAAGAAAAATGATGGACTTTTTAAGATCTTTTTTCTTTTTCCTCTTCCTCTTTTGGGAGAGAAGGGCTGGTCCAGTAACGAGAGTGGAGACACAGTGAGTGAGGAGAAAGAGAGAGAGAGTGAGTGAGAGTGAGAGACAGAGGAGAAGAGGAGAAGAGAAGAAGAAGAAAGAAGAGACAGAGAGAGAGCAAAAAAGAAAGCGGCAGCCCGGGGGGGTATAGTACTTCTTCTTCTTGCTTGCGCAGATTCTCCAGTTCTTTCTCCAATCGAATTGAATCGACCTCACAGAAAAACGAGCATCACCTCCGACTCCGAGCAGCGCACCCCCGCTCATATACGCCCGCGCAATCCACCAACCAACCAACTAACCCAACCAGTTAGCGGCGGCGGAGACGCACCCATAACGGCGGCCCAAGAGCAAAAAACAGCGGGTTCGCCCAAGCGCACCATTCATTATTCACCCCCGCAGCAGCAGCTAGCTAGGCTAACCAGCGCCGCGGCGCCCTAGCCTCGCCCTCTCCTCTGTCCCCCAGCAGCGCATGCCCGAATCGGGCTAGCCCCATGGAAGCCCTGGCCACGGTGGTGACTGAGGACGGCCTCGCTCCGGCCCCGCTGCGCGCCCGGTTGCGCCTGAGACTCAGATGATGAGCAACACCCCTACCGCTAACGAATGAGTAGGTAGGCCGCCGTGTCAGATGGCGGAATGCAGCAGGTGAGCTGCGCCGGCCTGCGACGAGGGTGCGGGGCAGGCGTGCTGTCGATCTGGCGAGGGCGGGTCTGCGGTCGTGGTGCTGCTCGTCGTTCATCATACATATCCATCAATGATTCGGCAGGCTGGGTAACGAGATCCCCCTCCTTGCGCTGCAGTGCAGTGCTTTGCTCACAGTCCAGTCCAGTCCGCAGCAGCGCGCACAGGCTCCTCTTCGCGCTCACCTCATCTCATCTCATCTCACGTAGCAGACGCAGCTCGCGGCATCGGTGCCCTCAATCACTCATCATCAACGCGCTCGGCTCAGCCAGCCAGCCAGCTCCAGACTAACCAGCTACATCTGAGCCCGGGGCGTTTAGCGCGCCGCGCGACGTGCAAGACCTGCCTTTTTGGCAGCAGCACAAGCGAGATGAATGAAGTCGCGGCGCCGATCCGAATGTGCGATGACGGCGGTGATCGGCATGCGCAGTGGGAAGTTGACGCTTGACACTGACAGCGGCGTAACGGGCGACGGCGTGGGTAGGAAGGAAGGAAGGATGGGACCTTAGTTGGGGAGGATGGCGAGGATTGTGATCTAGAGAGAGCTATAGCGGCGGTGCAGGTATAGGCTGATGGTGGTCACACACTTTCGTCTCTGTCTGTCTTTATCTCGATCAGCGATTTCTTTTTTCTTTTTTTTTTTTTTTTTCGTTTCTTGTGCCAAACAGCCAGACAGCCAGACATCAGATCACACCCGCCAACGACCCCTCGATTCCACAATCTACCTCATCAGGCGCCCCCATCGTCATCCCCAAGCCTCACCCTCTCCCCCCTTCCTCCTCTCCTCGTGCTGCGCTGCGCTGCACCCCTAGGCCACCCGCCCACGCACCCGCCCACGTTCCCGCCGCCCGGGTCGCCGGGTCGCCGGAACCCTGGCGCCAGAAGCGCCTCCACTCCACGTGGCTGCTAGGCTGCTAGGCCCCCTCTTCAAGCCATGACACCAATGGAAGCACGTTCGCGCATTCAATTCAATTCAATTCTTTCGTTCGTTCATTCATTCGCAATTCCTTTTTCTTGGTTGATTACTCAGGCTGTGCTTCCTTGTCTTTAGATGGGGAAACCCCGCCGTATGCTTGAGTTTGCTGTTGCTTGTCTTGTCTCTGATCTGATCTGTGGATTATTCGTTGACTGTGCCGCGGCGTGCATAAAGGAGATGCGGACAAACTCCCTTGCACCTATCCATGAAGGCGAGGTGACGTGGCCGGGATGCGGTGCGGCCTCCCGCGCTTCCGCGCCCGAGATGGGTAGGTAGACACGCAATCCCGTTTCCTTCCATTCCATCAACATCAACGTACATAGAAGCATCGCCGTCCACCATCGTTGCTTTTGCTTCTGTGCAGGTAGACCGTCCCGCGTCTAACGGTGTGAATGATGGGCGGATGCATGTGCCGCCATGCCGTGCCGTGCCGTGGTGTTTCAGCAGCCTGTCTCCCTGCCCGCCTGCCCGCCAGCACGTACAAATACATAGCCATGTCCGTCCGCCCTTCCATCTGTTTGTTTGCTTTTGCCTCGCAACGCCGCAACGACGCGCCGGGCAGCGGGCAGCGGGTATTTCGGCGCGCTTGCGCCTGTGCCCAAGCCCATGCCACCAAACAGACAAACAAACCCACTTCGCACTATCCGGCAGTGGAGTCTATGCCACGAGGCGACGCAACAGGCAGTAGACACAGAGCCGGGGCCCTCTCTTCACCCCATTGACTGACTGCATCTACCGCAACTAACCCCATCTGCATCTCACTCTCAATCTCAATCTCAACGCACACACACGCGCGCACTCAGAGCCACGTGCAAAGCCAGCCCATGCGGTCATACGTGGGGCCGCGCAGACCGTCCCTACTCCCTAGAGGCGCACCAATGCCCTCGCATCGTATCGCGCACCCACGATGAGAATGAGAAGGACGATTACTACACGTGCGTTAGGCCGCCAGCCGCAGCGCAGGGCGTGAGCGTCATCAGACATCAGACAAACGCCTCGGAGTCGCTCGGCGCGGTGAGGCAAGACGATGCACGACAGGGAGGTTCCTTGTCCGGCGCGCTGGTCGCGGCGGGCGTTCCCCATGGGGATGGAGAAGGAAGAGGGACTGAGGGTGGAAAAGGGGCGTGGTTGTGCGTTGTGCTGATGTTGGTGAGGATAGGTAGGTGAGGTAGGTGTCTGTCTGCAAGCAGACTCGGCCTTGGGTCGGGCCCGAGGCGGAAGAGGCGGGCACTGCGGATGGACAGATGGATGGATGGATGGATTTCTTCTAGACGTCTATCTGCACCACGCGACTTCGGATCCTTCGCAGCCTAAGCCACTCACTCTCACTCGCTCGCTCGCACGTTGTAGTATGTACACAAGCTCACCCGCCAAGCACCACCGCCTCATCGTCCCCCTTCACTCAAGCCTCGCCCACCGGCCCTCGCGGCGCCTCACTAGCCGCCAAATTGCACTGCCTGAACAGCCTAACCTCATGGTCCGCAAACGCGCCCACAACCGAATGCAGCACGCCATGATTATTAAAGAGCACGAGATCGCCCTCCTGCCAGTCATGGGGATAGACGAACCGCGGCGCAATCGCCGGGCGCTGCAGGCGCTGCACCAGCGCGCGCGCCTCGCCCAGCTCGTCCACGACCGTGCCATCCTGGCGGTGGATCGCGCGCACCGCGGCCGGGTGGATCTGCAGCGCCAGGCGCCCGGTAACGGGGTTGCGCCAGCACATGGGCAGGCGCATGATCTTGGAGGGGTCGACGGGCGGGAGCTCGCTGGCGGGCAGCTCGCGGCCTTCGGTTTCCAGGCCTAGGCCGGTCGACTTTGCTCGCGCGCCGCTCATCCAGATGTACGGGTGCGCCGCGTACTCGACGGTCGAGGTCCGCGCGAGCGCTTTGTCGGCGTCCGACAGCAGCTCGTACATCCGGTAGCCGGACACGAACGCCGTCGTCCCCAGCGGCACGTCGAGCTCCTCGCCGCTGCCGTCGTCATACCGACATGTCTGGCGGCGGCCCTTGGGCACGCGCACCGCGAGCAGCGACGTCACGCGCGGGGGGTGCAGCTCATACAGCGCCGCATCAATATGCCAGCGATAGAAGCGGGTAGCTTCCAAGTCCTCCTCGTCGGGAATGCGCGTCTTGTGGAAAGTGCGGTGGTGGGGGTGGCGCAGGCGCACGTTCTCTAGCCCTTCGTACGCGTCGACGAACCCGTTCCCAATCACCTGCACCTGCGGCTGGTGCGGCACCGTCTTCAGGTCCGGGTGCAGGATGCTGCGCTTTGCGTCCAGCGTGGTGCCGTGTCCGTAGCTGCCCGCCGTCGGGTCGAAGCGCCGCGTCAGCTCGTACTGGGCTTTGGGGGAGAGGTCGGCGCGGCTCTTGATCACGACGACGCTGTGGCGGTAGAGGGCGTCGCGCACGAGGTCGAAGTCGGCGTCTGGAGCGACGGAGCGTCAGCGCCTTCTGTGGACTACTGCTGTCCTTTGTACCTTGTTGCTTACCAAAAGGAGGTTACCGATCCCCGGAGTGCTCCCGATTGATTGATTGATTTCGTCTTCTTTCCTTGCGTACTCACCAGTCATGTTCTCGACATCGAGCCCCGTAACCACGGCGCCGAAATCAATGTCCGAGCCCGCGGGCTTCTCCAGCGGCAGGACAGACGGGCCAGGCATGCTTCCTTCTGACACTTGCGGGCGTGGATCGGTAGGTATGTAGGTAGGGTGGGAGCAGAGAAGCGATGGCGCAAGGTGCAGTTCGTATGTACGAAGGAGAGAAAAAGTGTTCACAACAGAAGCGCAGCAGCCGCCCTTTTAACTCCTGCCGTCGTCATCGGATCCTCCCTATCAGTGGCCGCTGCGGCCCGCCAGGCCGTCGCCCGTTGCGTTGGCCAGGCGGTGGCGGATAAGCTTTAGTAGGCAGTTAGCGGGCGCGCCCGGCGGCGGCGGCGGAGGGCGGTGGGAGGCGGTAAACTTCTACATATCTACACCGCAACGATGATGAAGGCAGTTGGAGAAAGCGTTTGGATATGTACCGCATGTATCGTATGTATGTAATACATGCAATGCAATGCACGCCACGGGCTTCTGCGCGCGTGATTGGCGCCGCCGAGGAAACAAACACCCTGTCCAGGGACCTCGGCCCAGCCAGCGCCCTGGATTTTTCGCGCGCCAACCCCACACCCCATCCTCCTCAGCCTCATCAACACCACCACCACAGCCCAGCCCAAGACCCCATACCCACCTAGTTGAGCTATAGGGCAAGCAAGGTCGCGCACGCACGCACGCACGCACGCACTCCTCCGACCTCGGCTCCCCACCACAAACAACCAAAAACCAAAAACACAATCTCCGGCCGCCGGCGCCGCCTCGCCCGACGCCCGTGGATGGGTGGGCCCGCCCATCTGTCTTCTGTGCCTGCCTGTGCCTGCTGCCTGACGGCGGTGCTGCTCACCGGTCGCGGCGCGCGCCGTGTCATGTCTGTGTGCGTGACCAGTGCCTGCGGATCATTGGCTCCGCTCATATAGCTGCACGGGCTGTTTCGCTGCGGACTATTGATTTGGTTGCTTTGGTATGGGTGGGTGGTCGAGCCGGTGCGCTGCCGTGCGTGGTGCATGCTGTGCGTGTGTCGTCATTCGACATTTTTGGGTTTTGCGCGGGCTTGGGTAGTGCTGTGGGTGAAATTGGCGATGGGCGATTCGCGAGTCGCGATTGGGGATGTGAAGGAGGGGGTGTGGTGGGCGGTGTTTTGTTTAGTGAGCGGCCGAGGCTCAGGCGCGAGTGTTGTGTACATACTATTGCACATACGTAGATGGATGTAGGCGCGTTTGAAGTGCTGTGAGGTTGGCGATGTTTGTGTGTGTGCGTGCGCACGCTTGGATGGATGCTCGTGTGTGCTGTTAATAGGGGCAGATGTGCTAGGTATGTGATGCGGAGGTGCGGTGGTGGTGTTGAGCGCTGGAACGAGTGCATGCGGATGCGTGATGGGGAGTTGGGGGTAAAGAGGTGTTTGTGGAGTAGAACCTGTCGTTGCTGTAAAAGGACAGGTTTCTGTACTGTTTTTGTCCTTGTGTAGGCAATGAGTTTCGACTCAGACGCTTAATACTGATTCTGGATGCTGATTTTGCTCTGGTGCGCCTACACTTTGTTTGTGATGAGGGTGTGCTCTCCTTCCTGTGTTGCTCTCTGGTCGTTAGGCGGAGAACGAATCTGGTCTGGTGCGAAGGGGAAGGGGAAAAGGGGGGTGGAATTGTGAAGATGCCGATATGGATAATTGATGAATTAGGGGGAAGGTGGTCGTAATATTGTTAAGGTTGCGCGCTGAACGGAGTTTACTAAATACGATGTCTATGTGCGGTTTCTGTTTCGTTGCTCTGAGCTTCGGACGTGAAACCGGGTATAGCTTAGAGTGGAAGGGAAGTGAAAAAAGGGAGGGGTACGGTAAATGTGGATGTGAATGTGGATGCGGAGCATGATGAGAGTCAGGGGTATGGAGGTAGGGATGTTGTGGAGGGTTTCGGGGGTGATGTCTGGTTGGTAATGGGCTTATGAGTTTAATTTTGTGAAATTAGGAGGATGAAAGAATATATTCGGCTTGAGCAAGCTACAGAAGCTACATACAAGAGAGTGAAATGCAAGAAAAGGAGGACTGGAACTGAAAAGACGCGATTCTCCCCGTAGTTTCGCACAAAAAGCGGAGAGTGGAGAAAAACCAAAAGTTAAAAGACACACGCCGGGAGAGTGCAAGGAAATACTGATAAGACAGGGAAACAAAACTTGGAGCTGTGATCAAAGAAAACACCGTAAACACCAATCGGAGCTCCAGTCGATTTTGCAGGAAGTTGCGGAAGAACTTCTTGCCTCATCCATCGGGACTTGACAAATGAAAATGAGTAGACAAAACGCAAATACGCAGCAGGAAGTGAAATCGCAATGACCCGTATCAATACCGAACGACAGTGATGCAGTGCCTGGCAGTATCATGCGATGCCGCACCAAGACCCGGGCAGATAATGAAGGAGCTGGTCAACATCTTTTCAAGCAAGATGAAAGACCTGGTCTCGATAGACGCCTTTGCGAAATCCTCCGCGCCCAGTCTCATCCCTGAGCAGGTCAGGATCCAGTGGATCTGCGTGGAGAGGGTCGTTGTAGTGCAGGTTGCGGAAGACCTCACCCTTCATGGCGCCTTCGAGATAACATTCGCCGATGAATGTGTATCTTGGATATGTTTTCATCTGTTCTGACCGAGAGAGTCCTTCCGGTGGCAGTACCGGGCGAAGAATAAACAGAACCTGGCTTCCATGGGGTATGATGATGTGGTCTCTCGGCTGGACACCCGTGCCGCATGCACCAGGTCTGCCATCATGTGAAAAGAAGAAAATGACATATTTCCTGAGGAGTTGTGAAATTGATTTTTTTACAGTGACATATTCTTTTTCCGTGACATTGTTTTCTTCACTGATCTTCAGGGTTGATTCTGCAGCCTTCTTTGCTCTGGCCAAGTCCATCCAGCACGGAGAATGTATGCTTATATCCGGAAAGTGAGCGTTTAAGATCCTTCCAATGGCTTTAAGCTCAATTCTCCGATTTGCATCTCCCCAGGTAAACGCTCCCAGGGTATCGCAAAAGGTATTTGTCAGCCAGGATCACTCCGATAACTCTCGTTTTTTCAGCCTTATTACAGTCAGTTGTTACACTACAGCCTTACCCCTTACACCACACGTTTATCCACTGCAAGGGAATAAGGATCTTAAAGAGAAAACGTGTTCTTTTAGATAGCAGCATATATACCTCCATAAGTAGTAGTAATTTAGAAGGACAAGCGGCGTCTAATTCCTCGCGCCCAGCTTCACAGAAGTTTATTTCTCAACCTATAAATCCGTAATATTTAATACTCAACCAATCCGCACAATAAACGCATAAGTTAGGGTTACCGGATAGAAAGGAAAGCGGATTATTATAAATAGATAGTAAAATATATTTATTGCTAGAAATTATACTAATATAAAGGGATTTTATACTACCTAGGCCCTTCTCTCTATTTATAGAGTTCGGAGTATAGAGTTTATCCATAACTCTTTACCATATAATGAACCAAAATAATTCTCATATTCAAGGGCTTTTAAAACTTGGCCGCGGCTACTCCTAAGTCTTTTACCTAACCTTTTTAATTATCTACCTATAAAGTATATAGCTTCTTATACTTAAATTATTTTATATCTTTACAGCTTTAGAAGTGCTCTCGCAGCCTTATATATTCAATACTTTCGTATCTTTATAGGATGTTACTATACCCTTATATATTATAACTCTATACTTATAGTAATACTCCTATACCCTACACCTTTCTACTATTATTATTACCGCTTATTAACCGACCGTAGCATTATATCCTATTATAGCTACCTAAGAAGCATTCGATGGGTACAGATGTCTTTACGCAACATATAGTTAAGAAGTAGGCAAATTATCCGGATCATAACTAGACCAGCCTGTATACGGCATGTTTCGGGATCTCGGCATCTTCTAATTTCTACGGGTATTTAGCGACTATCGACTATAGCGGTGGAACCAACTGCAGCTACTTAAGGAGTACTCGATGGGTACAGCATATATACTTAATACATCGTTAAAGAATAGGCAAGTTATTCCCAACCTAACTAGACATGTCTATATGCAGCGTGTTCTAGAGCCACGGTATCTCTTCAGCTCCATAGATAGTTGGCGACTGGCAGCCATAGTGGCAGAACTTGTTATAGCTACCTAAGGACCGTTCCGTGGGTAAAGGAATAAATTGTATGATCTGGAGCTGGAAGCAAACTGCACGCCACAACAGCTCACTTCAAACCCCCCAAAGGCACTCCAACACCCCTTCCCGCCTCACCCCTTCAGCAACACCGCACAAACTTCAGCCCGCCACTCTCATCTCCAACCTGCGCCCGTATATCGGCAACCGCGTGTTGCAAGTCTTCCATGTCTTTAACCGCCAACTCATTCTTCTGCCACCCTTCCAACTCATGGAACAACAGCGCCAAACTCGACGACTTCCACAGCGCCGTCCCGCGTTTCGCATTCTGTAGCACGGCGCACGCAAGGTAGAACGCCGTAAGAAGCAGCAGAGCCGGCGGCAGGGCAGCCCACTTCCAACGCACAGAGATATATGTCTCGTCTCGGAACGCGGTACCATGGACGCGGTAGGAAGAGTCGGCATAGCGAATGCGGTTGCTCAGACTTTCTGCAATCTCTTCGATGAAACGCGTAATATTGTCATTTACAATCATAATACCGAAGTAGTCTGACTGTTCAACGCCCGACGACGAGTAGTTAGCGGTCTGGTTGACGCGCATAATAGAACTGAGGAGTTGCGCTAGCGCATTGTGTTGCCGGATGTCAATGACGAAAGTTTCGTTCCTTTTAAGGTCCTCTGGAAGACGTAGATACATGATCTCGTCCAGGTACAAAGCATCATGTGAATCAAATGATTCCCACTCTTTGGTGCTGTTGAGATTGGTGATTTCTTCGAGAGTATGAGACGTGTTTAGTACTGCGGAGAAAGACCCATTTGAGACGCGCGCATCCTCGTACTCGCGCGCGCACCAATATATGTCACATTCTTTGATATTGTAATTTGCTAAAGGGGAATAGGTATAGTCTTGTCGACGCAGCACGACTTCGTCAAAATTTCCAAATTCTGAGTAATAGTGAATAAAACTGGTTAAGCATCGGGAGTCTTTTTCGGGAAGCGTAAGGCATCTTTTCGGTCTTATGATAGACTTGTTGCCTCGGAGAATTTCGTCGCTCTCGACAGCCGTAAGCATTTTTGTCCACGCGTAGCGCTCAGTTCCATTGTCGATGGTAAACACAGGGAGTGAAAGTTCGGAAATCGTATAATTGCAAGCATACTTCGTTAAGTCGTATGAGTCGGATACAGTACTGCAATATGCTTGTTTCTCGGATAAAACGTCGCGGCATGTGCTGCAGATACCCAAAGTGGAAAATGGTTCAGCCCAATGACATTGTGAGGTTGTACAGCGGAACAGGTTGGAAGAGTTCAGGGCAGTCCTTTGGAATACAGCACCTTGGGTTTCAGTATCCAGTGAGTTTTGAATACCGGCAATTCCTTGAAAGTCGAGTTTCTGTGTGGCGTTCACATACGCGTCTCCATGGACGAGAGGGACCTGTCGCGAAGGATATGCGACTATCTGTTGAGCCAACGGATCCAATGTCATAGCTGCCAGAGTCATAAACGCCCCGCACGACGCAAACAAGTTGCGGGTCTTCATTCCTATCAAGAATTGCAACGATCCCCAAGGTCCTCGGCTAGCATCATCAAAGGATTGAAGATCTAGTATTCTTTGAGGTTTTCCATAGAAGTGGATCCATTTGATTTGACTGATAGATTGACTGATTGGAACTAACAGAGCTGCCTTGGTAATAGTCATGAATATAGAGACTAAGGTGTTTGGTTGTATCGAATAAGCCCAGTTGTTAAGAGCCATGCCGTTTGTCTGAATGAGGATGCCAATGACAGCGGCAATGCAACTCGAACCCATTATGATGCCGCTAAGTTCCCAAAACCACCAGTCGTTCAAAAACGAAAGGAAGCTGCGAAGCCGACTGGGACGGACTGTTGTGGTGGGAGAAGACAGTGATGTTCCGGTAACGGAAGGTTCATCTGTGGGACCATCAGAAGAACTCTGTTGGCCTTCCGGATTTATGTGGGAGTCTGGCAAGAGCGGTATTTGGGGGGATTGCCTCAGGTTATTGAGAAGTATTGAATTGCTGGTGGATGTGCTGCGGAAGGAAGTAACATCAATAGATTCTCTGAACGAGTTCTCGACTGCTTCTCTAGAGTTGCTAAACAAGAGATGTTCGTATTGGGAGGTTCCATGATCCATGACGAAGATTTGATGCTGAGGAGGATGAGGACGAGATGAAAGCTGTAGGAAATGTGTTGTTTTCAAAGTGGTTTTTCATAGCCTCGTGCGATATCTTAGGATATATTTAGGACGTGTTCACAAGGTCCTCAAAGTTACACAGCAGCTTTAGCTAGCGGCGAGAAGTGGCAGCTGATTCGTTGCGATTGAGACGACGATACATGCGTTTTTCAGCTCCAGAAAAAGGCATTATTCGGGTTACTATAGAGGGCTAGCTTCGGTAATACATGTGCCACTGAAGAGATGTTGTATAACCTGTCATCCGAGTGGCATGTAAATTCGATCTAGATGGCAAAGCGCAGCTCTGCCAGTGGCGTTGCGCCGTGCATACAGGTAAGCTCTTCGGATGATGGGAGAAACGCATAGATCTTCATGAATTGGACACTATCGCCAGCTGAGTGCTGTAGTACGGAAATCCGCCCTCTAAGATGTTCAAGCAAGATGTTGCCATCCCCGACGGTGGTCCCGGGAAAAGAGATACGAAGAATAGGTAGGTACAGACAAGACCGGCTGCAAAATCCAAGCTAATCAGCAACCTCCCACCCATAAGAAAATATCCATCAAGTTGTCCAACTTACATTCGCATAGCCCCTCAACACCCCGGCCGTTACAAAGAGCGAGACTCTATACCCAGCCAACACCAAAAGGAAACGGACTACCATGCCGCAGTCCGATCCCCCAAGGAAGCCATACGTACCGCCGCCATCGTTGACAAAACCTCAAGACGAAAGAAGCGAGAGGCGTACACGAGAGAGTAAGTACCGAGACCTAGTCAGATTAGCCATGACCTTCATTGTCGCGCAAGTGCGCAGTATTATGAGCCTACCCAACCATACCACAAAGCTCCATCATAGACCAGACAAAAACACCACCAAGCACCAAACCCCACACCCAAGGCGCACACAAAGCGCACCTCAACCCCACGACAAAGCACCTGCCCTAGGCACACTCAGAGCCACATATCGCAACCTCTCCAACCACGCGTCACAGGCACATGCACGCTCCCGCGTACGCGGGTCAGCGCAGCACAGCATACACAGCACAGCACAGCAGCACAGCAGCACAGCACAGAAACCGGACAAAGCGAGAAGAAAAGAGGGAAGAAGAAAGGAAGGTAGGAAGGAATAAAAAGCTTCAATAGCCCACGCACAAACCGCTATATAACCTAACTACGGCGCGGCCAAGCAAAGGGTATCCCATCCAAACGCCGACCACCGACTGTCGACCGCCGCACCTAGTCTGCTGCGTCGTGCCTCCTGCAAGAAAGAGAGAGAGGGAGAGGGAGGAAGAGAGGAAGAAAGCCGCCATAATCATCACCATACTCTCTCTTTCTCTTGTCCACTGTCTCGACACCGTCGTTGTTGTCTCGTCTCGTCGTGATCATCAGTCAAACCCGTCCACGCACACCCCACCCAACCACCAACCTCATCCAGCTGCCCCAACACCACCACCAAACCGACATGTTGAGCACCAGTCTCAGATATCATACTCCATCTCGTCTTCCTCCTCATCAATCTCCTCGCTCTGCTCGTCGCCCGACCCCTGGCTGCTCGACCCCTCCGCCCCATCCACGATGCGGCTTGCCCGCGCCCACTCATCACTCTCAGCGAGGGCCCTACTGCCCAAAAGACTGCGCTCAGCCAGCACATCCTCACTGAGCGTGCCCCCGACCTCAATCTCCTTCTCATCGAGGACAGGCGCGGGATCCACCTCCTTCAGATTCGACGTCGTCGTCGAGCGCGCGTCGTCCCCGCCATCCGCCCCAGCCGCGAACCCCACGCTCTTGCCCGCGCCGCCACCACCACCGGCGCCAGCACCACCACCCTCGAAGGACGAGCTCCCGCCCCGCCCCGAGGCCCGCGGCAGCACGTCCCCGTCCCACGGCTTGCACGCCGCCACCGTCTCCCCGCAGCGCAGGCACGTCCAGCCCTCGCCCTCCTCGGCCTCGAGCCGCTGCGCCAGACAAACGAAACAGTACACGCAGCCGCAGGGGATGGCCTGGTACGGGTTGGTGATGTCCGTGGCGGCGGAGCCGATGACGCCGCCCCCGCCCGCCGCCGACGACTGCATGACCTGCGCCTCGCTGGCGCCGCCCGCCGGGTTCTGGTCCGCGTAGCAGATGGCGCAGGTGCGCTCGGGGAGGAAGCCGAGCTCGCCGCCCTTACCGGCGTCGGTGTCGTCGTCGTCGGCGCCGCTGCTGCGGCGGCCGATTAGTTCGAGGAAGAAGAGGCGCAGTTTGCGCCAGCTGCGCGAGAGGATGCGCCGCCAGCGGCTGATGCCTACGAGGGGGAGGAGAAACAGCAGGAATTCTGTGAAGGCGTGCCAGACGAGCTGCCGGTTCAGGTACTCGAACGACACTTCGCGGGATATGGAACCCGAGGAGGGCGTCAAGCGCAGGCCCAGCACCCGGTCCAGCAGCGTGCGGTATTGGCCGTTTGTCAGGAAGACGAGGAAGGATGCGAAGGCGGCGACGCTGTGCGTGGTGCTCAGGGTGCCGGTGAGGCGCTCGGCGAGCTCAATATGCCGTGAGGGTAGCTCGTAGTCTGTGGTGCGGGAGATGAGCCAGTCCTCCCATTTGGTCCAGGCGTAGCGGCCGCCGACGGTGACGAGGCCGTAGATGGTCTTTTGCCAGGTGCGGGGCGGAAGTCGCGAGGCGTCGGAGCGGCGCGCATCGCTGTAGCGCAGGCCCTGCAGCGCAGCGCCGTATGAAGCGTTGTGATCCCAGATGGAGAGCTTGAAGAGGATGGCGCGGAGGACGAGCAGGATCTCGGGAGCGTAGTCTTGGGCGAGGTGCGACTGGACATGTCAGCTAGAACGAAGCAATTGAAGCGCCGTAACCCCACTCACACCGTAGTATTTCAAACCCTCGCCAACCTGGCCCTTCAATAGCTCCAACAGCTCCTCGTCCAGCAGCTCGGCATCCACCTGGCCGACGCGAAACGCCGGACGCGTACCTTCGCGTCCCTGGACCGCGTCCCACAGGGCGAGGCCGGCGCCCCCGAACCGGTTCAGCGGGTATGGCAGGCGCGAGATGCGCGCGACGTGGTGAGCATCGCGGTGGGCAGCGAGCTGGGCGCGGTACTGGGCCTCGCGGGCCTGGCGGCGGGCGGCGATGCGGGCCTGGGCGGCGGCGAAATCGGCGGAAGACATTGTCGGCGCGGTTATGGCGGACGATGGGTTCGTCTGCGCATTGGAGATCCGGGGAGAGAGGTGCGGGGACGGCGGGCGATGGGCGTAGTGTGAGATGGCTGTGGACCTGCGATGCCGAGCGCGAGTCGTGATGCCGAGGTTCAGGCTTCACATGGCCGCCGGGTCGCGTCACCGCTGCCTTTATCGGATAGACTGGAATTCCCTCCGCGTATCTACCAACGATCCATCAATTCTTTTCCTTACCAAGACATTTGCATCAATTGAATCATGCTGTGTACCTTCGATCAGCCTGAGCTCCGTACCTACGATATGACGCCCCTACCCTCAAGAGAGGAGATCCATCATCCGGCGGGTCAGAGCCTTCAACACCCCATCTTCAAAGGCGGTGCACATCATCGGCCATGCCTGATCGCCTTGACTGTGCAAACTCGAGAACACTGCCGCAGTGCCTTAATCTCACAAATGAGAAACGAGCAGTCCCCATGGAACACTCCCTGCCTAGCTACAAGCCTGAATCCTACATAAAAGTGAGACTATCTAAGAATGCACACAGTCTACAAATATCTTAACTAGATCTGACTTCTACTCGCTGCAAGCATCATTATCCCGTAGGGTGGTGAATCTCACTTGATGGTGACGAAACCTAACTACGCCCTCTCATCCCGCTTGTCTACGTACCCAGGCATTTGCATCAACCGAATCATGTTGAAGTGCGCCTCGGGTGCTTCATGCAGTCAGCAATATGCAAGCCAATTCCGTCAGGGCGCAGCTATCACGAGGTCATACATCAGCCTCGCCAGTACACATCTCGCAGAATGACAGCTTGACATGCACTCTCTACTCATTACTCAAGAGCCCAACTCTACAGGATATTCGACTTTAGGAAAGATTACATATAGTTGAAATGTCGTCGGTCCTTTTTTCTTCCAAATATAAATACTCTGACTTGAAGCACGCTCGCGAAATCAGAGTTGTTCACCTTTTACCAGAAAGGTCCTCGTGGGAACAACCCACAATTCAGATTCATACCATTCATCTAGACAACAAGCCCACGCCGCACTACGAAGCACTTTCATATGCTTGGGGCGGCTCAGAGACGCGCACTGGGATCAAAGTTGGTGAAAATGAGCAAATTTTTGTGACGCAGAACTGCTCTACTGCGCTCAACTGGCTTCGTTCCTCGACACCGCGAATATTGTGGATAGACGCTATATGCATCAATCAGGACAGCACCGCCGAGCGTAATCACCAAGTTAGTATGATGGCAGAAATCTACCGTTTGGCCGCTCAAGTTGTGGTCTTTCCAGGAGTGTGTGATGAACGCACTGCCTCCGTTATCGATCGGATTGATAATTTGGAGCATAAACGATACCATAACCTGTTGCAACAAGATCGGTACTCAAAGGCCGTCAACCGCTTGCTTAGGAAAGGATATGTCTGGTATGTCATGGATTCTTTATACCATCAACCGTGGTTTGGCCGAACTTGGACCCTACAGGAGGTTCTTTTATCTAGACAAGCAAAAGTCCTCTGTGGACTCTCAAAGGAACGATCCTGGGAATCCATTTGTAAGGCAGCAAAGTTGGTGAGGCAACTGCAAACCCAACACCAAGGCCTAATGTCAATTCCGTTCGCACCAGTGATAGCCCTTCAGGATGATTTGGATAGCCATGGCAGACTGGGATTATTCGAGCTGGTTATGAGGACGCGGAACCTACAAACAACTGAGCCAAGAGACAAAATATACGCCCTGTTCGGTATAGTCCATTCGACAACTGATAAAATGCCAGCCGTCGACTATTCCAAACCCGTTGCAGAGCTTTATACCGATCTTATCCGATTCTCCCTTGGGGAACTCAAGACTCTGGACTTCCTGTCTTATGCCATTGGCCTCAAGCCAACAGAGGTCGGCGACCTCCCCTCCTGGGCAATCGATTGGTCAAATGCACCAAGAGATGAAAACGTAATCGGTCATTGGAGAGATAGATGGTTCGATGCAGATGCGAAAATGTCTCCTTTGCCGCACAATCTTTCCTGCAGTGGGGGTATTCTCAAAGTCCAAATATGTCTGCTGGATCAAGTATCTTCTGTATCTTCTAATTGTGGCAATTTGTTCCAAACTTGGAATTGGAAAAGAATTTCTCCCGATCCACACTCACCATCTCGGACAGACCCGCAGCCAAGTCGACGTTTTTTCCATGGGTCCAACTCGATAAACGCCAACAGAGCCAACATTCAGACTCTAGCAGCCGCATCCAAAATCTGCGATTTCATCGATAACGAAAATTTTGAATCATCTATAAGAATGGCTCTCAATACCTATCCCCTTGTAGCCCGAGATCTATACATCTACCTCAACACGCTATGCTGCAGCCCTGCCAAGTCTGAAAGCAATATATCAAAACAAATGAAGCGCTTCATCCACAATCCGGACCTTTTGCGGCTGCTAGGACTTCTCAACCCGCACAATACTCACCGGAACAACAAAAGCTGGAGATGTCCTGAATTTAGCGAGCTCTGGACACTTCTGGAAATGTTGTTGATGGTTTCCCTGCCTAAACGCTTGGGTGGCACCAAGGGTACAGTGGATCGTACCTTCTTCACGATGAGCAACGGATCATTTGGACTAGGACCGAAAGAGGCAAGGGAGGGAGACTCAGTTTGTATCATACTTGGAGCACAAGTACCCTTCGTGCTGCGGAAGTCCGAGCAAGGCACCTATCGGATCGTGGGGGAGTGCTACGTGTACGGCATCATGGATGGTGAGGCGGTGCACGGCCTCGGCGAAGAGGAGTTCCTCACTGTCTCTCTCGAGTGAGCGCGCCAGGACTGTGCCGTCAGCATGCTAGCATCTTCCGTGATATCTGTGCACTGAGGAATAGGTATACCCTTGACATGTACCTTATCTTCATACACCTGGAAACAATCAAGCGTTGTTGAAATGAACAGACTGTAATAGTAAGCTTACAATAAATACTCACAAGAAGCGGTTTATGGCGAGCGTATATAGGAAAAATCAAGCACAAAAGAAGAAAAGAAAGCGTTACAACAAGCTTATAATACGTATCTATGAGAAACATCGTAAAACTATATGTATGCACAATACTCAAATGCCAAAGAAGCAAACAGACCTTGATAAGAAGTATTCCATTCGTACCCACACGGCATATCGCATCCTCTTACCACTATATAGATAGCTAAGGATGTAAGGAACGTTTAAAATGTAATAATATGTTTAGAAGATGTATCCACAAGAAATATATTGGACAATTGTATGTGGGAAGATGAATTAGAAGACAAATACCGTAATAAAAGTATGAATACATACCCACGCGGCATATCCCATCCTCATACACCATACAGCAATAAGCCACAGAAAAGTGGATAGTCTATAATAATAAGGTTACATAGCATACCCACGAGACGCATCTCAAGGCACACGCGAGTGCAACCACCACGAAGGAAAGAAGCAAACAGACTATGGGGATAAGCTCAGGATACCCATAAGAAACAGCAAACGCGGGTTATTCAAGCACATAAGAAGCACAATACCATCGCAAATGTCTATGCTGAGGAATGCGGGGTACACCTCCAGCCTTCATTGTATAGCGATTAAGCTCCTACAAGGGCGCAGGATGCTTTCTTTAGCTTTTCATCGAAGCATCCTTCTTGGCCGGCAGCAAGACAGAATGGGCATGAACAATTGACAGGATAAAGGTCTAAGGCTCCAACATTGCTCCGGGGCATTATAATTCATAATGAGAAACGGCTTGAATGATTGCTTTTGACGCACGATGCCCGAACTGCAGATTTTGTCCGACAGCCAGCTGCACTGCCGATCCGTTTCAGGATACGAGGAAAGCTTCCAATACTGCATCAAAGGATGTAGATTCTCACAATACTGCAGGGCTTGGAAGGTACGGGACGGCTTAGGTTGCACGATGCTGATGCTTTTTCAGGAGGCAGGCCATTCGCAGGTATCTACTGAATGCGACCATGGCCGGAACACGAGTCAAGAGGCCGGCTGGAGACAGTTCAGGGCCCCTGGAGCACGAAGTTGGCGAGATATTTCGAGAGATTGACGTGCTGGTGGTTGAGGTGAGGTCTGATCGGCTCGCCGCACCAACCGCCGCCGTTCTCCGCGCGATGACGAAATCGACTAGAACAAATCCGGAAGCTCCAGCTCAGACATCGTCAGAGCTCCAGAAGAGCTACGGAGTACATAAACACCTCTCTCGCACCTCGCTCCCACTCCAATGGGGCAGAGTTCTCTCCAAACCACCCGTTGACCTCCCTGCCTGTGATGGTCGCCCCTCGCAACGACGAAAAAGCCGTAATGGCCGACGAACGCACCCCGCTCTTCCAGGACATTCCTGTCGCCGAGCGCCCTCCGCGATACCCCCATCAAAACCTCCGCCGCGCCTGCACCTACATCCTTGCCATTGTACCGGCTTTTGTCCTCGGCGCAGTCCTCGCCTCCGTCTTCATCATCCCACCATACTACCCCGGCGATGATGCTGCCTCCATCAGCTCGTTTTCCCTCGCCAATAGTGGGGGTCACAGCATCAGCAGAGCTTGGCCTTTGACCGATGGCGTGAGCTTTGAAGAGCTTAAGGACATCCTGACGAGTACACCGGAGCCTGAGAAGGCTAGGGAATGGAGCCAGTACTATACTGCTGGCCCGCATCTGGCTGGCAAGAACTTCAGCCAGGCCCTGTGGACCAAGGAGAGGTGGGAGGAATTTGGTATCGGGCAGACTGAGATTGTCTCCTATGATACCTACATCAACTACCCTCTCGGACACCGTCTGGCTTTGCTGGAAAAGAACAGGCACAGCAAGAGGGGCGAAACTGCCGACGCGTGGAATGTCACGTATGAGGCAAGCTTGGAAGAGGACATCCTCTCCGAAGACCCCACCAGCAACCTCACCGACCGTGTTCCCACCTTCCACGGCTACAGCGCTTCTGGAAATGTCACCGCGCCTTACGTCTTCGTCAACTATGGCACGTACGAAGACTACGAAGATTTGATAAAGGCCAATGTCAGCTTGAAGGGCAAGATTGCGCTTGCCAAGTACGGCGGCATCTTCAGAGGCTTGAAGATAAAGAGAGCAGAGGAGCTTGGAATGATTGGCGCTGTCCTCTATTCCGACCCTGGTGATGACGGAGAAGTCAGAGAGGACAATGGCCGTAAGCCTTATCCGGAAGGCCCTGCGAGGAACCCGAGCAGCGTCCAGAGAGGCAGCACTCAGTTTTTGAGTAAGTTCTTTCGAACCAGTTGTTGGAGAATACGACCTTAACGTGATGTAGGCATTGTACCTGGTGACCCGACTACTCCCGGCTACCCCTCCAAGCCTGGCGTTCCCCGCGAGGGCGTTGAAGGCAAAATTCCTTCCATCCCATCCCTCCCAATCTCCTACCGTGAAGCGCTACCCTTGCTTAAGGCGCTGAATGGCCACGGCCCGAAGGCTGACTCTTTCAACAAATACTGGCAAGGCGGTGGTTTAGGCTACAAGGGTGTCGACTATAACATTGGCCCGACACCAGACAACATTGTTCTCAACCTTGTCAACGAGCAGGAATACGTTACTACGCCTTTGTGGAACGTCATCGGCATCATCAACGGGACCATCCCGGACGAAGTTATCGTGCTTGGAAACCACCGAGACGCCTGGATTGCCGGTGGTGCTGGCGACCCCAACTCTGGCTCTGCCGCCATGAACGAACTGGTTCGCTCTTTCGGTGTTGCTCTCTCCAAGGGTTGGAAGCCGCTCCGCACCATTGTCCTTGCGAGCTGGGACGGCGAAGAGTACGGTTTGATCGGTTCGACCGAGTGGGTGGAAGAGTACATCCCATGGCTTGCCCACTCTGCAGTTGCATACTTGAACGTCGATGTCGGCACCAGCGGGCCTCACTTCACCGCTGCTGGTGCACCCCTCCTCGACCAGGCACTCATAGATGCGACCAATGCAGTGCAGTCGCCCAACCAAACAGTTGCCAACCAAACCGTTGGTGACACCTGGAACAAGCACATTCGTACTATCGGCTCCGGCTCTGACTTCACCGCTTTCCAAGATTTTGCCGGCATCCCATGCCTGGACCTTGGATTCAAGAACGATGAGCGCAGCGCCGTCTACCACTACCACTCGAACTACGATTCGTTCTACTGGATGGACACATTTGGTGACAAAGGCTTTGAGTACCATATCACGATCACCAAGATCTGGGCGCTGCTGGCCGCCAACATGATCGAGTCACCCGTACTGCAGTTCAGTGCGACTAACTACGCCAACAGCCTGAAGCGCTACCTCAAAGCCGTGGAAGACAAGGCCAACGGGCACAAGGACAACATCGACGGCGCTGGGAACCGGGATCCTCTGCCTCTGGGCTGGGACACCTCATCGCTGTTCGCGCCACTGCACAAAGCAATCGGGCACCTACACCACTCGGCGTCCAAGTTCGACGCGACGGCAGAGGACCTGCGCACCGAGATCCGCGAGAACCCGATCCCGTGGTGGAAGTGGTGGGAGAAGGTGAAGCTGTACTACCGCGTGCGCGCCGTCAACACAAAGTACAAGTACCTGGAGCGCCAGTTCCTGCACGCGCCGGGCCTGGACGGCCGCAGCTGGTTCAAGCACGTCGTGTTTGCGCCGGGCGTCTGGACTGGGTATGCGGGCGCGACGTACCCCGGCTTGGTGGAGAGTGTGGAGAGGGGCGATGAGGAGAGCGCGAAGAGGTGGGTGGGTATTATTACGGGGTTGGTGCATAAGGCTGCGGGGAGCTTGAAGGGGTAGGTGGTTGAGTTGTGATTGTGCGTGGTGGTGAGGGTGTTGATAGCTTGGGTGAACGGGTATGAATTGTTTTGAAGACGGGTGGAGGAGGAGGATAGATGCTATTCACGGTATCTACAGGTCTAGATTGGGCATGAGGGAGGGTATGGTGCGTATTTCGGCTGGTTTTAGCTTTGCTTCCGAACTTATGAGTGTACAGCTACAGCTACACGTACGAGGTTATTGAGCTTATGAACGATCTTTGTGTCTTTCTTTATGTGCGTCTTGTGTGCATGCCTGGTTCTGACGCTTCACACATGGCCTACGCTGTTCTGTGCTGTACGGAGCGTCGTCGTCTCGTGTGGAGTAAGTGTCAACCCATCCATAGAGGAGAAGATGAAGAAGACTAAGAAGTCGAAGGAGAAGTAATGTGCGCACCGCGCTCGTCCCTATCTCTCTCTGTACTATTCCGCGTAGATACGCTCACTCACACCACCGAGCAGGCTATCTGGTTCGCGCGCGGACAGTGCTATCTCCTTCCGCTGTCTTGGGAGTGTTTTTGCGTACCTGCATGTTACTTATACGCAAACCATATGCGCTGTCCCATCCCCTTGTATCATCCCTTCTTGCAAGTGGCTGGAGGTGTCTGTAGGGCGTGGTTGGTGCTGTTGGTGAGGGTGCGCGGTGGGGTTGGGGGGGGTGTGGTGCGGTGGTCGGGAAGGGGGCTGGTGTGTGTTTCTTGGGCCTGGTTGAGGAGGACGGTGGGTGGGTGTGCGCGAGGTTGGCGAGGACTGCGGAGCCTATGGTGTTTTGTCTGCGGCGGAAACGTGCAGGTTTGATAATGGGGGGAGGGAGGTTTGCGGTTGTGAGAATCTCGATAGTGGTGGTGGTGGTGGCGCCTTTGTATGTAGGAAGGATTTCGACGTCGATTTGTTTTGAAAGGATAGGAACTGGTTCGCGATGAGTAAATGGTCTGTTTTGTTTGTTTTTATGTCTGAACCGCGGATCGCCTTGCGATTGGTGATAAATGTTGATAAACAGCGACGCGGCTTTCTCGGAGCAAGTTCCTAATAGAACTGCGTTGTCAGCATGTGCTAGCCATGTCTCTTTCCTTCGTTAGTCATCTTGATGCATCTGATGGTAAGCATCCACAGCGCATGAAGCTGTCAGTGATCTTTCTAGTTGGTGAATCCAGTCCCATCTACTCGAAGCGCTGGTCGACTATGAAGTTACTCTCTGTACAATCGGTTTTCGTTCATTTAACGTCCATCTTCGACCAGCAAGATTCATCGTTTAACGAGATGATGACGCTTGTACGGGGCAGAAGAAGAAATCCATGTAATGTGGTTGCAGTGTGTGTGTACTCTAAGACCTTTTTGCTCGTATCCGGGATTTCGGATTAATGCTAGACAAGGAGTAGTGCGTAGAGACTGCTGATATCGTTCTCTGTCTTCCTGGACGGTGAATCTCGATGGGCGGCGATGGAAATTATCTGCGCCTGGGACGCGAGAAAATGCTGTGCACATCCGCTATCGCCATCGGCTTCTAGTTGTCTTCCTCGTGCCCCCACACATTTCAGAAGACTGAAGAGACTCTCCATAGACGAAAGGCCCTCCAAATCTGGTCATACAGAGGAAAGAAGGCCGTAATAAGCTTTTCGCGGATGAGAACGAAAGTCTGGCTTGGGAAGAGAGTCGGAACGCAGTCAGTAAAAAGCTAGAGGTGAATTCAGTCGTCCGTATCCCTGAAAAAAAGCAGCTTGATCAGTGCGCTGTGATCCATAATGAGGTTTCAGGGAGTGAACTTACCTCAAACCCGGTCGGACAGCCAGTGCGGTCTTGCAAACTCAATCCGCAGGGGAACAACGTCGTCCCGCGCGAAGTTCCGCAAGGAATCGTTTCGCCGAAGGCATAGAATGGTCTGTATCGTGCCTCTGGACTGGGCAGTGGTAGGTAGGTCAGGCCAGCTTCGTGGCAGGGGAGGACGCGCGCGACGCGGAGGGGTATTAAGCGATCTTCGGAGGACTGGGTCTTGCCAAAGGGTTGGAAGGACCTATAACCCAGAAGAATGTAAGCTTATACTCCATGAGGGAGGGAAGATGTCAAGGATGTTCTTGGTCCTTGCCTGTTCAAGTAATGAAACGCGCCTCGATCGTCCGGACCAAAAGCTGCCGCAGAGGCCCACCTACAGCCAAGCCCGCGCATTCCAGGGTTCCAATAGGGAAAAGCGTTCAAGTGGTCTCATGCGCATGTCCACGTTTGATCATAGAAGAACAGACTGGCGTGGACGTTCGGTTTGTAGGCGCGAAACGTTGAATCGAAGGCGATCGCGAGAGACTCGTGGGGTTGGTGATAGATCAGGGGTTCGTCATCAACATTCACAGATGGACCAGCGAAAGGGGGAATCGAGGTTGAAATCACCCTGGGTTGGAGGTTGGATGTGCGGCGCGGTGAGGTGGCTGCAGCGGCGATGAGTGTGGAGGCAGAGCCAGCCCACAACACCACAGAGGCCAGGACGCGTTCAGCGCGCACGATCGCTCTCCAGAAGAAACACCTGGAAGCTGCCTGCGCAGAAGCGAGAGCGAGGTGTTTACCGATTGCTTCGGTGGCCCATCTTCTTTCAGTGATCTGGCATGGGCAAACAAATAATGCATGAGACTCCCCGAAAGCACGGATAGCTGCAGGCTCTTACGAGCGAACCTGTCCACATGCTGCATCTTTGAGGCTTGTTCCTGGTCCTGTTTGGTGTGACAGGCTCCGATATGTCTGAGGAGATTCTTCGTTCCCAGCGCAGCACCGCTGTCCCGCGCGTCAAAGGCATCAAGTAACCTTCGCTGCGGAGTGGCATGGAGCAAACAGTTTCCCCAGCGCTCTCACTACACCAAAGCCTGCGTGCTGGTATGAGTGGCTCCCAATGATCGCGAACGCCACCCTCCAGACTCCAGACCCATTCAAGGCCGACAGGACCATCGCCTGCAAGAACAGGCCAAAGAGCTGAGCAAGAAGAGATTCATCTTCCTCGAAGGCCTGCGCAAGGCAAGCACGACAATGAAAAGAAATCAGCAACCTCAAGGGTTGGGTGGACATCAAAAATTGGTCTGAACCGCCGTGTTCATGTGTACGACGACAGAGCACCGGGGCCAGGGGCGCCGCGGTTGGGAAGAAATCAAAAATTGCGCGAGTGAACCTCGAAGGACTCATGGATAGCTTCCGCCACGATGTGCAATGCAGGGAAGCCGTCCAGGCCAGCCGTCTTCATGATCACGGTGGCCCCCACGGTGGGTAAGTATGAAGAAGAAGAAAAAAAGGGCGGAGGGGGGAGGGGGAGGGGGTTTATATAGACAAAGGTCAGTCACCCACTGCCCTTAGCGTCCGTCAGAGCTAAATAGCCGAGCATACAGAGCCTCCGTGTGGTGACGTAGTGGCCGTGGATCACTGTAATGTGGCTGGTTGCTGGCGGCCCGAGGGAGCGCTCATTTCACGCTGTTTCACCCAGGCCATTCACGAGCTTGCAAGAGCGCTACAGCCTAGTGATATCATTGCGTGCCAAGGAGCTCCACTCTCATGCGGCTTAGTTAGTCAGAGCTTGTGTCATTCACTATGTACATGTTGATCCTTTCACGCCGGGGAAGCAGCTCGGACCTGCCTTGTTGTTGGAAAGGCGTGCCGCCGGTAGAATCATCCAAGGCATTTCGAGGGGGTGGCCAAGCACCAACACACGATGAAGATGGTTGTTGGTTTTCTATCTTGGCTTTGCACATGGGGAAGTGCCTGGTAGGAGGCAGGTCCAATTCTGTCCAAGCAAAACCCGAACTCCCAGACCCGCGTTCGTGGCTTCACAACCCGCCAACCCTTTCTTACGTCGGTAACTGTGGAACGAGTGCGAAGTCATCTTGATCATTCATAGGCGGATAAGCTGCCACTATTCGAATTAAGTCACGTTCTCCTCAACTGTCAGTCGAGTGGGGTATGCCACGTAGATCACCTACTCCTTACGCTTCTATACGTTCCATCCACTCTTACAATCAGGTAATTTTTCAATGGTATTATGGTGCGGATGTAAGAGGATGTGAGGACATCTCTCAATGGTATAACGAAGCGGGGGTAGGAGGGCGTAAAGGCATCGCCTAAAGTCACGAGGGCGTTCGACGAACTACAGTATAAAAACAATCTCCATGCGACTGTAAACTATGCATTTTCGGAGTGAGCAAACTAGCTAACGATTGATGCAATCTTCCAGAGGCATCTTGTCCGCCGCCCTTTTGTGTCTCACTGAGTGGTGCGAAGACCATATCCCAATTGACGAAAACAGCAGCCTCTACGATATCCTCATTGAGCAGGGCAGGACAAATTGGCCTCCGCTTTACTCAGAGCTCCTCCAGGCGTAGCAATCGGCTTAATCGAGCCAAGGAAGTGCTTGGTGAGGACGAAGATCTGCGCTGAGTGATGGCGTTTGTCGTCATCTATGGATGATGATATCGTTGACATCAGTCATGGCGATCGGCTTTGCAGCGGTGGTTGCGGCGGGGGGGGAGGTGTTGTTGAAGCAGGGTAGGCGCAACTTTCTAATCCATAATGTCAGTGTGTGATTCCTTAAATCATTGCAAAGCGTTAACTTACCAGTACTGTCAAATCCTTGAAGAACGTGCTCTTGGGAGTAGCAGTGGAGATGCGCATGGGCTGATTTGACAGTTGAAACTCTGCATCTCGGTGAGAGCGCGCTGCTGCTCGCTCCCATCGGAGAAGCGAACGAAACCGTAACCACGAGATATGCCGCGCCCGTTGACTAGATCCGACATGAGGTGGAAGGGGCAGGTGTGTAGATGGGCATTGCAGCGTTGTGTAGTGGAGGAGCAATCAAATCTGCTTGACGCGCTTGCGCTTTATGCCTTTGTGCACTTCGTCAGGCCCTTGTTTCTAGAGCTTTCGCTTCTTGCTATCAGTCTTCCTGGCCTTGTGCTCCTTTGCCTCATACTCACTGGCTTTGCGCTCGTCGGTTTCGCGCTTCCACCAGACTTCGAGCCCCTGGCGCGCCTGCTGGGTCATGGCTCTGAGCCATCTCCGAGAGACCATGTCGTATCTATTGAAATGGACCAATTTGGCTTCTGATTATTATCGAAAAATTTTGTGGTGGGTGTTGGGGGAAGGTTGCGAAGCCAGTGTTGGACGTTGCTTGGAGCGGCCGGGCAGAGCTTATTTAAGTTCCGCCAGCCTGCCATCACCTCTCTTACTCCACTCCACAACACCTAACTTGTAACACTTAAGATCACTTTTGAGTTATCGTCGGTGAATCAGACTTATATCTTGGGTGAGTCTCCCTTCCCGTCAGCCTCTCCTTCCTCTTTCCCTTCAACATTCCCTTCGACTATTTCGCACTTTCGGCCACGCAACCAGCAAGTCTGTGTGACGAACGCCTTCATCTCCAGCTCCAGGCGATCACCATCTTGCCCGCACATGTCTACTCTGCGTCATCTTCCTTATGCAGCGGTGCTAACAATCATACAGGCGAAAGCCCATGTCTGGCTCCATCGTCAACTACCCTCAGGAGCAGAGCTGTTACAACGCCTGCGGGCTTTGGCGCCCTCGGCAGGAAGATAGAGACGATAACCACGCCCTCGGTCTCGGACCGCGACAGCAAACGCTTCTCGGGCGAGGTCAAGCCCTCCAAGCTCTCCCGCCCCGACACCCTGAAGAAGACCAAGATGGGCTTCACCAACTTTGTCAGCGGCCTGCGCAAGGTCAAGGCAACCAAGGAGCTCGAAACAAACAAGAACAAGTGGCAGCAGTTCAACGCAATGAGCGATACTCAACACCGAGTGCAGGTCGACTTTGAAGATCACATCGGCAACAAACGTCACACCATCACGGACTGCTTCTCCTTCTCAACTTCATGGTATGCAGGATCATCCACAAACCGCTTTATCTTCTCAAGCTGATGATATTTAGATGACACCATCATCCTGCACAACATCGACAACCTGAAGCAAGAGCGCACCTTGAGCCTCGCCTTCGTTTCTGCGCCTAGGGTAAGCAGAGAGGGCGATGAGGTACGATGTTCTATTTCTTCGGTTTGGGCAGATGGAGGATCAAACTCTTTGTGGAGACATGACAGACACAAGGACAGAATGGCAAGCACACACACAAGAATAAATCAGTCGTGATGAACATAATGGAATAAAAACTGATGGAGAAGATTTGAGAGCCTTTGAGCGCATTGTCGTGCCTTGCCATGGTTGACTTTGGCACAAAGGGAACCTCGCATTCAGGGACCGAACTTCGTAATAGTGCAGGACGATGTGAAGAACAGCCAGCTCCGCTTGGGCCCAGAAATGACAGTCATGACTTCGTTGTCGGATAACAACAGGCGGGAGCGAGCAGCACTGGTGAGCGCAGGAGGAGCTTGCTCTCGCGGTGGAGCGGCATGCTGGAGCTCGAGGCTGCCGCCGTTGGGCGGAACCTTTGCCAGCATGACAACACAGCCCTGCCGTCTATGCGGAGAGGCGGCTGGAAAGGTTGACTGTGTGCTGTCTGCGCGAGCAAAAGGCGTCGGCACACGCTGCCGCCGTTGTAGCTCCTTCTTGATAAAGCCACGTCCAAGTGTTGTGTAGGCCCCAAAAGTTGAGCGCGCCGGCAGCATGGTGGATTGTTCTGGCTGTCGCTTCGACCGAGGTCGCTCCTCTGGCGCACCCATCCCATAGAGAGCGTGGTAAAGGTCAAACCTTGCATTTTAGCTATCCAGAGTCCGGTACCACTGCCACGGGGGGCACAAGTTCACAACACCAAAAGCTGAGCGCGTCGGCGCCATGGCTGTTGTTTCAACCCAAGCAGTAGGCCACTCATATCACTCGGAGACACTGAAAGGTACAAGAAGCACGCACGCAACGACGTCAATAAGCGAACGCTAGATCTCAAAAGACTACGCAAACAAGAAACAAGAGAAGCCTTTTCTTCTTCAATTGCCCAGGCAAGCCGGGTGATGGAGGGGTTTACACCAAGTGGTCCGGGCGTGCACGCACATGGCACGGCGGCGCGTCATGGCTCGTGATTATCCAGTTAGTGTCTTTTAGTGACTGGCAGTGCTCGTGGCGTTTGGAAAGGCCTGGTCCGGAGCGTGGTGACTTGTAGGAGGTGACATGTGGAGACGGCGTGGCACAGGAGCGGCCCGCCCGTGTGGGGGAGCACGGTAGGGAGTAGAGCAGCGCCTCCTTCTTCACTTACAGGATACGTGGGGACCTCTGTCAGTAGACGTAACTGTCTCGCTGTATGGTGGCGTGGGGCCAGCCCGGAAGGCGCCACTGAACTCCCTATGTCTAGGATTGTAAGGCCGAGCCACAGGCATATTCACATCAAAGGTGCTTCCAATCTGCGCCAGCTATACCACAATCAGGTCATATACCACATCCATTCACCAAAGCCCTCACTTACCGCTTTGCTAGCGCCGTTGGCAGTCCATATAAACGCCCTCCCCTCCCACGTCTCCTTCTCTTTTTCTCCTCAGTGCAAGGGTCATTAGTAGTTAGGAAGTTCCGAGTACATTGCGTTCTTCGGCGCTTCCGCCAGCTAGCACACCAAACATTAAATTGGATAGTTTAATGTAAGAGTCTGGCTGCCGCTTCCGTAGTATTCTCTTTCCTTAGCTATTCTACATGCCTTCGACTTTCTTGAACTTTGATGTTTTTCTTAAGCTTCGTTCAACATTGATTTCTCGCCTTCGCTTGATTATTTAGGACGTGAAACTGGTGTTGCCTTTCCGTGTATGGTTCTGTCTGTGGTGTTGAGCTTCTTACTGTGTCCATGTATGCCATTTGATGTCTCTTTCCAGCCCTTGTTCGCCCAAGCTTCCAATATTGATGGGAAAGCCTGCTCCGGTTTGTGACTGTAACTGTCCGCGGCGGGGAGCCCTTGCAAGTCGACGAGCGGCGAGGAAGGCGACCAGAGTGAGCGCCATTGGGCGGAAGTTGACGGCGCCAACGAGCGGCGAACGAACCCCTCAGATACGCCCTGGGTTGTCAGATGAGCGGTGATGGTTCACCAAACTGTGACAGGCAAGGCTAGACAGCAGAGAAGAAGTTGGCTTCAAAAGATCCTATAGCAAGCCCGACAAGGGCAGGATGTCAGACTCACACTCTACGGAAGACAGCATGCCACGATCCTCAGCTCCCACAAACGCGCCCCTCCTACCAGGACAACCGGCAAAGACTTCGCGCGCAAGGTCGAAGGCTCACCAAGGCGTCTCTCAGCTCTCTCTCGCTCGGGAAGACGAATTCCAGTCTGCTTCTCACCCAAAGTGACCGCTGCTCGCGCCCAAAACCCGGAAAAGTCTCAACAGCTCTCGCGACTAATATCCTGCCACCGCGCGCGCCAGCTTAATAACCTAGTAGATGCGCCAGAGAACGAAGGTCGAAGGAAGCATCTTAGGCAGCCTTTGGCCTCTTCAACACCATTCATATCCAGCACACCCGCAGCTTCGATGATAGCCGGAACACCTTCGTCACAGTAAAGCTAACGCACTCCTTATCTACTCGGTCATGTCTCAGTATCCTCGCTTGGAGTACCGACCAGCTATCCTTAGACCTCTTTTATAAACCAGAGTACGCGCACACACGCCCCTCGACGCCTCTACTCAGTCCAACTGGCACACTGCGGCTGTCTCTCCTCCGACTTCATTACGTCTGTATCTATCACCACCACCAGCAACAGCTGCACCAGCTCCAGACAAACCCACAGAACGTTTCAAGCACACGAAGCACGGGCGACGGTCGACAAAGCCAGCATGAAGGCATTCGTCGCCATGAGCATGCTTAGCCTCGCCACACAGGCGGCGAGGTTAGTCTATGGCTGCTACCACTGCGGAGACGGGGCGCGAGTAATGAGCAAGCGCTTTGCATTTTCCGGCAGCAGCAGCAGCAGCAGCAGCAGCAGGACAAGGGCGCGAAGGCCAGGCGGACACTTATTAACAACGTGCTGAGCAGCCCACAAGCGGGGGCATGGGTGCTTGCGGAAGCGTGAGCAAGAAAGCGAGCAAGTGCGGGCAAGCGCTGAATGGCGCACGCTTTGCAAAGTCGCCTCAGGCTTCTCTTGCGTTGAGGAATTCCATTTTCACAATTGGGAGCGGCGCTTCATTGTCACTGACGAAGCTGTGGGGGACGAAGGAGCGCAGGGTAGTACCAATTAGCTACAGTCTAACAGGTTCAAGTTCACTGTCATGTTATGACCTCGCGATGCATCTCAAGTCATGGTTGGCCGCCAGAAGACAATCTCTAGCCTCTTTGAGTGGCCGGACAGAGGACGGAGAGTTGGCATTTGCTACCAAAGCAGCTCACTGCCTGTCGTCGGCTAGGCAAGGTCAAACAGACCCTGTCTGAGAGTGGCGTCCTAGCAACAAGAGCCCAAAGACGCCAAAGACAGCCTTGCCGCGCCGCCGCGCGAGCCCCAGCGCCTCCAGCCGCCAGCGTGCCCTGTCCGATCACTTCCTCCTCGCACCACCTTGGCCCCCTAGTCCAAGATGGGTTGTCCCCCATTTTGGTCCTCTACTCAGGCTCATAGTGCGCTTCCGACGTGTTCCTTCTGCTGATAGGTAGATCTTCTGACCGATAGCATTGGCGATACGCCGTGTCAACGGCGTATCGCCAATGCTATCGGGCAAACGGACTCGATTTTGTTGTTTCGAGAGAATTCCCATCTTGGGCTTGCAAGTATGGATTGGATCTATCAGGTTGCTGATGCAAATAGGGCAAGGCGAAAGTTGTGATATGTGCTCGTTGCCTGGAGACAGGGTGCCGTGTCTGCGAGCGGCTGGGATGGAGCATGGAGGGGGATAGAAAAGCGCTGATTGTTCGGGATTGCTCTGGTGGTACCTCGAAGAGAACTACGAGGCTTCCAGGCTGTAATGAAGATAGAAGATCGAACTAGAGAAATCTGCAGCTGTAAGCCATTGTCCTGTCAAACTTGGTGGGAGTTTCCTCTACCTGTTGGCGCAAACAAGAGCGCTTTCTTCGAGTTCGCCCATCCACCCAAACTCCTAAAAAGCTATTCGCCAGCTTTCCTAGATCCGCATGAGAGGGCTGTCAGGACTATAGCATCAGATGCGTCTCGGAACAAAACATGACGTCTGTGTGTTCCACCAGAGGGCCGTGAGGTCTGCTACCCGGCTCACCTTGCCTCGAATCCAGCCTTTGCGCACTAGACATCGCCGTCTGATGGTCAATAGCAGCGTGATATGTCGAGAACCGCAAAGGAGGTCATTTAGGTGGGTGTTGAGAGGCTTGGATTGGCAGAGGACACAAGGGCGCCGGGCCCTGGTTCCGCAGCTTGATCTTGACGAGGCATTGGAGCCCGTTTGCCCCTTCTTTTTGACTTTGCTGTCAAAGGCTCGCCTCGTATGATCTTTCAAAAAGGCAAACTGCAGACCTGGAAGATCAGAAAGTATTAGCCGTTGGCTGCAGTGCGACCGCGCAGGGTCGGGTGTGAGGATGGGGGAGGAGAACCTACGCTTTAGACGCTCCATCGTGTTCCCTCTATGCCGACGGACCGTAGGTATCAGGTCAGAGGAATCTAAGGGGTGCGAAAGCCGTTTGCGTCGAAAGTCGAAGGTTGAAGGTGGCCGCGATGGGGCGGCTCCGAGCTGGGTCGCTGTCGGGGGGAGTGCTTTCACGAAGGCCTAGCGACGGCTGCGACAGGACCTGCCTACGCTTCTGAGCGTCTGTCAGTGTAAGCCCTTACAGTTCTGCCATAAGTTTGATTCAGGAGTCAAGACATACCTCTGTCACTTTGGTGCGCGCCTTCGGGTTGCGCTGGGCGGACCTTGGGCCGGAGGAGCCAACGCTATTCACAGTTCATGCGTGACGCGAGACAGGAACTCCACAAAGCCATACTAGATAAGCTGATGCGGGCGGCAAGCTTGCCTTTCGCGGCGTTTTGCGTTGTAGAGTTGGTC